CCCGTGGCTGCGATATCAGACTCTCCTTTATGTGAATATTAACTCCCCAATTTTCTTTTTTGCAAGTTTGCAACCCAATTGGTTCCAATAAATTTCCAATCTTTAACCTCTGTTTATTGTCTTTCGGTAAGAAATAACAACTGCGGATCATATGGATGTAGTAAGTAACTTGTCAAACATTAAAACGAGTAAAAAAATAGTAGTGTGTACTAGATTAAACACTTTAACACCAAACAACTAATTTGACCCCTACATGGGGTGTGAGTTTCTGCTTTAGTAGATACAAACTAGATTTTGATTTTTTTCCCTAGCGTAACGTAAAAGCGTGAATTCAGTTCAACCAACAACTGAAGCTAGAATGAAGAGGACCTACTTCTTGACTTTTGAGATCATAATCTAGTCAAGGTCTAAGAAAAATCTCTCGTTTTATTATATCCCAAAAACGGCCGAGTCTTAACATTCAAGACCTATATTTAGATCTTTTTTTTTTGGTCAACAATTTATATAATTACCTATATTTAGATCTGAATACAAGACAGAATTCAACTTAAATAAAGAAAAAAATCTTAACTACAACATGAGTAGGAAATAGAGTTCCAAGGCACCAAAAAATCTTTCAATATTGGGTCTACGCTGGGCTTTAAGGCCCATTAAGAAACCTTGATCCACAAAATCATTCACGTTTCAACTAGGATCTGCGGTGCGCTCATTGCCGTTTATTTCACCGTCGCTTCCTCACTGTTTCTCCTGTAGACCATGAGAGATGCGGCGGCAGAGATTTTGATTGCGATGAGACTCTATCCACTTCCTCCATCGCCTTGTGACATGATTTTTTTGACGAGAGATCATGCGTGATGTGTACGTTAGAGTTAGGGTGATCAAACGATGTTCAGATTCGTCGGATTTGATTGGTGAGACTGAAATATATTTCGTGAGACCTTTTTTCTTGTTCCCACAAGAAACTATAGTAAATGTAAATTCTATTTTTTTTTCTTTTTTTTTTTTATTGAATTTTGTTTGGCCGTCAAGTATGTGTTAACTATAGCTTGTTATGAACTGGCAAAAGTTTTGGTCTCCTACAAAATTGTTAGTTTATCTTCAGATTTCTGTGTACTAAATAACATTATCAATAAAACCAGCCTTGTTGGTTGTGACCAATAGAACAGAGTATGATAAAGAATATCTAAGCCGGTCTCTTATATTTATTTAGAATTTATAAGCACGTCTATGCCTCCATTAGCCTTCCGTTGAATGTCTGGTTCAATTTCCATCAATTTTGATCAAGTACCTTCAAATCTTGAATTCTGTTTGTTGGTAGCATTTTTATTCATTGATTTTGTTTCCACATGAGAAGTAATGGCGTCTTTTCTCCGAGTAATTGGTGAGTTGAAATGTGGTTTCTGCTTTTTGATCTTGTTTCATAGTTCGACATTTTCACCAAGATGGCCCACTGACCATTTCAAGTTTGTAATCCCTAGGACGTTTTTTTTAATAATGGTTTCTTGATCATCATGTTTTTTTTTCTTGGATGTCAGTTCTGTCATGGGCTTTTACCGTTGCGTGGTTTACCCTCTGGATGTTGATGCTATACCTGACGAACGAGATGAAGCTAAAGTTCACAGACGCAGCTGCAATTGTAAATGTGTTTGCTGGTGTATCAGCTATTGGACATCTTGGCATGCAATTTCTAGTTGATGCATTTATTGGTCACTTTTGGATGCTCTGTCTCTCTACTTTAGCATTCAGTTTCGTAAGAACTTGACCTACTCTTTATCTTTGGTTGTGTAGTATGATTATATTCTTTGTTTAGAAGTGAAATTTACGCATTCTCATGTTCAGGGTTTCGGGTTCTTGGCAATATCAGCGTCACCAATACTTTCTGGCAATGGACAAAAGGGTCTGTTCTACGTAGCGCTAACAGTTATATCCGTTGGTATATTTGGAAGGTCTATCTCTTTGGGAGTATTTACAGAAGACCAATTAGAAGACGGTAGGAACAAAGGAAACCCCGCGAAGCTCGTTAGCTTTGTCATTGGAAATGTGGGGAATTTTGTGTTCTTGTTACTTGCTGCTATTGCAATGCCTCAGATAAGTCCGTGGTTTGTAAGATTCGCGATCCCCTCGGGCTGTGAGGTATTAGCAATGATGATTTTTCTGTCCGGTGCGTGTTCATACAATCGGGTAAAACCAGGTGGGAGCCCTTTGACAACAGTTTTCCGGGTCTTTCTGGCTTCTGCTTCCAAAATGTCTTGTGCATATCCGAACAACTCAAGCCAGCTCTATGAAAAAGCCGAGTGTGATCAAGATATTAAGCCCCACACAAGTAGCTTAAGGTTCGATAAAATTTTCATTTCATTTAGAGCTGTTAGGAATCCCACGTTGGAAGTGTGAAGTGACCAAGTACACTAGTGTATAACACTCCTAACTCTTGATTTTTTCAAACATGTACAGGTGCCTAGACAGAGCTGCAATGATCCTCCAAACAGAGCCTTTGGAACAACAGAGGAAAAACAGATGGAAGCTTTGTCGGGTGACAGAAGTGGAGCAAACGAAAAGCGTCATACGCACGGTTCCATTGTTCGCAACATCTCTCATTTCGGGGATTGTTTTCTCCCTCGGTAACACTTTCTTCCTCGAACAAGCAAACCATATGGACTCCAAGTTCGGATCATGGAACCTTCCTCTCCCACTCCTCTTACTTTTTAGTGAAGCTGCAAGGCTAGGATCCCGAGAACTATGCGTCATGGCTGCAAAACGTCACGCCATTGACCTCCCTGAATCACCTAAACAAACCAAAACGCCTTATGGTATACCAGTCTCCATCATCCTATCCATCTTCTGCTGCTCAATTGCTGCACACGTTGAGTCCAGGAGGCTCAAAGTTGTTACAACTCAAGGTTTGCTATATGAAACCGTCCCCATGAGTGTATTCTGGCTGCTCCCACAGTACATTCTTCTCGGGTCAATCACAGGTATCTACGAAAACAGCTTTGCGCTTTACCTAGAGGAAACAGTGCCTGAAGAGTTGAGCCAATACATGGTTCTGTTTAACGTGGGCGTGTGCGGGGTCGGGATCATGAGCAATATCGCTCTTGTTAGTGTGGTGGGGAGAGTAAGCGGAGGCAAATGGTTTCAAGATACAATAAACAAGAGCCGGTTGGATAACTACTACTGGGTTATAACAGTGTTTTGCATGTTCAATCTCTTGTTATATTTCTCTGTAACATATAGGTACACAATGTGCAACAAGAAAGATGGTGCAACACAAGAAAATGATGGAAGAACAATCGCTTTTGTGTAGTACTTGTGTTGTGTGCCCAAGATTTCAATTATATGTAATGGATAGGCCCATGAGGTTAGATGAGGTGATTGTGTTGTGGTTTCGGAAAAACATAGAAAAGACAGAAAATAATATATTCATGTTCTATCCCTGCGACCATAAGCAAAACGCTTAATGTATTTGAACAAATCCTCAAATCATCTTAGGCAACTAAACCATTTCGCACACACATTAATAAACCAAGACTAAAATGGGACATCAACTAACTTTAAAACTAAACCATTAAACCTTTAGGACTTTTGGAAACAAATAAAGTAAGTTACGACTAAAATAGGAGGAAAAGCAAAACAAATCTAACGTTATGGAAAAGAAAGATTTCAGTCCAAAATAGATTTACAAGAATAATTGGAAATCAACGGTCTACCTTCAAAGTCAAATTTGCAATTATATGGAGATACTTCTCGTATTACTCACCAAAGCATCAAAATGGAACCCACCAAACATCAATTTAAAGAACAGATTCACTAATAATTTGAAAAGTTCCAAATCTTAAAAAAAAAAAAGTAACTGGAAACTGTTATTCTAATTAAATAATCAGAAAGTCATATCTCTAAATATCATCCTTATCTTTGCCTAGGTTCTAACCCCTTTGATGAGTGTTAAAATGTAATTAAAAATTTCTTATGAAAACCACGTTACTATTTTAGTATCTTATATCTAAAAGCCCACCAAAAAAAAAAAGTATCTTATATCTAAAAGGTTGGAATAAAAGTAATTTCTTCTGAAACTAATTGTACTGTGTATGGTTGGAAAGAAAAAATATAATACAATCAATAAAAGAATTATGAAAATGTAATTTTTCCAAGGTAAGGATTTAAAATTGCCAACTTGTTGAGGAACAAAAGTATATCAATCATTGTGGCTTTTTATTTATGGTCTTTGTTTAGGCTCTCTGTAGATTCTCATTCTCTTGTCAACTTCGAACTTCAGACAGTCCTATTAAATAAAACAGTTGGGAAAATAAAGTAATTGAAAACTAAAATTCTTATTACATAAGAAGAAAAAAAAGTTTAGATGTTGCTAATAAGATAGAAAGCATCATTATCAGCACAAAGCAAGGTTTCGATTACAGATTTGTCACCACAACAAGTTAAATATCTTTGATTAGTGGAAAACCCACTTGGCACTTTACATACTTTTGGCTGCTTATTCATAAATAGATAATTCATTCTATACTTGAACAACCAATTTAAAACTGATTTTTTTTTTGTAATTAACATTTTACTTAATTTTACAATTAGGCATCCTATATATTTTGAGGCTCAACTTTCACACTAAGACTTGAGAGACTTTAACCTTTGTTGAAATAAATTTGGTACAAAATGAGATAAAAAGAGCAAATGGAAAGTTGCATAATAATACTCTAACAAACTTTTAAAAATTCTTAATTTATTAATTAAAAAAAATCCACCAAACAAGGGAAAAAATTGTAATGAAAGCCTACATAACACAACATAAATTATGATAAGCAATTTGAGCTCATAAGAGTTCCAAATCACACAAATAATCACTCAAGTAATTAAAATAACAAAACCTAATTAATTTTTTGAAAACTCGTTGAATCAACCACGGAAAAAGATGGTAAACAAAACAACAAATAGTATCTCGTAAAAAAAAAGTAGCTAATTTTTTTTGTATATGCACGCCGATTAAGAAAAAACAAAAATAGTAAAAATTATTAATGATTATATAACTCGTAACTTCTCCGAGATCTTCACCTTGTGCTACATTTGGAGATACGCATTGTACGATTCGAATTGCGATGCGTTCAGAAAACTCTGCTCTTGCAGTTTAGCCATGTACGGCGTCGAAGACATTCCAAGTAGCGATTCTGAAAACGCGTTTTGATTATAAAACGCAGCCGCTGTTTCATCGTATAGTGTTTGACCTTCCCATTCCGACGTTTCCCGCTGGCTTCCTCCTATTGATGGCGGCGAGCAAGGTGCGTTAGCGGTTGCGTTATCCGCGGCTGCAGCGTCAGGAGAGTCGGGGATGTTGACGGTGGTGATATCGTGGATGCTTGATCGGCGTTTGTCTTTGCCACCGTTGACTTGACGTATGAAATACTTTTGAGCGTGACTTGCGACTTGCGTTGGCGTTCTTGTGGTCACAAAGTTACGAGCTATGTTTCTCCAATCTCCTTTTCCATATTTCTTTAGACCCATGAGAAATTGTCTGCACACATTCATCAACCATACCATAAACAAACCAAAACCTAAATAAACCAAATCGACTCTTAACACATAAGCAATAACTTCATATAAGAAAAAATTAATCTTTTTTATCAACAACATGCATTTTACGGGATTTTAATATGAGCATGACAAAAATACGACTTTAATACAAACCACTAAACTAGATGCTACTATAGTTGTAGCCAAAATAAAATCGCATGTCTCGTGTTTATATCAATGTTCCATGTCCCACTAAACAATGTCCATGCGTGCAAAACAAATAACCGCACCAAGACACCAATTAAACCCATTCCACACATCAAGAGCCTAGAAGAAACAAAAATTATCTGCTCTGTATATAGTTTACCAATGGATTTATAAACTCGATACATAAAAAAAAGGTAAATAATTTTTTGAGATAATATAAACATGAAAAGTATCTACTACAAAATAATGTGTGTCTCTCTGTCTAACCCATACGTAGGTCATATAGACACGCACTAAAGATACAATTGTTTTGGTGGATGACTATATATCTTAATTTTATAGAATACATACATATATATATAGATATATTTATACGATATGCGTATCTTTATACGTATACATAAACACGTTTCCAAGAAAAAGACGTACGTATTTTTATAAAATAAAGTGCAAGGGGTCCAAATCTAGAGAAGAAAAGCATTGACGTTAACGTAGAGAGATGGTTTAGTTTACCTGTGTTCTTCTTCTGTCCATGGAACACCTTTCTTCCTCTCATGCTCCGCCGTTCGTGCGGCGGATCCTCTCTTTCCTCCGGCGGCGGAGAAGTAATAACCGTTCATGTTAAACCCATTGTTACCACCGGCTCCGTCGTAGCCTCCCCAGTCGAGTGTGAATGAATCCGAAGCGTAGCCAGGGATTGGTATAAGACCTGCTTCGATGTCGCTAACGTCTTCCTCAAGCTCTCTGTATTGTTTGATCACATCTCCGATGGTTTTTCCGGGAAGCATGGCAGCGACTTTGGACCATCTGTCAGGAGTATCTTTGTCGTAAAAGGCTAAAGCGTTTTCGAATTTCTTGTTTTCTTCAGCTGTCCATTTGGTTCCTCTGTTTTCTTGAAACAACCAGTTTGATGTCTCTAGATATGTTGCTGGTGACATAACTTCGATTCCTCTGTGCATCTTTTCAACGATTGTTGATCGAATCAAGAAAAAAAACAGAGTTTTCGATTTTGTTCTATCAATGGTGGAGCTCAAAGAGATAGAGAAAAGTGGGAGATTTTGATCTGTTAAAATGGCATTTTTGAAATGGAATCTGAGAGAGAAAGAGAGATAAGCATCTAAAGCTTTGAAGAGTCTAAAGAGAGCTGCTTTTTCCAGACTCTAAGGACAAACAAGGAAAAAAAGAAAGATTCGATCTTTGAGTTTTGTTGTCTGAACGATAAACCTCTCTTTATTGGTCAGATCCGAATCCAGAGAAAATTAAAGCAAACAGAGAAGAGAAAACAGAGGATCTAGGATTTGGAAGCTTTCTTGAAAACTGACAAGAAACCAAACAGAGAAAAAAGTGATGAAAAAGAACAAAACCCAGATGAGAGAAATGGAGAAAACTCAGGTGGGTTGCTAGATTGAAGATGATAAAGTGAACAAAATCCAACCTTTTTTCTTCTTCTTCTTTCTCCCAAACTCTCAAGTCGAAAAGGGAAAGAGAGAGGAGAGATAGAGAGAGAGAGAGATGGGAGAGAGATGAATATGAAACAGGAATGATCTGAGAGTGAAAGGTGAGTTAAAAAGCTGTTGAGCTGTGATTGTCTATGAGTATTTCCCAGACAAAAATTTCTGGGCTTTTAATTAGTTTATCTATATATTACTAAGATCTACGAGTTTTTATAATTTTAAAAAATTTCTTGATCACTTAAATCTACCAATTGGGCTTCCCTTCAAAATATACTACTACTAAACTTTCTTGAGATTTTTAAAAAATGATCTAAAGAAAATCAAATAATGTAACAATTTATTTTATGGCTAAATTTTTTTAAACATGTGAATGAATATTGTTTTGCCAACAATTGGTACTAACAGTAGTTTTGATAAAATGAGAATTGCAACAGTGCTTAACAAAATCTATGGTGATAAATTATGTTCCAAAACCATTTTGAATAACGACACAAATAAAATACGATGATATAGAAAACAATGTTAGTGTTGATGTATATATTATACAATGATATTTTTCTGATCTAATTTTCTTAGGTAAGTATTCCACATCAACATAGTACAAGAACTATTAGTATAATTCAATTGTAATTAAAAAGGTTTCATTTCAAAGTGAGAGATTAGTTAATATCAAAAACATTCTTTTTTTTTTTTTAGTTTTCTTTTTCTTTTCGTTGTACCTTTTTAATTCAATCAACCAATAAACACTCGTCCTTGTATAGTCTATGATAGACCATCACATAATTCAGGAAAAGACAAGTGTCGTCTTTGAATAGGCAAGTCACACATGTTCAGATCTCATTTGTTCTCAAGGAACTTTGTTTTATTTTAATTCATTTTTATGCTTTCGAGGACCGTTGATTGATTTTTTTTCTATTATTTATTATTTGGTTTTATCGATGAAATTAATAATATGACTCAACTAATAGGAGAGGGTTTTTGCGGCTAAACGTTGCCTAATGATAGGCCAAAGACGTTTAGAGATTAACCAATCGCAGACTCAGACAAGACACACAATCGAGGAGCATCTCTCATTGGCTAACAAGATTTAAGGTCGGTGATAAGGGTATATCAGTAATTTCTTATTGGTGTTGACATTTAACCTTTTAAGCACATGAGTTGTTTGTTTGTATCTATATCGAGATGCTTTTTTTTCCTAAGGGAAAATGAGTTTGTGACACGTTTAATACTATAATTTTTGGACCATAGTCTCGATAACAAAAAACATTGGAGAATGTGGTTAAACTAGCATGCTAGGAAACAGAATATGGGTAATTCTACCACAAACTATACTTATATACGAAAAATATGAATACAAAATTTAGTACCATCCCAAAAATCTAACAAAATTGTACACTAAATGGTTGTAAATATCTAGATCAATGGCGTTAATTTTTGCAATGGCAATAATTTATTTTAGGGCGTACTATTTGCTAAACCAACCTTAAAGAACTGTACTAAAAAAACTGTCAGAAAAGATACTATTTTAATATACAATGATGATTCCTTGCTTAACTTCTTGATTCAACCACAGCAAAATTTTCAACATCAAGGAAGTAATTAAATAGAATAGTAAATGTTTAGTGATCATAATTGTGTGTCTAAGATAACAAGGTCGTAATAATGGAGTTTAGCGAGAGAGAGGTCGAGCCTTAATTAATTAACGTAGGAATATAGTCATGATGATATTCAAACAATATCTAAAATTCCAAATAATAGTATTAAGGTTTATTACTTTATTCTGACCATAATAATATCCCATTTAATTACAAGAAGATTATATCTGTTTTTATTATAATTAAAGTTCCTTTTTATAAACTTTGTGTGAATACTGAAATGCTAATTGATCCTTCAGCTGTTACTCATAGTCGTCTCGTATCATGGGACCACGCTTACTTTTCTTTAAATTACACTAATGAATTTCTTAAAACAAATAAACAGTCATGATTTATTTATAAATGGGTTAGGTAGCTTAAGTGACCACGCCATAACAGACACAATAATTCTTGAAAGTGTTAAGAATTTTTATTATATATATATATATATATATATATATTTATTATTATATATTAATATACCGCAGTTGAGGATTAATCCACCATATGTTGATCTAATTTGAGAAGAAGATTGTGCTTCTTCCTCTGTGCTTATAAGAACATGTTATACTACGTACAGATTTTATTAGGTTAGATATTTTTCAGTTAAAATTTTACCCAGTTATATCAAAATGTTAATTCTTGTTAAGAAAAAAAATACATAAACGGATGTAAAATTCTAAATAAATGTGTTTAATAACATATCATAACGACTAGCTATATAGGTATTTATAGAGTGCCCTCAACAAAATTTGGGTGTCAACCGTTTTGCAAAAGAAAATAGTTGAATAATCCTAAGACATTGATGTGTTTCGAAGATTATCATCTGCAAAACAAAAACCCTGATAATTAAAAAATGTCACAAATGCTAAAATTTATCAAGATTTACAATAGATGAACATATTTAAACTTAATATATATATAAATATTTGGAATTTTTTCTATAGTAAAACCATTGTCAACTTGAGTTTACAAGAAATTTTTAGGCTTTATAATCAAAATAATTTATGCATAACATTTCAAAATGATTGAATACCTTTTTTTTTTTTTAATCTTTTCTACCAAATTCTAATATTCTATATATACTTATTCTAGAACGTGTGATAACTAAGTTAATTATTCTAGAGACAAGTGGATGCCCTCAACAAAATCGATTGTTGACATCAATTAATAGGGTGAGCAAAATGTCTATACTACGACTATTTTATTGGAAATAAGCTCCACATTCTTAGTTTGCTTTAGAAAATATATTAATAAAACTATATATATTTGATGTGGGAAAAATCCCAAATGCTAAAAAAACAACAAGCAACATCAAATAGATCAACTAAATTATGGATTGCTCTTATGATTACAGATGAGCAATCGTTTTTTAGATCTAAAAATTTCATGCAAATTCAATATAATTTAGAGAATCCATAAACTAAATGAAAGAATGACTAAATGTAAGTACTAATAATAAAAAGATGTTAAAAAAATTTAGATTTTTCAACTTTTTTTGAAGTATGGCGAATTGGCCAGATTCATTAAATAAAGTATGAACATGATATATCTCAAATTTAGACTCCATATATTTTTTTTAAGTATAGTGAAATTGGATCCAGCTTCATTAAGATTGAACATGATAGATAGTAGTTTAATTAAGGAACGTATCATCACCTAACTTTCAATCCGCGTATTAAATTGTTAGACACAATAAAAATCTTCAAATGACAATTACGTACATGCAAAACTAAGTAGCAAAGAGCATTCACAGTATATCGAATTTTAATAATCAGCGCCAGATGTTTATGTATGAAAATTCATTAAATTAAACAATAATATAACATAATGTTCTCTGCAACTGCAATTCTTTAAATATCAGAGTTGTTTAAATAAAATGTCAGAGTTGTTTGTCCACCACTCACACCCAACACACGATTATTTTTCTCCTAAATATTAACAGGGTTAATAAAATATTAAGTAAAGTTATTAGACGTTTTTAAAATATTGGAGTGGTGCAAGACAATGACTGGTTTTGTTATGAATATTATTATTATCGTGGAGTTTCCCCAAAGGGAAAGCATCTTCTATTTCCGAATAAGGATACTTTTTTCTCCTCAATAATTTATTTTGTTATTAATAGATGCAGGTAAGTAAACATACATAATGACTATATTTATTTATTTATCTTTAATATAGATCTCGGACCTTTTTAGGTTTCTTTTCTATATTTTGGTGTTACACAATACTTTTCCTAATGGTTTAGCTACAAAGCATACAATCATCTTCTTGCCACCACCTATGTAATATTTACATTACAATGATATTATACTCTATTCCTAATTTTTGCTGGTTAAAGTTTACTCTATTGCTCATTACTACTATAGATCTTATGAAAAAAAATATTACGCAAAAAAGTTCAAACTATTTAATTAATATTTGTGTCTTTGGTTGCCAAAGAATAATCTAAATTGAAATCTATATATTATATGTGGCAATAAGGAAATGTTATTTCATTCGATGTTTTATGACATCTCTATTAAACTGATTTTATATTTTAGAAAAATTAGATAGTATAATTGATTATATTTAGTAAACTATGTGACGTATATATGTGACGACACAAAAATGGGTAGCATTTCAAGTTGAAATTTGGTATGTTAAGCCTTTATTAACTAAGACACAATTTTCTATAATTAACTACGTCAACTCATCCATACTCTCATGCTTTTCAGTTTTCAGTATATATATAAAAGATGGAAAATCAAACCTATGTATTTAAAGTTTTAAACTAAACTAAAAAAGCAGACAATTACTTTATTACAAGCGTTATGTAATATTTTAATAATCTAAAATTGTTGGTACATAAATACTTTATTCTTACAATACTTATTTTTATATAATGGTTGAAAACAAATTATTACTATAATATAATATTTTGTCATATCTTATAAAAATTCGGTACGGTCATAAACCACTATTCAAATAGTGGTATCTATTTGCGACAGCCAAACAATTGAGGTATATTTCATATTATAAAGTATATTAGGATTAAAATAAATGAGAGGCAACTCAAAAAACGACACGAAGTTGAGAGTAAATAGGGAGCACTGGCACACAGTTTGACCCACCGGAGCGACAGCAAAAGATTGCGAGCGTGCCTGTAGGGCTCCCACTCATAATGCTTTCCACACGCTTTGTACATTAGTGGCTTTGCACAAATCATTTGTTTCTTTTTATTACTTTTTCTAATATAGACTTTCTATTATTCTAAGTTGGAACCCATATTTTACGTTCCAAGTATGTGATTCTCGGGCACCAAGCAAATAACAAGATTCTGATAGTGTCTTTTAGTCAACGATTTTTTTTTGTAGTTTAATGTCATTTTTACTTCTTTTTATGGTTAATTTTAAATCTAAAATACAGTAAAAACATTTTAAATTTATATAGACGTAAATGCTACTCCTCTGTTTTTTAATGATGTATGTTTTTTAGATTTTTTACATATATTAAGAAAATATATTAAAAATTGATTATAAATGTATTTTTGTGATTTAAATTTTTCTATAACTTTAAACCAATAGTTTTCAATTTTTTTAATTAAAAAAGTTTACAATTCATCAATAACAACTAATAAATATTACATAGAAAACCTAAAAGTTTATCTTTTTGAAATATTTTATTTTTGAAGAAGGCCAAATTGATTGATCCTTCGGATCCTTCCAAGCGTCTATATAACTACGGGATTGGATACAAACGTACATCTCCTCGTAACTACAAGATCTTGAGGATTTCGTACTAGCTAGTCTCGCACTAGTAGACAAGTGGAGATATATAAATTTAAAGTCTTATTCCTCTTGTGATCATTCGGGATTCCCAGTCTTATTCCTCTTCCAACGGCCCAGGTTTTAATCCTTCATGAGCTACATTATGTTGCTTTAGAGCCCGTTTTTAGTGAAAAGAGCTTGCACATTCACCTCCAGCACCACACGGATTATGTCAGTCATCCACAATAATGCGTTGGACCAGCTCGATCGGGTTGTGCTCATGAGAGATCCTTCTGTTTTCGCCAAGTGGCAGAGCTTCATCAATTTTAATGCCGGAGGTATGTCATGACTCTTTGTTTTTTTTTTGTTTTTTTATCTCAGGTTTTATTGTATTTGGTTGGAGTTATTGTTGGATGAGATTTAGGTTAATTAGCATTTAAATTAGTTGGTTGATTTGGTGAGCAAAATTTTGTAGTTTAATTTGTCCTTTTTACTTATTTTTATGGTTAGTTTTAGATCTAAAATACAGTATAATCAGTTTAAATTTATATAGACGTAAATGCTATGACAAGTTAAAAATGGTTTTAAATTTCGAAAATATGTGTATATCATGTTTCTGTGACATTGCCATGTAATATTAATTGTAGAGGTTCATATGTACGTATTCGATGTACCTAGTTTACACAACATTGCACATTTGCTCACAACCACTAACCAAGTGATGGTGGAATGTGGTAAATATATATGTTTAGCAACTTTAACATTCTTAATGAACTCATTTGGATTATTCTAAATTTATGAAAGGACTTTTGAGCTAGATCTGACAGCAAAAGTTGATTTTTTGAACTCTTTTCATTTCTAATAATATAGCTTAAACATACAATTTTACTGATCAAAGTTGTTATGAATTGGGTTTTTTTTTTGATAAAAAGTTGGTATGAATTGTTGTCATCTAGTTATCTTTAATCACATGGTCTCTTTAATTGCTAAAAGGATGTTTATTACGCCGCTAACACTTATTTCACAAATAAGATATTATTAATTATATCTAGTTATTAATTATATGCTTGCCTTAAGGAATTTAAAAGTCAGAAATCCCAAAAACACATCAAGATATATAAAAAGAAAAAGGAAAGCTAGCTACCTAACCTTAAATATAGATAAGAAACTCCAGTTTCATGGCAGCACAATCGGGAAAACAAAATACTTAAGAAGTAAACCAAATAATTGAGATGATAAAACGTCGGTTTAGAAAGAAAAGAAAATCATCTCCCTTCTCTAAAGAGGGCGGCTCAAGGTCAAGGTCAAAAGCTAATGTGTTTCAAGAGGCCAGTTTAGATAACCACATAGTTTTGTTTCTTTTCTTGTTTCTTTAATTTATCTAATGCACCACTTAATCAATCATTTTATCGTTAATCCTCGTATTATCATGCACTTGACACAGTCCTAACCCCACATGGCTATGGGCTACCTATGTAATAAAGTATTTTCTAGGTGGTATTTAGAGTGATAGAATATACAAATTGGTACGACACTTTTTTTTTTTTTGATAACCGAGTATCCTGGCCCCACCGAGATGGTCCAGACTAGAGACCGAACCCTTACGGCACGGACTCGGCCGCGATTGCGGCGCACACCCGAAGGTGGGTCATGGCCAGGTAACGTTGTACATCGACCTGTAATTAATTATACAACGTTGAACTCGATTAAATTCTTCATGTGAAAATCAAATTGTTGTGAGGTTCTCAATGTAGTACTAGCATATACTTTTTTATGTTTTGTTTTATAAAATGTTTCGGATGAATGTGTGGAGATTAAAAAATGTTTTAAGTTATCTCTACATTTGCTTAATAGAATATTTCGACCAATAACAAGTTAATATTATAGACGCAACTAGCTGCTACTATACATATCTAAATGTTGCATAAAAATCGAAAAAAATAAAAACATTTTTTTATAAAACGAAATTGAGGCAGTGTAACATAATTAGCTTCTAATTTGCAACCGGTTAAGTTTATATGGTTGGAAAAACTCTGAAGTGGTGCGAACATAAAACTCATATATTTTTAAACCCGAGGAATCTAAGGACGATATAATAAGTGAATGTGTGCACAGTAAAGTTGTTGGACCAGAGAATAAACTAAAACTCATGGGCCATATAAGAGGTGTGTTAGAGACAATAATAAAATATGAATGGAATTTTAATATAATGATAAAAAATTATTATAATACAGTGCTCTTTTTTTTTTCTCCATTATTCGAACTTTTGGCATGAGCAAAAAAATCGAACCTTTTGCTTTGCTCAAAAAAATACAATTTGTTAACCAAATCCACGCATTAATTCACCACTCATTAGTCTTCTTGGACGTGGCGTGATGTTGATATGTCGCCTTGTTTAGTTGCAGGACTTAACACTTGGGAAGATCCTTAGGCGGCGGCAAAATCGACTGATTGGGTCCTTTGCCGTTCTCCACCAAGAAAGCCATCTTTAATCCCCACGTCGTGTGTACCTCCAAGTGACAATGCATGAACCAAACCCCTATATTTTCCAACATATCAATCCATTAGTTTTATTATAATAGTATTTGACTTACTACCACAAGATTTTATTTGTTTTCTTTAATAATATGGAGATTAATTGCAAGTCTAGTCATACACTAATAACAAAAGCTTGTGTAGCTGCTAAGTGATTTTTTTTTTTTTTTTTAGCAGAGATATTGATCTATGACCTAAATCTACAGGGCGATCAATTAACCACTAAACTACTAGTATCATTTGATTAGCCTTTTTATTTTTTTTTGCTAAGTTTGTAAATATCATTCAAAATGAAAGTGAGGTATTACAAAAAACATTACCTAACCTAAAGATAGAGTAACCTTGGCAAAATAAAAATAAAAAACAAGGTTACAACAGTTTGATTAACCTTTTTTTATAAGAAATATTAAGTTTACGTACCGGGATTATCTGCTCTGAATCTGATGACGACCCATCCACCGGATGGAACTCCGATTGTGTTCCTCTCAACCGGATCGATCAAATTGAAGTTTTTTGGGTCTTTCGTGGAGTTGAAGTTACCTAATCCACGACCGACTTCGAAAAAGTTAAAACCGTGAAGATGCACTGGATGGTTCTCAGGCGATATGACGCCAGTATCTTGGAGGACCAGCTGAACCGTGGTGTTGTACGGTAGCTTGTAAAGCCTGGTTCCGGTTTCTGTGGCCATGTTCGTGACTGATCCTCCGCTGTAGTTGAAAACGTGTGGTGGGTTTTTAGGAAAATCCGTCGTGAAAACTCCACTTGTGTTGAAGTAATGAGCTGGAAGCAAAGCGGTTTGGGGCATAATGAAGGTTACATTGTTGATGCTGGCCACGACACGACTTCCGTTTCCGGCCTTGCAAGTAGGGCATGCGTTTAGCCCAAGACCGACGGTGAAGAAGAGGTGGTGGTCGATGGTGGTTGGGACGAGGGCAGGGTACTTCTTGGAGTTGAGACTACGAAGAGACTTTGTGAAGTTGTTGGCGATGGAAGTAGCGTTTTGCGGCGGAGGGAGGGTGAGGATTGTTGGGGAGGAGGAGAGTGTTCCGGAGTAATGAACAGTTGCAGTGGCGGTTACGTTGTCCACAGCGATTGGGGCGTCCATGAAAGGAGAAGCGGTTACAAGGTATTTCCCGGCAGATTTTGAGGCGGTTAGGAGGACGTTGGTTGTTTGACCGGGGGCTATAAGGACGGTTTCGGTCTTAAACGGTTTAACGTAGACCGCGTCGACTTCGACCACCGTGAAAATATGGCCGGCGACTTTGAAAAAGAGCTCTTCATTAAGTGCAGCATTGACTAGTCGTAGAAGATAGGTTTTGCCATTCTCTACCGACAGTTTGTAACCTTCGGATGTAAAAAGAAGGTTTGGTCATGATCAGTTTTTGTTTTTTTTTTTTTAATCATATAGTCGAAAATCATATAAATTAACTATTGAAAATTGAGAGAGATTGGTTACCTTGAGATGGACAATTTGTAACAGGGCCTGGGTGTCCGTTGATCATGTGAGCGTCTGAGACATTAGGGGCTAATCCAGACTTAAGCGCCTCGTTAATGATGTTTTCAGTATCCGATTTCCACCATTCACCTACAATTAGGATGAGCGTTATAACTAGTCATGCCAAATTAAAATATATGAAATGTAATAAACTTATAGCAACCAATGATAGTAGTATCTAGTTTTATGAGCTTTCAGCTAAAAATCACATTATAATGAATGAGTGGATCAATGTCACATCTCACTCATGATATGAAATTCCTTAACATATAATTTAACGGGTCGATCGGAATTCGAATTCTAGTGGATAGTTCAACTAACACGGTGAATTGCATACTACGAAAGAATTAAAATTTAATGAATCTGAACTGTGGTTGATTGAGATACCTAGAACGATGACTTTCTCATGGTCGGGTTTGGGGAAAGGATAGGGAACACCGCGTTTAGGAAGGATGACCAATGCACCGTAAACCGTGGCTCGAAGCCATAGGATATGAGCGTGCCACCAGAGTGTTCCACGTTGGCCGGTCAAGGTGTAGTTGTATGTGTAGACTTGACCAGGCTGGATCGGGCACTGTGTTATGTAGGCAGGCCCATCGGCCCATCCCGTCCTCACTTGTCTCACACCGTGCCTGATCGTCCAAAGTAACCAATTAATTAACTTGTGAACTTAATGATGATTCAAATGAAGACTCAGTAGGAGGTTAGGAGCTTACCAGTGGATGGAGAGGTTGTACTTGACGTGATTAACGACTTTGATGAGCAACGTGTCATCTTCTCGTGCGTAGATTGTGGGACCTGGATATCTACCGTTGACGGTCACGATTGGCTTGCTTGAGCATAGCCTTGTTGTGTTCTTCATCACAACCTACGTAATTTCAGACACACATAAATCAGTAATAATTATATTGCAAAGGTAAACAAAAGGGGGGAAAGATCTTTAGCCAAAAAAAAAAAAACAAAAAGGGGGAAAAGATATATAAGACAAAAGAGAGACCGATTTTACCATAATCATTACTTAGCTTGATTGTAAGTTGTAACAAGAAAAGAAAAAAACATGCTTCGTTGTTTCACATGTACGTAATAACATTATATACCCCTTTTACATTAAATGATTGAACAAGTTGAGATTCATGTTTAAAAGGTGAAAAATACCATACGTACATAAATCTGAAGTAATATGTCAAAGTAAAGGCTCATAATACAAAGGTTACAGAATATTTTCTAGTAAACAAAAAAAATTACATGAAACACAAATTGCATATGTTCCACTATGAAAGCCACACACAATATATATGTTTCTTTACGTAAGCATGTATGAAATATACGCATGTATATAAGCATAAATGTCGATTATGGATGTTTTTTCTTAATCGATTGTGAAGGTGTGTATACATGGATAAGTTGCGACCATTTCACATGCAGCAATCAGCATAAGATATCGGTATGGCTACTTGGTCACATAATTATATATTAATACAAAAATACATGAACATATGTAAATGGACTGTGGATAAACATATACTCACGTTAAACTTGTAATGGCGAACCATGCTCTCGGATGGTGTTGGGAACACAGAGAAGAAGGATACAAGAAATAGAAACCAAACCATATGAGACCCCATCTCTCTCTCTATCACTTCTCTCTCTATCTCTCCTTCTTCTTAAGCTGTGTTTTTAGTCGTTTTCTCTCTGTTTCTGAGATGAACGACTGGCCAACGCAAGCTTATAAAGGGAGAGGAGAAAGAGATTTGGAAACTAGAGATGGAGGCGACGTCGTTTTAGGTGGTAGGTCGACCCAAAATCTAATTCTTTGTAATTAAGATTCCCATTCTTACCACAACCAATCTCCCTGACCAAACCCAAGAAAATCATTTTTCTTTTCATATTAGTGGTAAAAAAAAACATGTGTTTTTATTTTTAACTAGTTACCAAAACGACATATATGTTTTTATGTGAATTTATGTTTGGACTCTTTTGGATAAAATTTATAAAACCTAAAAGTTTTTTTTTTTTTAATAACTAAAACAAGAATTGACATCTTTATTTTAGTGAACAAGCGAATAATCACATATTCAATTATTTTTCAGTCCAGTCTTGATTATTTTTTATCGACAATTCACACACTTAAATTTTCGAATTTAAAATGGTATATAACACCGTGGTGGACAACTATAAACCATTAGAGTACATGCCCAAATCACTCCAGTCTCGTTTTTACTCAATAATTGTACTGCATATATTTAGTTTGTACTTATTTAAAATTATTATTTGACTTTGAGTATTTAGTACTTGTACTTATGCACAAGTTTGTATATAACTGTAGTCATATGGAGTCGTTAAACTGCTTAATTCCTCACTTCGAGTTTGATTTCACTAACTCTTTTAACCCTGGAGATGATTGAGGGATCGAGTTAGTTCAAACAGAACAAGTCAAGTCATGTTCCCTTGGATTTGAATGAAAGGTTAGATGTACGGTATCATTGAAATCAGATTTTGTTTTTTTTTGTTTTAGTTAGTATATACATATAGCACACGTAAAAAGTATTGTGCCGATTTGCTTACATAATTAAGTAAAAAGTTAGTTAAAAATCTTGGATTTATAGCATTTTTATACTTGTTTGATTTATCTTTTCGATAGCTGGAACTTGATGTTCAAATTATTCTTAACCTTTTCGATAACACTACAACAACTGCAAAAGGTTTATATGTCAATTTTCCCTACGTGCTTTATACATCAATTAGTATTTATATATACATTATTATTATATCAATGGCAGATTATTATAAGCAATCTAAATGCTTCTTAAGTATGTATGGTTTGCCACAAAATGATTAATGTTCTTAAGTTAAAGAATAAAGTTGACTAATGTATATATGATAAATATATATAATATATTGCATCAAAGATTTAATCATATATTACATACATATCAAATTACTATATAGTTTTCATAAGCTTGATTTTACTTATACATTCATGAGAAGTTAATGATCTTTATATTATTCTTTATGGATATTGTAGACTTAAAGTGTTGTCAAACGAGAAATTTGAAATTGTGAAAAGAGATAAACTTAAGATCGAGTATGTGATTTACTTTGGTGAGACGTATACGTCTGAACTCGAAGTAGTATTTAAGACGACCACAAAACTTTTGACATTTATTTCAATAGATGGCCGAAATGTCCATTTTAGGATCATACATCTCAATTGCTTGGGGTATACATAATACATTTTCTCCTTCTGCTTCACACTTATTTATTTGAGTCTTTTATTTTTAGTAATGGGTGTTAACATGGGAAAATCTAACTCATCTGACCCCAACCCAAATTAAACCAAAAAAAAATTACTTATAACAGATTTGGTTTATATGGTGCATTGAATTAAAATTTAAACCAATTTTATATGATACCAATTAGATTGAAGGGTCTTAAACTTTCAATTTTATTCTTCTCTCAAAAGAATCCCAAAACTAAAGTATCCAGACTCTAACCAAAACTGGATCAGAAGTCCTAATGTAATGGCTTTATTTGGCATGTGGATATTCTTTTTGTATAACAAAAAGAAGTAAGAAGATAATAAAGTTTAACAGTCTAATGAAAACTAGGGTAAGAATACAAATGAGACCACATGTAGTAAAAAAATTTCCAACGACTTTATAGTAATTTTTACTGTCATTGTTTAAAATCTTATGATCAAGTTTTTTTTTATCGTCTACAACTCATGCACGCATATTTTTAAATATTTGTAAATTTATTGGTATACTGAAAACTAATAATATTGTATATCTAGATTAATATGTTATTTTCGTATATGGATAGTGGATGCAATGGTCACATACGTATTGTCAAAAGTGTCTTAGAAGCTGTGAGAAGTGAGGTGGAGATTTAGAATGCTTAGAAACCAAGACAGTAGAATAAGTTGAGAAATGGCTTTCATGTCGTTGTAAACAATGACCCAACAAAGACAGCCTCTTTGGGTTTGTTTCAAAGCTAAGGCTACATACAAAATGCGTGTCACTTGGACGACACCGTTTAGGTCACACACCATATAAACAATTTTTATACATTTCTGGTCAAATTGGTTAATAAGTATGTTTGCCGTACGGAGATGTCTCAGTTAGCCACTTAACTCGACAGAGGATTTGCTGAGCGGTCATGGTTAAAATTGGGTAAAGTGTCAATCACTTCCAATTTGTAGTTAATTTGTTATTGTCATTTTCTCAACAATCTTTGAAAGTAACACTTCGTTTTAAGTAACACTAAAGTCCAAAAGACAACAACGTAACAATTTGGAATCCTGGAAATATCGACTGTTCTTATCAAAACTTTTTAATTTTTTTTTTTGTATTTATAAGAATGTGTATAATTGTATTCTCATCAGCTTGGACTTTAAAGGTTGAATTTAGTTTGCTACTTGTTAGTGTGAGCTGGGCTAACTAAAACTCTTATGGGCTTTCAGAACTAAAATATCAAGCTGGACCTGACATAAACTAAACTATCGGAATATTTTGCAGTTGATTTTGCTTCTTTTTTTTGTGTGTGGATTTTTCGTAAATTATCTCTAGATTTTGTGAGAAAAGGGAAAGTTTTAGATTAGCCAGTAGGGATCATAATCTCTCGCTTGAGTTTGACAAAGATCTCCAAGCTCATGGCCAGTGCATAGTTTTAATTTTTAATTTTTTTTTCCTCATATCAAAGAGTATGATTTAATTTGTTTTCCTTAACAAAAGGCCCAAGAGAGTTATTGTTTACCTATGACATCAAATCATTTTTGGAGTCGTATGCTCACACGGGCTCTTCTTGTCTCCTTAACATGTCTTTTTTGTTAGTTTCTTGTCTCTAACATGTTCCACGGGCCCAATACTTATCTTTTGTTTCTGTTGTCGCTTGAGCTTGACAACAAAGTGTCAAAGTCTTTGATGAAATGAATAATCTAACAAAAAGTAATGCATTTTAGTTGTATATGATGATTTGAGATATACAATTTTATTTTTTTTGCTTATTATACTAAACTACTGACAAAGTCTTTAAAAAAAAAAATGTATTGTCGCCTTTTGACTTTAATTTCAAATTAATTTATCCATGAAGGTAAAACATAGAAGGTTTAGTTAAAAGTTTATTGAAGTGAAGCGTTATGCGAAAATTTCGGATGCTCATATTCTTTGACTAGTTGAAAATCGAACCTTCTCTTGTCCATGAGTTGCTCCTGATTTAGCAACATTTCAATTCTCATATATATAAAAAACTTTAATCATAATATACTAGTAAGAAAAATGAAATCAACTCAAAATTATGTATACCTTCATGACCAAAGAAGATTGATTAACACTTTGAACTACAAATTTCTAAATTTGAGCAATCAAATCCCCATACAAGAATCAGATTGAACCCAAAAAAAAATGAAAATTTTTGAACATTTTCTGTCAATGCAACTTCACCACACTTATTCCAACTACATCTAAAAAGAAGATTCGAGCTCATTACAATGTTGTCAGTAAAAGTTCATAACATTTTTACTACCAAACGGCTGAGAACCCGATACTGGCCGGTTAGTCGGTGCGGCCGAATTGCCGCTTCCTCTTCGCCTTCCTTTACCTGGTGTCAAGTAAAACTTGAGCATTCCATTCTCAGCCTTACTAACTTTCTTCTTCCCACTAATGTATCCATCCACACTATTCCGTTGATACCCTCCTCCAGTGGTACCGGAACTTCTCCAACTCACACTACTATTGCTCCTAATCATCTTCGGATCAAATCCGTTTCTCGGTTCTACATTCCACGACCCCGAAAACGTTCTATCCACACCACTTCTTCGTTCTTCTTCTTCGTATTTGTTACCGTTTTTCCGATGAAGCAGCCCGAATATGTTCCAACTCCATCGAGATTTCTTCGTCCTCTTCTTGTTGCATTCTATAGTCCCTACGTTTTCTCTAACACCCATCTCGAAGTTGTTCTCAACTGAGCAACAATCGTCTCTCAAAGAATTCGAATGTGAATGCGAATGCGAAATCAAGTCTTTAGCCTCTCTGTCTTGGGACAGCTTTAGTTCGTCAATTTCAGCCATGATAGAGGCTGATATCTTCCTAGTGGAGCTAGAACGGTCAAGGCTCTTCCTCCGTCGTGAAGATGAGTCTAAGTAGTACTCTCGGGTCTGTGCAGATCCACCAGGAACAATCTCCTCATTTACACGTCCTGGTACTGGTGGTGGAGAAGGTGGTGGCTTTTCCACCGGAATGTGAGCATCTGACCGGAAAACATGATTCCGAACCGGAGAATCTTCCACTACAGATAACATCGACGGCATTCGCGGCGGAGCAGCCGTTCTTCCGATCAAATATCCATCCCAAGAAGCTCGTGGCTCCTCAAAAGAGTAACGAGGGTCGTCCACCGAAACCCTACCGGCGTCAAGCGAGAATCTTCCGGCGTCGATTGAGAATCTTGGATCTGTATCACACGATCTCCGGCCATAACCATACTCAGCGATTTCAGATTGAGTATCTCTAAGTTGTCTCCCAATTGACTTCTCCACCGGTAACGCAGCGGATCCGGCGCCGGTCCTATGCTTCTTAAGCTTCTGCTTTTGTCTCCATTTCTGCAATTTCTTGCTGAATACTGACGCCGCCGACCAGAAACTCCAGTCTCTGTTCGTCTTCTTCGTCGTCTGAGGATTAAGCTCCATTTCAAAGTCCTCAACTTTCTTCGTCTCCTCTTCTTCAATTTCTTCTTCTTCTTCTTCTTCTTCAACGATTTCGTCGATTACACTTCTGGGTTCCTTGAAAGTCCCAAAATTTATGTCTTTCTCGTTGTCTTGCTCACTTTCAATTTCAGTTTCTTCCTCGAAAACAGGCGACTTTACAATGGAATTGATGCGTTCGAGATCAATCTCACTGCAATTCACTAATAAACCCTCTTTGGTTTGAGAATTATGCTCGGCGTCTTCGTGAAACAGAGACCAGAGAGTGTTCCTAACCCTAACATCACAGGATCTCCTCTGTGGCTCAAACGCACCCAAAGAAAAAGCTTCAGCCTTTGTCGCGGAAAACGATTTCGTCCTCCGAAGTTCCGGGAACAACGACCCGGAGGAGGAAGAGGGCTTGAAGATTGCTTTAAGAGCGGCGGAAGACGACGGTGGTTTCCTAGAAGAAGACGCGACGGCGTTGTTGTTCTTCCCTGTGATGTCTAGAACAGAGAGACGGTCAAATAGACAAGAAGGACAAAATCCGGTGAATCGCTCATCCGGGTGACGATCACAGGAGGTAGAGGGACGGTGAGGCTGCGGCGGATGTGGCGGCGGAGCTAAAGCTACGGCTGACAACGCTGCAACTGGGTTGTTGTTTGCAGGATTATTCATAACCATAACCACCCGTGGCTCATATCGGGATTCGTAAAGAGAGAAGAGAGCTTCAGAGAAAAATGTCGACCGATCTCGAGAGAGAAAGTCAGAGAAGAGAGAGCCGTTTGGGTTCTCAACGGATAGTGACAAAGGAAAGAGAAAATAGAGAGGGTTGATTAGAGAGTTTATAAACGAAAGGGGTGAAATTAGAAAAAGAGAAAATATGAGGGGTCACTTTTTGAAAATTCCTTATCGCTAGCTCCGTTGTAACTTTAGCAGTGAGTCGTACTACAAGACTACTACTACTGCAGACAGAGTAAGCAAAAAAAAGTCTAGGGGCTCTCGCTTGTTAAATGACTGTTACACCCCTAAGTTTTACTTCTACTATCACTACCTATGAAGTTAAAAACCAAGACCATCTTTGTTTTTTTTCACCAACTTGAAGGGACAAGCCATTTGTTTGTCTACTCATATTTTGAGTTTTCACACATCTTGTCTTTTTTTTTTTTTTTTTTTGAACTTTTAAGCTATCGTATATTCAAATTTATGGATCCAACATAGCTGGAACCAAAACTCATCATTTATGATCGATTTTGTCTTTACTAAAACATTTTGATTCGAGTTTAAATGTGAATACGAATGTCCAAAGTCAAAGTGACACCAATCTTTGTGTTTTGGCTACTTATTGTAGAGAAATAGATCCTCATTTGTACGCGTGAACCTTCTTTCATCTTTGTTTTATGCATGTTTTTACTATTTTTCCATGATTCGGAATGACATATCAATTTATATTAAATCAATGGACTAGTTAGTTTGATCATAAGGTGTTCAAAAGTTAGTTTGATCATACAAATATATATGGTCGATTTATGGTTAAATGCGGGCTGGTCTAAAAGTACGTTAACGAGATTGTAAATATGTGTTTTCGGATCCTATCTTGGCATGGTAATGCTAGCGTCATGTATGCATATATCATATATGGGTCTTATAGAGAATAGGGAACTTCAGTGCAACAATATATATCTTTACTTGGATTAGATGTGTTAGTTTGTTGTTTGTGATTGTATGAATATAATGACATTTGTTATTAAATGACATTTTTAAATATATTTCGAAGTTCTTTTTTTTTTTCATTTTTTGAGGAAAAAACATATGAATAGTTTTTATACTCTTAAGGGGAAAATGCAAAGTCAGGTAATAGCTCGAGGATGTTTCTGCCATTACTTGTTCACTTTATAATCACATTTCGCTTTTTTTTTTTCCTTTTCTGTCTTTCTCTTTATATTTTCTGTCTTTCCACTTTCATTTTATTTTAGCTTTTTCTTGTTCTATTGCTCTTTTTGTTTTCTCTACCTTTTGCCTTTTACATAAAATATGATGTTAATTATACTCATGTAAAATTATGAACTTTTTCTGTGTTGTCCATGTACATCACATATAAACGTATTTAACTTCATTATATAAAATTGGACACATGAAAAATCAAGAGTAGAATTTAGTTATTCAGTGTGGAGGTAAATTCACACACGTGAATAGTATTATTTTAGCCCAAAAAAAAAAAGAATATCCAAATAACTTCAGGATTTAAATTTTAAAATAGAAGAAAAAAATTAATTGGGAAAATGAAGAAGGGCGTGGAATAGCACCGACGGCGCACGGGGGAGAGTGATGAAGATTGAAGAGAGTCACGTCGGTGAGTCACGAGTTTAGACTTAACCAAACTCGTGTAAACCACACGTGTCTCGCTTTTGGGCTTAGGTTCGGCCCATTTTATTGAGTAAATGACTAATGTCTTCGTGGATATATTAGGCTAAAGTTTCGTAAGAAAATGTTATTTTGTTCTGTCTCTTTCAATTGTTCCCTCGTAGGTTGTTGTTATATTTAAAATAGGGTCTCTCTGCTTTTTTAGATGTCGTAGAAGTTGTTTTTATATTTGTGAAAGATCATGTTTCTCTTTTCTTTTTTAGATGTCGTAGGAGTTTTAATGGAGTTTGGAATCTTTTATTTATTTAGGAAGGAATTCGAAACATGTGAGGGTAATGTGACCCCTGCCATGTTATGAACCACTCATAGGTGCATTCCCACTTTGAATTTTTTGAGTCTAACTTTTGAGGATTTTAAAATACGTATAGCCCCAAATTATGTAATAGATTTTGAGAAACATGAGCATGTTTCTCATAAATGCCTAATAGTTTAGCCGTTTAGGCATCTCATGATCTCACTGCAAACTATTAGGATCGTAGTAGTCATACTGTTAAATGATAGAAGAGTTGTATCTAGTTTTGTCTCATATAATATTTTGGAAATCCTTTATATTCTATGATGATCTATCCACACCAAATGACATCATGTGTGACTGTATAAATACGACTACAAGTCTATATACAGTATGTAACAACCTATACCAAATATGTTTTAAAGACAACATTATAAACTTAATTTGGAAAAAACACTCTAACCATTGTTATGGATTGAGCTAATAAAACAATTATAAGACATTTATATATTTCAGAGTAGTGAGAGTACAAAATATGTAGTGGTGTTTCATTATTCTAAATTGGCATATATAGGAAAGATTAACATGACCATCTCTCTAATTTACTACTACTTTTTTCCTTTTTGGGCTTTGAATGAATCACGCGTACAAATAATTGGGCTGGTTCTTTCTTTCCCATTTTGGACCAATTTCAAATACGTGGGAGTAGTAAGTTGCAAAATTTAACAAAAATAAAAGCAAACCGAAACTCCAATAACCAAACCCGGTTTGACTCGTTGTAGGTGGGGCTGACGTGGTGGAGTCACTTTGTCATATCAACACATCACGTGTCTCCACGTAGGATGCAGCAGAAACTATTTTCTACATGGACTAAAATACCCTTCACCACCAAACACCACCAGCACAAAGACTTTCATACGTTTCTTTCATGGCGGATTCGCTCTCTCGCTGAAACTCTCTCTATCTCGTTACTCCAACCACTCCTAAAACATTCACATCATTATTGGCATGAAAAGTTAATCTTTCCTATATAATCGTTAATGGCGGCAACATCAACAGGATCTCTAAAACCTCTGCAACATTCGTCAAGTTCATTGAGTTTCCATCGGAATCCAATCGCAACCAAGAAAGCCCTTCTGCGTTTCGGGTTTGGTGTCCGAAAAAGCCAGATTCGATGTGAGAATTTACATTCTTCATCGGAAAGCAATGGGAAGAGAAGAGGTGAGGCGGTGGTGGCGGCGGCGAAGAAGAGGAATCAGTCGCCGGAAAGATGTGCGGCGGAGGGAAGACTGATCGGAGGAGGAGCATCGGAGGCGATTAAGGAGGTGAGGACGATGATGCCGGAGAGGATTAAGGTAGTGATATTGACGGCGTGCATGATGTGTTTGTGTAACGCCGACAGAGTTGTTATGTCCGTCGCGGTGGTTCCACTCGCCGACAAGCTTGGCTGGTCGAGTTCTTTCTTAGGGGTAGTTCAGGTATTTTCTTAATCTCCTAATATTTTTAGTTTTTCTCTTTCATCAACTCCGCTAATTACATTCTTGATCCGCGTATCTTCAAGAAATCAAGATTACCAAAAAAATATGAAGATTTCAAGATTTGGTTTCCTTATAAAAATAGCTAAACATATACTAATTTTTACGGATTTGAATCATTCTTAAATTCCATAATTGTATTTATAAATTGTAAAATACTTGAAAGAATATCTGGTGATTAAAGAATGTAAGATAGTTGCATCAGATTCCAAGAAAAATAAAATAAAATATTAATATATAAATTAGAAAAAAAGAGGGAGTGGTTGTTGAGAAAAAGAGTAGGTGCCTTATTTTGGGCGGCAAGCGTGGAGAAGGCTTGACCTTAATGTGAATGTGAAACTTATTACCAAACCGTTTATGGTGTGGCCGTGTGGGTCACGTTCATTGTCCTTTTATTGAGTTTTTGTCTGGCTTCAAAGCTAAATATTAGATACAATCTCTCATTTTGGAGACATTCAATTCCAATGCAAACGACAAAACCATTACATAGGATAACTAGTTAACCGAAATTCAGACTAATCTCAAAACACCGGACTTTCTTGCTACTAAAGTGTGGATGAGATTGATTTCTTCAATTACTACTTAAACCAGTCATCAATTACTAGATTGATTTCTTCTATTCTTGATTAGGACTCTTCAATTACTAACACTATGTGGTTTTTTTTTGTACTATGAATTGAAACTTGTTATTTTGCAGTCCTCCTTTCTATGGGGTTACATTTTTTCATCGGTTATCGGAGGGGCATTGGTGGATCGGTATGGAGGAAAAAGAGTGTTGGCTTGGGGAGTGGCATTGTGGTCCTTAGCCACTCTACTCACTCCTTGGGCAGCTGCCCACTCGACCTTAGCCTTATTGTGTGTCCGCGCCTTTTTTGGCCTCGCTGAAGGTGTTGCATTGCCCTCCATGACGACCCTTCTCTCTCGGTAATTCCTACTATTCTAACTACTTACATTTTGAAAAAATGATAACGTTATACGTTTTAACTATGTGAAACTTTTTTGAGAAAAAAATCATATGTAAACAGAAAACGCAGAAATTGGGGTTTGAAACAACCACAACCTAAGTTAGAGATATTGTTTCCTCAGGTGGTTTCCAACGGATGAACGAGCGAGTGCGGTTGGTATATCTATGGCCGGGTTTCACATGGGAAATGTCGTGGGACTTCTGTTGACGCCACTCATGTTATCTTCCATAGGAATCTCTGGTCCATTCATTCTTTTTGCATCCTTAGGTCTATTGTGGGTATCTACTTGGTCAAGCGGCGTTACAAACAACCCTCAGGACAGTCCTTTCATCACTAGGTCAGAACTCAGGCTTATCCAGGCTGGAAAACCGGTTCAACCATCAACCAATTCGACGAAACCAAACCCATCTTTACGACTTCTTTTGTCGAAATTGCCTACTTGGGCGATCATTTTCGCTAATGTGACTAACAACTGGGTGAGTTTGAGTTTAATAGTATCTTTATCAAAGCAATGCCTCATCTTTTTGTCATAAACTCACACGGTTTTCATTAGTTGTTGTTCACAGGGATACTTTGTTCTTCTCTCATGGATGCCTGTTTACTTCCAGACGGTAAGTAGGGTTTATTTCATGTTTTGATTCTATGAACTGAAAATCTATCTGATGTTTTATATCAATGTCTTGTTTGATTTGATCACAGGTGTTTAATGTGAATTTGAAACAAGCAGCTTGGTTTAGCGCTCTTCCATGGGCGACAATGGCTATCTCAGGTTACTATGCAGGTGCAGCATCAGACTTCTTGATCAGAACTGGTCACTCTGTAACCTCAGTCCGAAAGATCATGCAGGTAAGTATTAAAAGTGCCATAAGATCAAATTTTCTCACATTCTAACGGAAAGTTCCGGCTTTTATTTGTCAGTCTATTGGATTTATGGGTCCTGGGCTATCTCTGCTCTGCCTCAACTTCGCAAAGTCGCCTTCTTGTGCAGCGGTTTTCATGACCATTGCATTGAGCTTGAGTTCCTTTAGCCAAGCTGGGTTTCTCCTCAATATGCAAGTACGTTTATTCTAACCCTTATTGATCACTAACCTAACCATTTTGAGATAATCTTGAATCTCATAACATCGTTTGGTTTCTCTTTGGGAAAACAGGACATCGCACCGCAATATGCTGGTTTCCTGCACGGTAAATGGTGGATCTTTTTTTTCTTTCTTTTGTATCGATATTGTATCTTGCTGAAAAAGTTAGGTTTGTGTATTTGGTGTGCGAGGCAGGTATTTCGAATTGTGCGGGTACGTTGGCTGCGATCGTAAGTACAATAGGGACAGGTTATTTTGTGCAGTGGCTCGGCTCTTTTCAGACGTTCTTGACTGTAACAGCGTTTCTTTACTTTGCAACCACCGTGTTTTGGATCCTCTTTGCAACCGGAGAACGAGTCTTCTAGATCCATAAGACTCTCCTTTTTACACTTTAGAGGTTTCAATAGGATACCAGAAAAAATATTGCTTAAAATTAATTAATTTTTTTTTATAACTAGAGTATATTTCTCTGGCTTTTCTATGATTACATCAAAACTAGATGCAACTGTAATGCCACAGATTTAAGTGTAAAAATATAAAATTATGCATAAAAGCAAATTAAAGAAACTGTTAAAGGCTGTCAAAAAAAAAACTGTTAAAAGTATAAATTAACAATCATTATCAGGCATGAGGACATTTTAACATATGTTATGAATTATGATATAAGGATATAAAAAAGGGAAAATTAGAAATAAAGGAGGTTTTAATGGATAAATGTTCATATATACCTTTCTATAAAAAGTTTGGTGAAATAGGTTTTTTAAAAATCAAAACTCCTAATTTACCCTCATATTTTCGAAATTGTAATTAACAAAATTAAAAAAATATTTCCTAGTTTATTTACATAAATCAGATAATTTTGTTTTCTAAAATACTCTTGCTGAAAAATAGACTTATACCAACAAAATAATTTTGTGTTCTGAACATACTCCTCTCACGTGCCAACTCGTCTACAACCATCGCCAACTGACGTGACTTTTTCCCTCTTTATACCATGACATGAATATTTCATCAAAAACTTTATAAAAGATTGTAAAAACCATAGGGAAAAAAACAAAATTTCCTTCTTGACCTGTTTCGTTCTAAATTCTGATATTACAACAAAAATTAAATTGTTTAAACCCTTCGCTGAGAAATGTCTTTTTCTTTCTCGTGGGTTTGTTTTGCCATATCTTCTCAGAAAAACTTTTTTTTTTACCGATGTTTATATCTGCACAACAAAACAAAAAAAAAAATACCTAGTTAAGCCAACAAATTACAATGTATGGTTATTTTACTTGTAAATTTCATAGTTATGATGAAATGTTTTTTACTGGGCTTTGCTCTTGAACGAGTTGTGGAAAAAACGACAAATCTACCAAATTAGTCTAACGTGGACTCGAAAAGAATATGTGAAAGAAGAAGACTTTGAGAATTAGGGCACAAAAACGTTTTACTTATGGTTTAACGATTTTAGTTTTTTTTTTCATCAAAAAAAATTAGAATACGTATTCTAAACATCCACTTGATCGTAATCTAAGCAATAAAAACGTAATATTTAAAAAATATTCAGTTTTCTTTTTGAAAGATTCACTTTCTATATTTAAGAATTCTAAAAATTTCAGAATTTGGAATCTATATTATTTTAGAAAATGGATTCTAAAATAATAATACATTTTCTAAAGTTTTCAGAATATGTAGTAAATCGTAGAATGGATTTTCTAACTAAATTTAGAACATGAAGAAATGCGTAGAATACATGTTCTACGGATTTTAGGAAATTGTATTCCGGTCTTCTGAATCTGTTAGAACAGATATCTAATCTAAAAGTCGTAGAACATGTACAAAAGTTTAGAATACAAACTCTGATTTTCGTAGAACATGTACAAAAATTTAGAATATAAACTCTGATATTCGTAGAACACTAGAAAACGTATTCTAATAATTTTAGACGAAATTTTATCCATCAAAAATCAACTTTTTTCAACTAAATCATCAATTTTTTTTTACAAATCATCTATAATCTTGTATATCTACGTGTTTTTTTTGGTAAAATCATTTAAAAACTGCTTAAAATAGAGAGTAAGGGTATTTTAGTGCGAAATGACATTCTGAGAAAAAAAGTGTATATGGTCAAACTTTTTTTTAGAGCTCCTTTATTTCTAATTTTCCTTATAAAAAAACTATTCCTTTTTTTGTAGAATTTATTTACAGTAAAATATCCACTATAGAGTAGAGACCAAAAAAATTAAAAAAATTCCAATTAAAGTTCCAAACTTGAGCTGTATTAATTTGGCTCTGCCATTAAAAGATCAGATCTTTCCCCAATTCCAAAACCCCAAAAATGGAAGAGATCGCCGATCAAACGTTCTTCCACTATTGCCTCCTCACCCTAATTTTCTCCGGTCCACCAACCGCCGTCGCGTTGAAATTCCTCCAAGCTCCTTACGGCAAACACAACCGTACCGGATGGGGTCCAACCGTATCTCCGCCGATTGCTTGGTTCGTCATGGAGAGCCCAACCTTGTGGCTGACACTCCTCATCTTTCCCTTTGGTCGTCACGCTCTCAATCCTAAATCTCTCCTTCTCTTCTCTCCTTATCTCATCCATTACTTCCACCGCACCATCATTTACCCTCTCCGCCTCTTCCGCAGCTCCTCCGCCGGTAAAAACGGGTTTCCGATCACCATCGCCGCTATGGCTTTCACCTTTAATCTCCTCAACGCTTATATCCAGGTACGGTCTCTGAATCCGGTTTGGTTCGTTTGGATTTTCCGGTTGCGTCTATTTGTACCTGGTTAAATTAATTGTACAACATTTTCGGTTTATGTATGAACAGGCGAGGTGGGTTTCGCATTACAAGGACGACTACGAAGACGGACAGTGGTTCTGGTGGCGGTTTAGTACTGGTTTGGTGGTTTTTGTAGCCGGTATGTATATAAATATCACGTCGGACCGGACTTTGGTACGATTGAAGAAAGAGAACCGGGGAGGTTATGTGATACCGAGAGGAGGATGGTTCGAACTCGTTAGCTGTCCGAATTACTTTGGAGAGGTGATTGAGTGGCTGGGCTGGGCTGTTATGACTTGGTCTTGGGCCGGTATTGGATTTTTTCTGTACACGTGTTCTAATTTGATTCCGCGTGCACGTGCGAGTCACAAGTGGTACATTGACAAGTTCAAGGAAGAGTATCCCAAGACTCGAAAAGCTGTTATTCCTTTTGTGTACTGAGAAAGTAGAAACTAGTTTATGATATGTTTATGTCTCAATTTGTTCCAAACTAGTTTTGTCAAAATTTCCAATAACCGGTTTTGTTCCAATACGGTTTAAATCTTATGTTCTTCAACAGTGCACAACAAACTCTGAATTATTTAGACAAATTTTATAAATATCAAAGGATTGACCAGAAGAGGAGTGAAAAGTGTTACGTATGTCAAAGACAAAAACTAGTATTCTAACGAAACAAGACATAACAATACAGAAATGAATCCAAAGACAAAAGTCAACTTCAAACGCTTGTTCCAATCCAATCCAGAAATCATGTTCCAGAAGCTAAACTAGAGAAAGCAAGGTCTTTAAATTGCTGTTCCTCCACCGGAGTTTATCTGTTTCTTTTTGCTTCAGATCGTGGAGGATATAGCCTCTTTACCAGGGAAATCAGAAGAGCTTCAAGATCCTGCGAGTTTGTCTTTGTGTTAGTTAGCATTTTGGTCGTGTCTGTGAATGATCAAAGATGGTGTTTTGATCAGATTTTTGACTTACAAACAATGTCTTGTTTTGTGCTTTAGGCGAAGCTGGGGTTAACCATCTCCGATTTCCCGGATTCTGAACTATCTTCGTCGTCGTCGTCATCTTCCTTCACACTCCCGTCTGAATTCTCTGCAGCCAGTTCACGTGCAGCTGCAATCTCCTTCTCGAGCTCCTCTTGCTTTTCCTGCAGTCCGGACATGTTCAGAGCCTCTGCAATCTTCTGCTTGATCTGCTGCTCAAGTGCCTCGATCTTCTGATATGCTTCGGTGACACCAGGCGTTTTGCTCGCCTTTGCGGTTTCCACTTTCAGCAACTCGACCATGCTCTTGATCTCTGGTGTCCTCACCACCTCTGCAATCTTGTTGGTGATTTCTTGGTTCAGCTTTTCAAGTTTTTCTTGAAGGTTTTCGTTTGCGGCAAAGGTCTGCTCAGCCGGATCCTTCATATTCAGTTTCACAGCATCAAGCTCCAGACCCATTGACTTTAACACACCCGCCATCTCTGCTTCGACCTCCCCTTTAGTCTTCAGAACTTTTTCTTTCAATGCATCAGGTAACTCGTCAAAAGATGAAGCTCCTGAGCTCGCGACCTCAGCTTTGATTGCCTCAACCTTTTCTCTAATTTCAGGACGGTCTACAGCTTCCTGGAACCGCTTATTGATCTCCTTTTTCAATGAAGTAGCTTCTGATGCTGCTTTGGCTCTGGAAAAGTCCCTCAGCATGTTAAGCTTAGATTTTAGGCTCTCGTAGTTAGGCGCGTCAATCAAACGGGTATTGAACTCTTCCTTGAGCTTCTCAATTTTCTCGATCAGAACCGGGTGCATAAGATGCTCTTCTGAACTTGCTTTCGAGAACTCTTCGCGCATCGCCGTTAGTCTCTCCTCCAAACCTACTGCAATGGCAGCTTCAGTGTACTCGTCATCTATCTCGGATTTGAGTTTCTCAATCATCTCATTAAGAACTTCACTCGAAGGCTCGTCTTCTGAAGACGTCTCTTTGGCTTTCAGAATCTGCTCCTTCAGCTTGTCAACCTCCCCCTGCAGCTTCCGGCTATCTGAGAACACGGCTTCCCTCTTCTTCATGTTGACTTTCCTACTCGGCTCTATTGTTTCACCTTCTATGAACACTCCAATCTTTCGGTACTTAGCCATCCTGTGCTTCAGGAGCTCCTCCCCACTCATTTTTCCGAATTCCTACAAGTTCCCAAGAAAAAGTTAGAAACCTTTTAGATCCACATCCAGTGTTGAGAAGAATAACTATGCCTACATTCATGTTTTCATTGATAGCAATCTTTATCTGCTGCGACGTCCATGAAGGATCAGCATGGGCCCCGCCAAGCGGTTCCTGTGCAACATGTAAGAGAGAATCTCAATGATCCAAAGCGACAAAGGAGGTGTAGAGGCAAAAACAAATAGATTAGAGTTAGCATCAGTTACAGGAATGATTCCATCAGCTACATTAAGCTTGACCAGCTCCTTGGAGGTAATTCTAAGCTTTTCAGCAGCCTGCGTACACGAGTTTCATTTAAGTGTAACATTAGAGTCTACATGATCACTTAATCGAATAGTAGAGCAGTGTACATACCTCAGGAGCAGCCTTGGAAGTCTTCCACAAAATCGCTGCACAGGCCTCTGGACTGTGAAAAGCAAAACAACAGACATGATAAATCAATCTGTAGAAATATCATATCATCATATCTACATGGGGAAAATTTTACCTGGCAACATAGAAAACTGCGTTTTCGAGCATCAGCATTTTATTAGCACAGCCAATGGCTAAAGCACCACCAGAACCACCTTCCCCAATAACAATAGAAAGAATTGGCACTTTCAGGCCGAACATCGTTCTCAGATTGTTGGCAATCGCTTCACCCTATTATACAGATAAGCAAAAAATGTTATGCTGCAGATACACCAGTACACTTCAAACATTAAAGGCATTTCTTGTACCTGTCCGAGTTCCTCGGATTTAAGGTCTGCATAGGCTCCAGGAGTGTCGATGAATGTCACGATTGGAAAACCGTGATGGTCTGCATAATACATCATCCGAAGTGCTTTCCTATATCTGTTGTAGACATTACAGAAATTTGATAAGAGTGTTGTTGACTCTGAATGTTTTCATTTAATTACAAACCAGGAAGCTCCTCGTGAAAACATACCCGTGAGGAGTAGGCATACCAAAGTTACGCATTATATTTTCTTTGGTGTTTCTACCTTTCTGGTGACCTATGAACATGTAACGTTTTCCATCGATGGTTCCAATACCGGTCACAATTGCAGGGTCATCATACCCCGCTCGGTCTCCATGAAGCTCCATAAACTGAAACAAGAGCAGAGAGTCCCAAGTATGTAAAAACAAGAACTTATCCTCAATGCATGACAGAAAAGCCTAACTACTGAGAGACCAAACCTTGTCAGTGATGTTATGTATATGATCAAGGAAAGTAGGTCGGTTGGGATGGCGCGCAATGTTCACACGTTGTATTGGAGTGAGATGCGTGTAAAGATCTTTCAGTGCCTAACATTAAAATAGCAAGGGTCAGTACATTAACATCAAATTTGAACGGTGGGTCTCCTTTAACCATATACATTGAGAACCAACCTATAATTTCATTTTTACCTGTCTATACTTGTTCTCCAAAGTGATAATCTGCTCAGTGAAGTCTAACCCGGTTTCATTCGCCATCTTCCTCACCTGCATCACAAGAACCAATCTAATGAGAAACTACACACCAGACAACTGCTAACGGAAATCAAACTAAGATGCAAACAGATGATAAGTATTCCCATTCATACATCGACAATCTTCTTCTCCAATTCGACTAGTGGTTTCTCGAAATCCAAAGTGACAGGCTTTTGAGTATCCCCCAAAGGTTTGAACTCGGACAGATACGACAAGACACCTCCTTTCACATTCGGGTCAGGATTCGCAGGCCATGGATGCTCAAATTTCTTACCTTTCTTGAGCCTAGATGTCACCGCCAGGTCCTTCCTTCTGATGGTAGTAAACACTGCTCTTCCTAAGGTTTTCAATGGTACCCCATTAACACCATTGCTCGAACTACGCAAGTAATCCGAAGCAGAAGCAGAAGAAGCTCCTCCTAATGCTAGTGATGAATGAGATATTGAAGCCATTCTTTGAGTTGATTTCTTCAATTACTTTTGAATGGATCCACTCCAAACAGATATGTATCCTCTAAATGAACAAATCCGACACTGACAGAAATCAAAAACAAGACAAATTAGATCAAAAGCAATCATCGATCACTGAATCAAATTGAAGAACACAAATGGGTCAGATTCGTTCCACTGCCCATTTCGTCTCTCATAAACAAAACAACCAAATCTCTGAAACCCATCAACAAGAAAACAAAACCCAGCTCAAAGAATTAAACTTTACCACAAAACACGAAGAAAAACCAGAGATCCGAGACTAAGAAATAGCAGAATCAGAAGGGAATGAAGAAGGAGAAAGGAAGAGCAAGCATCGAAGAGATCGTCGTATTTGAAATTGAGAGAAGGAACAAGTGTTATGCGAGTGAGTAAGCGTGAGAGAGCGCGTGGATTTTGTGTGGAAGTGTTTCGATATTTCTTATGCAGATTGGGAAACAAGCTTCGATCCCTTGCCAATTTGCCAGAATTTTCCGGTTGGTCGTTAAACCATAAAAGTTTAGTCCTTTGCTCTCTCGCACGTGCCCACGTGACACCTCCTACGTGTGAGATTAAATACCTATCACTACAAGTTTTTGGATATGATCCGGTGGATTTGGTGGGGTTAGGTTATGAAGCCGGTGGCGTTTATTGGACTATTCTTTTGGTAAACTAATCGGACGGCCGACAAAAATAGAAAAACAAAAAAAATCTCCGTTGCCGGGACTCGAACCCGGGTCTCTCGGGTGAGAGCCGAGTATCCTGACCAGCTAGACTACAACGGATTTGTGTTCTCTTCGAGTTATTTTGTTATTTAACTATAAAACGTTCATGGCTACATACACTTCTCAGTCTTCTTCCTTTCTTCAAGTCAGAATTCGAATTCCCTTATCTCCGTCCCCTGTAAGAGGTCCCATGGAGCTCAAATCTTCTTCCAACAGTAATACTTCATTCCTCTGCACCCTTATTGTTTTGTTCTCGTTTAACTTCCAACACTATTATCAATTTATATCGCAGATAACATTCTTGAGCAGCTGAGAAATGGTTTCGCTCGATTCGAGCTTGTTTCTTCCCCTACTGCTTCTATTTCAGATTCAATCTCTTCCATTTCACTCCCTGCTTCATTCATGAGCGCAACGAAGGGAAATAGCTATGTGTTCTTCGCCAGAATCGGTTCCTCGATGTGTGTTTTCTTTCTCGTTATTGAATTCAAAAATCGAGTCTTTGATAAAACCCTTTACGATAATCTGCGAATTTGTCTATAGGAATCGATCTCCTGCAGCGAAAAAGGTTGAGCAGTATGCTGTGGATAGAGTTAAAGGAGATGGGAGATGTCTGTTTCGAGCATTGGTAATGTAGTTTTTGTTATGTTCTGTGTTCTTGTTGGGGTTTCTTAAAGAAATGATGTGATGTTCGATGTAAATTAGGTGAAAGGAATGGCCTTTAACAAAGGTGTTACTCTTAACCCCCAACGAGAGAGAGATGATGCAGGTGATCATCTAGCCTTGTTTTGATGTTCGTTGTGTGTTTTGAAAGCCAAGAGATTGAACTGTGTTAAGCTTGTTGAGTTTGGGTATCAAAAATGGAGTTTTTAACAGTCTGTTAGCCTTTTTGGTAGGAAAATGTTTTGTGGGTTCTCTGGTCTATTCATTTGGAGGTTTATATATCTCTTGTTCATTTTAGACAAAAAAAAAAATATATATATCTCTTGTTCATCATGTTTTTGTGTGGCAAAAACTTGCATTTGTTTCACAGATGAGTTACGAATGGCTGTGAAAGAGGTTATATGCAATGATCCCAAGGAAAGGGAGAAGTACAAAGAAGCTTTAGTGGCTATCACTGTGGATGAGTCTCTGAAACGGTGAGTCATAAGAATTTATTCACTCTTTCCCATTTTTCAGCTAAATGAATGGTTGTGTTTCTCCTTATCACATTATCATTTTGCTTCAGCTATTGCCAGCGGATTGGAAGACACGATTTCTGGGGAGGAGAGTCCGAGCTACTAGTGAGTTTTGTGCTTTTTAAACTCATAATTTCCATCATTGAAAAACAACCTAACGTCAATGTTTTGCTTCAACAGGTTCTTTCTAAGCTATGTAAACAGCCTATCATCGTTTACATACCCGAGCACGAGGTAAAGGTTCTGTTATTTTGAGTCTTTAAGTAGACAAGAAATGGTGTTTCTTTTGTTCTAGTAAATCAGGTCTCAATTGTAATCGGATGTTGAGTTATTTGGTATTGTTTTTTCCAGCACGGAAGAGGAGGGTATGGTTCGGGTTTTATACCGATTCAAGAGTATGGAGGTGAGTTTCGAGGAGGATGGGGAAAAGGGAAGACGAATAAGAATGTTGTTAGGCTTCTTTACAGTGGTAGAAACCACTATGATTTGCTTCGTTGACCAATTTTTTTTGTTGCCTCACTCATTTCCGTTGACTTTATTGATATGATCAGAGAAATTGGAATTTTGTAGCCATAAAGCCATAAGTGTATGTGTATTACATAAGGAGAGCTTTGGGAGACACAGTTAAAGTCTCTCTCAATGACCTTAACTCTAAGATCGATTAATTAACATGTTTGGACAGCTATGAAGGTTTTGTTTTTAACTAAACGTCACATTTGGCCATATCAAAGGCAAAGTTAATGACAATGTGTATTATCTTCTTCCAATTTTATCAATTTTAAAGATTTAAATTTATTTTTTTCTCTAGCTGTGCTATATTACTACTCCATTTGTATCATGAAACTTGATTTTACACATTAAAAAAAATATTTAAAGCATAATTATCTAATAATTATACATGTGTATCATTGAAATTTAATGTAAACTCTACAAGAAACAAAAATATCTTATTTGGTATAACAAAAAATAATATATCGTATTTATCATGGTCTTATGGTTTCACATTCAAAGCCCCAAAATCTTGGTCGGTAAGCAATTTCTTTCTTTTGTTTTCAGGTCGGTGAACAATATACCAATACTAGCTTTTTATGTATAATCCATGTGTTTAGCTCTCTCTCTCTTCTCTCTCAAAAACTTTTCAGAGAGAGAGAGTTGGATTTGTCGGCAAAGTCCGATCGTGATCTCATCTTGCCGTTCTACCCTCGCCGCCCGGTATATCCGGCTCCTGTCCGGCATCGACTGGCTTCTACAGCAGTGTTGGCTGGCTTTTGTCCGGCGATTTCGCCGTCCTGTTTTCGGTGTCTTCGGCCGGCTTTGTTTTATGTTTTTATTTCAATAATATCATTGGATCTGAGTTGGTGATGATGTTTTAGGTGATGTGTCACTTAAAGATGGATTTATCTGGCTCGTTTCTTTTGAGATCTTGGTTTGCAGAAATCATTACAGAGGTTACGTCTTAGTTTGAAGGAAAGAAGAATCTTTCGAAGCATATTAAGATTGCCTTTAAGCTGTTAGTTTCTTAGAGTTTCGATTGGCTTAGCTACGGTGACAAACAAAGGATTCAACGATCGATTGTATTTCGGCGATGATCTTCTCACCGGAATCGTTGCTCAACGGCGGAGGTTGATGTCGGGAATCTTACGATTACTCATCCAGCATGTGTCGTGTTTGTATCCAATAGTTGACACGTGGGCTTGGGTGGAGTCCAAACAAATTTTCTTTCTGCAGTAGGCGGTAATCAGTTAGGCTCTTGTTGGGCCTCGAATAGTTCTGTAAACTTTTCGTGGGGGCTTTTAGTATAGCCCATGTATGATCTGGTTATGTTTAATAAAATACTACACTTGAGAAAAAAAAAAAAATATATCGTATTTATCAAAAAGAATAAAAATATAATTTTTGAAAAGGTAATTAATTTGAAGAAAATAGGATCGTGGCTTGTTTGATGTTCGTCTGCGCTCCGATCTCAAAACTCCGTCGTCCGGTAGAATAATTCGTCCTTTGTTCGATTCTCCTCTCTAAGACCAAACGTGGAATTCTATTTCTAAAAGTAAGTTTTCTTATTGTTGTTGTATGCTTATCTTTCTGATGGAGATTCCTTTAACGACGATCTCAAAGTCGATGCAATGATGAACTTGATTGCTCCAGTTTCATTGTAGAACCTTTACCTTGATTAGTCTTCACAGGAATTGTATAGTTATAGATTGGGAATTGAAAAACTCAATCTTTTAGAGACTGGTGTTTAGGAAACGGAGCCTAGTTTGATCGCAGCTAAATTAAAATCCCTCATTTCTGGGGTCAAATTGCGATTTTTTACATTATCTAGTGTGATTTTGTGTCCATTAACTTAAAAGAGTTCTCTTTTAGCTATTCATTGCTACTTTATAGCCATGGATGATGTGCAATACAGTGTTTTGGGGCCTTATTGCTTTTTTAGATTTGTGTTTCTTTGTTTTCATTGTGCTATAGCCAAATCAATGACCCTGGTTCTTTTGATTATTCCGCAGGTCCTGACGAATTAAGATGGCGAACGTGTCTGTTGCTGCGGAATGGCAGCTTCTCTATGATCGATATTACAGGAAACCTGAGATATATCAGATGAGATGGAAACATGTAGATTTGAGTCGCAACAAGGTGGCCTGTGCCTCATTTGGTGGGCCAATTGCAGTCATTCGAGATGACTCGAAGATTGTCCAACTATATGCTGAATCTGCTCTAAGAAAGCTCCGCATCTTTAACTCAGCAGGTATACTTCTCTCTGAGACTGTCTGGAAGCATCCCGGGGGACGTCTGATCGGAATGTCCTGGTCAGATGATCAGACACTAATTTGCATTGTCCAAGATGGCACTATTTATCGTTATAACATCCATGCCGAGCTCATTGAGCCCAATATGTCAATGGGCAAGGAGTGCTTTGAGCAGAATGTGGTGGAGTGTGTCTTCTGGGGAAATGGTGTTGTCTGCTTGACAGAGGGAGGGCAGTTGATCAGTATTTTCGATTTCAAGACAATGAAGCCTTCTAAGTTGCCTGATGTGCCGGGGTTAGCAGAAGATGATCTGCTTCAGCCAATTTGCTTGACTGTGAGGGAACCTAAGTACACAATGTCTGGGATTGCTGAGGTGTTGGTAGCAGTTGGCGATGATATTTTTGTTGTGGAGGAAGACATGGTTCAAACTATTAGGTTTGATGAGCCTAGTGTTGAAGACTCTGAGATGCAGAATGATGATTCTGGGAATTTGATTGGAGTGGTCCAGAAGATGATTGTATCACCTAATGGAAAATTTCTAACACTCTTCACTCATGATGGCCGGATTGTTGTTGTTGACATGGAAACAAAACAAATTGCTATTGACTACTGTTGTGAGGTATACATCATTGCCTGTTAAGATGCTTGGTTCTTTCTTATAGACAGTATAATAAAAATTGCTTGTCGTTCTGTAGTATAATTGCTGTAGTATGGTGACTTAACTGTGTCTTTAATCGCATACTTTTCTAGTCAGCCCTTCCTCCGCAGCAAATGGCTTGGTGTGGAATGGATAGCGTTCTGCTTTATTGGGATGAGGATTTAATGATGGTGGGTCCTGTAGGAGACCCAGTTCACTATTTCTATGATGAACCTGTAATTCTTATCCCAGAGTGTGATGGAGTGAGAATATTATCTAACACGAGTCTTGAATTTCTGCAAAGAGTACCTGATTCTACTGAGTCAATCTTTAAGATTGGAAGCACATCACCTGCAGCTTTGTTATATGATGCTTTGGATCATTTTGACAGGCGAAGTGCTAAGGTAGGTTTATTACTGTAGACAACAACAAAAAGTATCAGCATCTTAATGGTGTTCTGTAGCAGATGTTGTGCATTATGATGTGATTCCTACATAGTCAAGCTTTAGTGTCTCAGTTCTTCCTGCTGTTGCTAGTATTGTATTTTCAGGGATGATATTTAGGTTTTAGAACGAATATGGTATTCTTACTGAAAAAATGGAATGAATTGAGAAGAATATCTAATAATTACTATTCCTAGATCTGGGTGATGATGTTGATTTGCTCTTCGTTCTGTTAGGCAGATGAAAATTTGAGATTAATTCGTTCATCACTCTCTGAGGCTGTTGAATCCTGTATTGATGCCGCTGGCCATGAGTTTGATGTAACTCGTCAGAGGGCACTGTTACGAGCGGCAAGCTATGGACAAGCTTTCTGCAGGTTAGTCTAAAAGAATTGACTTTCAGTAATCTAATTTCTGAGACTAACGCTCGGTGAGCTGCAACAGCAATTTTCAGCGTGAACGTGTCCAAGAGACTTGTAGAACGTTACGGGTTCTAAATGCGGTTCGTGATCCTGCTATTGGCATACCTCTTAGCATTCAGCAGTACAAGGTTTTTGCAGTTTATATGATTGTCTCTATAAAGAAACATTTGCAGCAACCCTTTTCCTCATAAATTTTTTTTGGTCTGCAGTTACTGACACCAGTGGTTTTGATTAGTCGCCTTATTAATGCTCATTGCCACCTTCTTGCTCTGCGGATATCTGAGTACTTAGATATGAATAAAGTAAGTCAGAGGTTACTATCTTCCTCCCTGTGACGCATTCCTCTATCTCCAATATTTTCCTGTCTAGCCTTAGGGTGATTATGATTTTCTATTTTTGGCGTTATATAGGAAGTGGTGATAATGCATTGGGCATGTGCAAAGATAACTGCTTCACCATCAACTCCAGATTCTCATCTTCTTGAAATTTTACTTGATAAGGTTCAAATTCTAGTATATATAAGTCTTTGCAAGATATATATTTTGAGATGGAGGAATCAAATGGACTTAGAAGGATTGATGTCATTGAATTTCAGCTCCAACTATGCAAAGGAATATCTTATGCTGCAGTGGCCACTCATGCTGATAACTGTGGCCGTCGAAAGTTAGCTGCAATGCTAGTTGAACATGAACCACGCTCCACGAAACAGGTTTGTCTATTTAAGATGACTACCTCTCGTTGGGGTTCTTCTCGTTGGGGTTCTTTATGCAGAAGTAAAATTCATATTTTCACGGTAATAATTTGTGTAAGAACTTAGTTTCTCACATGTTTCGTGATCACTTAATTCTAGGTACCTCTTTTATTAAGCATTGGGGAGGAAGACACTGCTTTAGTGAAAGCAACTGAGAGTGGTGACACAGACCTGGTTTATCTGGTCATATTTCATATATGGCAAAAGGTATATGACTGTTTTCAGTAATGTTAAAACTTTAACTAGAAATCTGTATGTTTTGCTAACAAACAAGAGCTAACTGATTTTAATTTGTGGGGTTGAACAGAGGCCTCCTTTGGAATTCTTTGCGATGATCCAAGGAAGAGTTTTGGCACGTGATTTATTTGTAGCTTATGCACGGTATGAAAGTCTTCTATCTACCTTGCTTGATTTATGCAAAACTTTGTAGCCTATGAACGATATTATATAATTTTCCTGTTGTAGGTGTCATAAGCATGAATTTCTGAAGGATTTTTTCTTATCTACGGGCCAGATTCATGTACGTTTCATGATTATGTTTTCCCTTGATTTATACTCTTAGTTCAGAAGCTAAGTTGGGCCAGTTTGTTAATTGTATTTTCCTGTAAACGCTGAAGTTTACCATCAAATGAATGCTGTTCTTGTGGTTGTTCAGGAAGTAGCTTTTCTTTTATGGAAAGAATCATGGGATATGGGGAAAAATCCAATGGCTAGCAAAGGATCCCCGCTGCACGGTCCGCGCATAAAACTAATAGAGAAGGCCAGAAACCTTTTCTCCCAGACAAAGGAACACACTTTTGAGTCTAAGGCTGCTGAGGAGCATGCAAAACTCCTGAAGTAATAGTTGCAAGCCAAAACTTGATTTTCATTATTTCTTTGCTCTTTGTCTCATGATCTTTTTTGGTTACGTGTTTTAGGATACAACATGAGCTAGAAGCTAGTACAAAGCAGGCTATCTTTGTTGATTCAAGCATCAATGATACTATACGCACATGTATTGTCCTGGGTAATAATCGTGCTGCAATGAAAGTGAAGACAGAATTCAAGGTTTTAATTCGATTTTGTTTTCCCCTTTTGTGCAATGGATGACTGTAAGAACGTGATCTTCACCACAGTGCCATTTGAATTTTCAGGTCAGTGATAAAAGATGGTATTGGCTGAAAGCATTTGCTCTGGCTACAATCAAAGACTGGGCTGCGCTTGAAAAGTTTTCAAAGGAAAAGAGACCACCAATGGGTAATTTTACACAGCTTATCTAATGATTACAATGTTCCAATCTGTATATCAATTGCATCATCTACTACGCTGATGTTAAGTCTTAGAGGGTAGGCACATTCATTTCTGGTTTATCTCGTGTTTTAACTGGCATATATCGTGAAGGGTTCCGTCCATTTGTGGAGGCATGCATTGATGCGGATGAGAAAGCGGAAGCTCTAAAATACATCCCCAAACTGTCAGATCTTGTGGAAAGAGGCGAGGTATGTCCTGCATATAAAACATGTACTTGGATTAGATATAAAATATATCGAAACCCTTTAGTGTGAGTTTTATGTTTTGTGGCATCTCAGGCTTATGCTCGTATTGGAATGGCAAAGGAAGCGGCTGATTGCGCAGCTCAGGCAAATGATGGAGGAGAATTGCTTGAGAGATTCAGGAAGACGTTTGTACAGAATGCTATTTTCGATACCTTGAAAATGCCTTTCCAAGGAGCCTCCTAGCTTTAAAGTCCTCAAAGTTACAGCGAGATGGGGAATTTTGTTTGATTGTAACTAAAACTCACAAGAGAAGTGTGTAAAATTGTACAAGTGAGATAACTAAATGATGTGAGAAAAAGTGGAGTTGGTTCTCCAAGTTGTGTAAAACACCAATAGTGGCTTCTTCATTTTATTTACAAATTACATCATCCAATTCCTGTTTTGTGTAGCATATGTAACGTTTACTCATCACCTTCACAATTCAAATCAAATCTCTTTTCTTCTCTTTTTATTTCATAAAGCATACACCATCCAGTGACATGTTTAGTCAAATTGTAGTATATATTAGTATGTTATACAACTACAAAGGCGCTAGAAGAACCAGAGAAGCTACTAATGGATCCAAACAACGACTTAGAAGCTCCATAATGTCTTATTCTATAAACTCCAGCTACCGCAGATTCCGGTATCCTCCACTCAATCGTGGCTTGGCTCTCCGAGCTCAGCTTGGCCGGTCTCGACCACTTAAACTTCAAACTGAAGTCATCGTCATCGTACACTGGAACCCATTTCCCTCCCTCACGCAGCATCTCCACCACAGCGAATGATCCTTCCGTCATCAAATCGTTTCGAGGACATCCCGACCAAAACGTTGCGTTAACTTGTTGACCTCTCCTGAAAGTTGACTTTGGAGGTACATCAGCTTTGACGTCACCGAATTTGACTCCTAGAGGAGTCGAGTCTACGACTACAGGGGATAGTAAACTGATCTGTTTGTCTAAAAGGTCAGGAGGTTGCGGACCAAGTGGGAGTGTTAGACCGTCAACCAAAGCTGTGGCTAGTTTCTTGAACTCTTGGATATAAGCAATGAGTGTGTGTGGTCCGTATAACGTTGAGGCTCCCTGAAAAAAACAAGGAAAGCTGTGAAGTTAAACACAGTAGCGTGACATATAGACAAAGCTGAATGAATAAAGATAGAGTGTTTTCCAAACCTCGTATCTTTGAACCTCATACTCTTCGAAAGTGGCGATGTACTGCGAATACGTATTGGTGAGACCTGCGATTACGACATGCATGTTGTTGCTGAATTCCTTGGGGTCCAAAGAGATGAGAAAAGACTTGATAGCATCACGGAGACGTCTTCCAGCCATTGTTGTGAACTCTGTATCCAATAACAGATTCAGAAACTGAACAAAACCAAACCGGCAAACCGAAGTTTTGATCCTAATGGGGAAGAGAGAGTCTCATTTATTTACCTCCGGGGACACTGAGGATGACTAATTGGCCAATGCGAAGTATCTGAATCGGAAGAATTGAAGGCTGCACAGTTCATGCAATGAACTCTTAGTCAATACACTAAGATTTCAAATCTTTGATTAGTTATAAGGAAACAGAGAATGGAGCCACTCACCGCCCAGTCATATGGTTCTTTCATCTCACCAGTGTCAAGTAAAATGGGTTTTGGTTTTTGGCATTGGACCTGTTCTGGACCAGGAGTTCTCAACACGTTCCTCACTAGTCTCCAAAACACATTACCCTTAAAAAGAAGTTTACATAGGTAAACAGATGAGAGAAAGATTCAGAGAGATATAAAAAAGGGATGTATTGAAAAGCTATTTGCTTAAAGTACCTTATCATCTCCTTGTTTGAAATCAAAAGCACCTGGACCATCAGTTGTTCCAGCAGCAAAACCAAACCCCATTGCAGCTGGACATGTCTTAACCGTCTCAGAGCCACCTCCTGCTTTTGGAACTGTGACATCAAGATTCGAGAAATCTAGATACGCATGTTGGTAACCAATTTTTCCCTGCAGCTTCTCTGTAGCTTTGTTAAAAAGTTCCACTGCCATTTTGAATTGCTTTTCTCCAATGATACGTGTACTCTCAAATTCATCAGGGTAGCTACAAGAAAATAAAAGCAGAACATCAATCAGAATATGCAAAAAGATAGATTTGGACACATAGAAAAAAACATAAGAAATCATGAAGCAGTATATACCCCGGACCACGGCCATAGCACAACTCGTTCTTTCCATTGCAAGTACTATGATTGAAATCACAAGGCAGTCCAGTGTCAATGCAAAATGTACCAAGAGTATTTGGACTCACGTCACCACAGTTTGATTGACAGAAGGCAGAGACAAATTTACGCTTCGAAGTGTTTCTTACTCGGGTTTTAACATCAAGGGACTTATCCACAGAATGTCCTCTAGAGGACTTATAAGTAGCTGCAATATCCAAAAGTCTACTCTCTGAAACAAACAAAAACAAAACCATAACTTTCCACATCAGTCTCGCTGCAACTGCAATGTAGAGAATTGCTACATTAGGTAACTCAAGGAAAGGATTTGACTCACTGTTTCTACTGAAATCAGAAACAATGCTTGATACTCGCCGAGGAATATTTCTTAAACTATCAGAATTCTTCTGTCCATTCTCAAACCAATCCTCCATAAACCGCGCTGCAGCGCCTTTGTTATCTCCACTAATCAACGAGTTAGTCCGGCTCATGGAAGTCCCATGAGTAGCAAACCAGTTAAAACTACCAATAGGTCCCAACTGAGAATCAACAAACTTAACAAGCGTCATTTCTTTATCAACATTATACTTATATTTACTCCTCTCAGCTGCAGGATTGTTGAGATAAGAACTCGGACTTCGATTTACACCAGCATCCAAAAGATCCCCTATCAAATCATCACACCCACAATGGTTTGTTTAACAAACGCAAGAATTCTCATTGAAGGAGACAAAGAAAAGATTGAAACTTTACCTTTGTTAACAAAAGCAGAACCAGGACGGAGGCTTTCGTGTGCCTGAACAATGCTTTGCTCAATGCCGTTAACAACAACGTCAAAAGATTGACGAACAAATCCAAGAGACGTCACAATATATGTGACGTATTGAAGATATCCTCCTGGTCCAGCATGCGTATGAATTCCACTTATTGCTACATTCTTCTCTGTGTAAAGCTCACCATACCTACAAATTAATTAACCATTCTAATGGATTAAGCACTAATTCCACTAACACTCTTCTCAAAGGTCAAATCTTTAGCTAATCCGATAGATTCTAGAAGCTATATTTGTGTACCTTGCTTTAAGACGCTCAAGAACTTTGATTGTAACGATTTGAGAAGCCATACAAGCGTCGAGATTGACAAACGCGACGCGGTTACCTTGAGGCTCAGCGACAATGAAGGCACGAGCTCGTAACCGGAAATGAATACCGGAAGCGATTTGATCGGAGTTTGCGTAGCCCATCATGTTGACATCAGCGGCTGGACCAGTGATGTCATAGCTTCCGACTCCGATTAAGTACTCTGAAGATGAAAAACGCGTTCTTGAAAGAAGAAGAAGAAAGAGTAGAAGCTGAAACAATGGTAGTGAAGCGGCCATGGTTGAAGTGAGCTTGAGAAGGGAGAGTAAGAGATACGGATCTTAGAGAGGAGAATTAGAATCACACGAGAGGGAGAAGGAAGAGAGAATCCGCCATGAAAGATTGAGAAAGAGCTAAAAGCGTGAGTGGGGGAATGTGGAAAATTCAAATGTGGACGCGAGTGGTTGTCGGTAGTTAGTGCTCTTCGCTTGTTGCGACCATTACCAAACCAAACTCTGTGTCTACTCATCAATTCACATTAAACCGCCTCAAATATATATGTTTTTTTATTAGTCTGCATTCTCACCCTATTCTCTAACATTATTTATATAACTTTTTGACAGGTGTTTTTTATAATTGAGAGATTCATTCCTTCATCATTATTTCTCCATTTGACTCTTATTAGTTTAGGATAATAAGTGTCTTTATTTTGTCCATATTAAGAAAAAAAGACACAAAAAATGTCTAACTTATTTAACATACTCTTAGGATAACTTATTTACATACTCTTAGGGAAAATATATACATTTGGAGTGAGATAATAAATTCATTTAAGAATTAAGATTAAATAACAAATGTATATATTTTTCTAAATGAATAGGGATTTAGGAATTGGGTTTTAGAGCTGGAAAAAAGAAATCTTCAGCAATTCTATTTTCTTCAATCAGATATTCCATGTGTAAGTGTTGTTAGTTGTCTCCGTAAAGACTTGACCAAAACGCGCAATAATTTCCCTCGTGAATCTTTTTAGCGTACGTACTTAACAAAAATCCATAGTGGGTGAAATCCTCAACGGTTTCACACGTGGCAAAAATGAGGACCCGGTTCTATCCTGACCCGACCCATCCAACCCGAACTCTGTCTCTCTGTTTCTTGTAATGAAATTTATCTCACACGGAGAAGAAGATCGAATTGACCTGGGTTTTCCTAAAGATCTCTAATTTATCTCATTTGGTTTATTGGGAAGACAGAGAGATTCGTCGTAATCCATGGATAAGCCTCTGCTTTCAGGTAATTTAGATGAACCTATCATCTCCTCTGTGTATATCTCCTTTGAGTCCTCTGATTCATAATCTGTCTTGTCGACATTCTCATTTAGGATCAGAGAAAACGAATGAATCCGAAAGGTTGGATTCATACCAGTACCTGCAGAGAAATAGCTCATCTGCTCGTAACCCTTCTTTCGCCGGAGCTGGCGTCACCGTCGAAGAAATCCGTACCGCTTCTGCTGTTTCTTCTGCTCCTCCGTCTCTTTATCCTCCCGTTATCAAGACCCCTGTTTCGTTACCCATTCGTAAGTCTCGTTCCATCTTTCCTGATCCTTCAGAATTTTGTATTGACACCTTTAGATATCTGATCAGCTTTCATTGAAAGTATCAAACTTTTATTTGAGTCTTGATTCTTAGTGCTACTTTCGGTGATTGTTTTCTCTAGCTTTTGGTTTTTGATCTTCGAAATGTGAAAGTTTCATCATTTCCTATGATCTTCCAAATGTGAAAGTTTCATCATTTCTGATTTCTTCTTGGCGTTTCACAGCTCAAGCTATTGGTTATCCGAGTGCATCTGGAGCAGGTCATGATCTGCAAAGGTAAGTTCAATCAAAATGGTTCCTACTGTTTTGATCTCATTGCGGTTGTTATCCCTTACTTTTTAAACATATGTTGAACTTTCGTAATTTTCTACAGGCAGTTTCTTGATGAGATTGAAATAAGAGAGCTGCTTATTGATCATATTGGTCATCGTTGCTGTTGGGGAAGCCGTCCTGCTCGTTCATGGAAGATTCATGCTGTTGAAGACTGCAATGTTTATGTGGGAACTCTTGACACTTTCATTGAGGAGAGGGAAGCTTTAACACAGACAGTGCCTTTCACTGGTGGTGATTTCAATGGAAAGAAACATGGATCTGAACAGGAGTTATGGAAATTGGACCTGAGATCACAATTTCCTACTCTGTTTGTCCCTTATAAAGAAACTCAAGTTCCGGTTCCTAATTCTGAGACTGTTGAGAAGTGCACGGGTATCAATATTTATGTCTATGATTAGTAATAGGACAATTTGAATCTTTTAGAGACTGATTCTGTATAATTGACTTACAGGTTGCACAGGAAGAGGAGATGTAGTATGTCCAACATGCAATGCCGATGGAGAGCCGGGATTTTACAAGGAGAATCAGATGATGAAGTGTTCCACTTGCTATGGAAGAGGTTTGGTTGCTCATAAAGATGGGTCTGACACAATGTGAGTTCATATCAAGAACTCAACTTATACTTTGATGGTTGCAAAATGAAAAGTGTGGTTATAATTACAGAAAACTCTCTTTTCTCCGTAGATGCACAAACTGCAGCGGTAAGGGAAAGCTTCCCTGCCCAACTTGCCAATCTCGCGGGTTAATCAAATGTCAGACTTGTAACAGTACTGGATCTCTTTTGACAAGCAGTATCGCAGTTGTAAGATGGTAAGTTTACAAATTCTTAAGACATATAGCTTTGAGTGGCAATTGAAAGATTTGGTTTTTGTTTTCGGGCTTTGACAGGAAGACTTTGTCGAAGCGAAAGGTGAGTGCAACAAGAGGGGCTGGTTCAGTACCAGAAGAAGTATTTGACAGAGCAGAAGGAGTTCAGCTTTGCAACACACAAGCTTACCAGTGCACGCCGGCTTACTTTGCAGACTCATATTTCCTCAACAGATTCTCCTCAGAAGTAATCTCGTTAAGAGCTGAAGTTCCACCGACGGCGAATGTGGTCTGCGAGAGACACACCATATCTGTTGTGCCTGTCACTCGTGTCACCATGGAAGATCGTGGTAAAGCGTTCAGCTTTTACATAATCGGTTTTGGTAAAGAGATATACTTGAAAGATTATTACCCAGCAAGGTTCTGTTGGGGTTTGTGTCCTTGTCTTGAGTGGTTAAAGGTTTGAAAAACCAGAGTTGATCTTTCTTCTTGTCTACTTGGGTGTAAAGAAACAAACAAGAATGCTTGTAAACAGAGCAGTAAATGCGGTGTGTATACTATTGTGGATTGAGAGCTTTAGAGAGAAAATCATACTGGATTTCTAGACCTTGTGAGCTTTAAATTGTTGTATGTTGCAAAATGAAGTCAATAAGTTTTTATCAAAAAAAGAAAAATGAAGTCGATAAGATTGAAAGATACCATAGATATAAAGTATTTCTCTACCAGATAGGCGGAGCCTAAAATTTGTTTAGTGATAGAAGAAGATGGAGACAGATAGAAGAGTAAATTAGACATGGTAGAGTCTCTTCACTTGGCTTTGTTGGCAGACTTCTTGGTGATGTCCTTCTTAGGTTTCAACTTGTCCGACCTTCCTGACTTGTCTGACCTTCCTGACTTCTTCTTCTCCTTCTTGACGTTGTACATGTTTATCGCCTAAATCATAATAATATGAATCAGATTAACACAATCTTTTCACATACAAACATCAGAGGCCAAAGACCAAAACAAAAGAGGATAGCTGAGAAGTATATTGGTTTTACCTTGCCAACGTTGAGGATCTCATGCGAATGCTTAGAGAATATCTTGCTGAGTACATTATTTGTCTGTTCTTTTTCTGCGTTAACATCCCCGCGTCCTGCTACAACCGGTAAATACTGCAAATATCCCACAAATAGCAACAACAGATATGGTCATTCTAGTAATCCCCTAGTACATGTCAAAAAATTTAACCAAAGGAGTGAAAAGATTGCTGAATTACCTTGTGATGTTTGCCCTGCTTCTTAGGAGGTTTTTCTCCAGGCAGCTTTTTGTCGAATTTTCCACCACTAGCGGTTGAAGTAGCGGCTAAACCTGCTACGTCTCCAAGTTCATCCTTTCCAATTTTCTTTGGTTGAGCTTTCGTTCCTGATATGGGCAATGATGTAGCAGCAAGTTGGACATGGCTGCAAATAATGTTGACCCAGTTAGATCTTCAGTTTTCAAAAAGCATGAATCATGTGGTATGATACCCCGCGTTGCGAATAAAAATGGAACAGGTCAACTCAAAAACTGAAAATATACGTTGACAAAAACCAGCAAATAAGCTTAACTCATAAAAGAAGTCGTATATGGAGCTAGCAGTGACTTCAATCTCTTCCCGTCAGATAAAACTTAAAATTTAGCAACTATATCGGTATGCTCTCTCAAGCAAGGATAACATATGCAATACCGAACAAAGAAGTTGTTTTACCTTGGTAAAGCACCAGCTTTTTCAGCTGCCTTCAAATTCTGAAGTCGATTCTTTTCTTGCTTTCCAACTCTCTTCTTTTTGTCATCCAGTCTCTTGGCAAAAGGATCTACTCCTGGTTCTGCAATTATCCAAAAGCTTTCATAAATATTAGAAAAATACTGTAACGCAACTCCATATCCTTGTCTTCACACTCAACGAGATTAGATTTCAACATTGTCTCTAACAACATAATCTAGATGCCGCAAAACAAAAGAGATAAGATAGTTTTTTTTCATAGACCTACCATCTGTTGCCTTTGCCTCAATGATGGGAACATCATTATCATCGTTAACACGGTCGTAACCATGGCGGCGCTTAAACTGATCAGTTTGTTCATCCCATGCAAGTTTATCCTTCTTGCGCTTCTGTATACCTAAGAAACAGAACCAAGAACAATTTCAAACCAAATAAACATTAGTACCTTCAAACTATATAGAACACAGAGGTCGTCGACCCATCAAAATCTGAACAAAATCAAACTTGCTATCCTCAAAACAATTTCTCAAACAGTTTTACCTTTCTTAAGCGCAAATTCTTCCCACTTTGTAGGAGGCTTAGGCCTTGGAATCTGAAAAAAAAAGGAGAAGGTTAGCATGCTTTAGTACATTCAAAAATATGAACACCCTTGTAAGAAACCACTCGTTTGGATTTCAAACTGGAAGATCTTACATGTTTCTCTCTAGGAAGTTTGGTTGTAGGCGGAGGCAATTGGACAATAGGGCCATCATTAGTTTCAGTAGAAGGAAAGTTGAAAAGAGTATTAGCTATTGCCTGAACAAGTTTTGTTCCCTCCCTAATGCACTCATTCACAAGCTCCTCCCTAATATAAAAATCGGAGAAACAGTCATCAATAACAGAAACAGAACAAACTCTCAACAGAAACAAGTACCTCAACTCAGACGATATTGTATTGATAGCGACAAAGCATTGTTCCCTAATTACAGAAAAATGTAACTGAGAAAAATGTTCAACTCCCAAATCTCTTAAACAGCAGTCAGAGGGTGGCTAAAAGACACAACCTTTTCAATTGGGTCATAGTATAAAATATTTAACTCTTGTACTTCCGAGATTGATGTTTAGAGAAACTAATTAGAGAAATGCATCTCTTAAACAAACTAATCTTAATCCAAAACAGATACAGAGAAGGTAACATGACAAAAGAGGGTTAATGTCCGTCTCGCAGACTAGCTAGTTTCAGAAATCCATATCCAATTTCAAACAGCAAAAAGAAACACTCAACCAGAACATAACGAGACCTCAGAGTCCCCTTCTGTCTCCAGAAGTCTTGCGAAAAATCCATACTTTACTTTTCCTTATTCAGCAATCGAAAAGTTTACAACAAGTATGAAGATAAACCCACATCAAATCAACTAAATCAGGATTAAACAATTATAAAATCAAGCCGCCGCCACCGAAGAACTCAACACAAGCTTCACTAAAGATAAGACGAGAAAGGACAAACCTTGAAGAAGGAGCAGAAGGGAAGCGGTGATTAGGATTGAAAGCCAAGAGATTTCCGACATCGACCTGGTATATTTGTTCTGTCTCCATCTCGGTCTCCATCTCTTCCCGGCGCAGTGTTTTGGAATTGAGAGTGGAGGAAGAAAGAAAACTTTTTGTTAGGGTTTTGCGATATTTTGAGTTAAACCTCCTTCTCTCTCTCCAATTTAAATAACGGAAATTTGCTAAGACATCCTTACAACTTTCAAAATTCAACAATTTAGCACTATTCTTTTTTTCTTAAACAAATAAGTACTTAATATTTATTAGTGTTTTTCTTGTCACGCATATACCACGAGTCCACGACGTTATCTTAGAGACTAGTGGCTAACCTTGAGTTTTGGTTTTGGTTCGCTAGTGAGTTTTGGTTGATTCTTTCAAACCGTTCATTAATCCTCAATTACAATAAGAGATGATTCAACTTTTTGATTAGAAGAACAAAACCATGTGAAAATTTTAGCTTCTTCACGAATTTTGATTATACAAGAACATGATCGAAGGTATAAAGAAGTAAAGCAATGATCCTATATCTAATCACACCGACTTTCGCGTGTTTATGTCTTTGTTATGTGCTCTCTATTCCTATAACGATCATTTTCGAAATAAATCATTTCAATGCAACAGGAATACACATTTGAATCTTATGTTAACGTACGCTTGATTTCAACATAATTCATCTAGTAATTGTTGGCCTTCACTTGTTTTTTTTTTTTGGAAGAAGAATATGTCGTGTCTTCATAATTATATCGTTATATACGCTAATAGTACTTCCATTTTTTCAAGAAAGAACCAAATATATCACCAAACCAGTTTCTTAAATTACTTCTTAATATATAAAATATACACATACATGTTCCATAAACAAGAGATTTCATATGAAACCAAATCTTCTACGGTTTCTTCTTGTAACTGCATTTTTGCGTTAAGAAATACAATGCTACCGTTTCCATACGACTGGTTAATTCACAAACGAAATCTAGTTTATAAAACGAAGACCATCATGTTTTTGGTAATTCATTGTATCATGTATCAGAAAAATTGAAGTTTTATAACCGACAATTCATTTCTAACATTATTAATTAACATCCAAAAATCTGTTTACATAGAAAAATAATTGACGACGATCAACTTGTAAAACATACAACGACATTATTCATAACATTCAAAACATCACTAAACAGCTAAATTGATTTGCAATATGATTTTAGCTTCTTTTTTGGGTACAACAAATTTGTATACCTCATCCAAAAGATATACAAATGATTTTGGTACTTGACTTAAGCAAATGACAAGTTCACATGTAAGATCAAGATTCGAGAGAGATCGTGTATCGGCCGTCTGATTCAGATCCAACGGCCATCAAGGAACAAAGAAGATGCAGAAGACGAATTTTACGCTGGTGCTTTTGCCGACCGGCTTGAGATCCGGAAAGTGTTTGGAATGTATCCACGTGGTAGCAGGCGATAGGAGGCTGATGTATCTGGTTACGGGTTACGTGTCCAAATAAATTTGCGGCAAATCTAAGGTTTGCCCCACATGATACATCTTGATCAAGTGTTAATTTGTACGTTTTTCAATTTCTAGTGTAAAAAATTAGCTAAACCTGAACATTTAAAGACAAAGATAATACTTTTAAAAACATGTAATAATGTTTTGACCCAAAAAAAAAACATGTAATGATAGCAACTAAGTTGGATTGTTCATTTTTCTAAATAAAAGATTAATAATAAAGGGTAAACGAACGACATGTGTAGTAGAGTGGCACATGTCGGGGTGTGGCGAGAGAGAGAGAGAGAGTTAGTGGATCGGGTATAAACCATTTTGTTGTGGGATAGGTTAGAACTTAGAACTATACTTTTTTGTTCATGAGAGTGTTATTTTGACTCTCCCTGGGAAGAATCTGACATTAACCACTTCAATCCGAGGCTTTTTCCTCCGATCTATTTTAAAATGTGGTAGGAACCATCATAGACACCAAAATTAACATATGCAGATTTGTAAACATTTATGTTTAGTGTATCTATACCCAAAATTTTAACATCTTTATTTATATGACATGCTTAAACTTGGAAAAAATTCTTATATACCAAATAATTATATAATTGAAGTTGATTTGTAATGAAACATGTTAAAAATAATGTTCTGTATTTGGGAGTTACACATAAATAAATAAAAGAATGTAAAATCAACCCAAAAAAGAAGAAGCAAACGATTAGCAAAAGCCTCACAAAAAATTCATAAATCTGCACTATATATAAATTACACAAACATGAAACACATAGACATGGAACAAAACAGAGAGAGATTAGAAAAAAGCTTCGACGCCTCTCAAGCACAAGCCGAATCTCACGGTGGCTACTAATACAGAAACCCCAAAAAAAACCATAACATGCCTAACCACTACTAACCCTCTAAATCCAAAAACATCAACAACAAAAAAAACCAACTTTTTTTTGTCTTTCTTTCTCTCTCAAAAAAAAAAAAAATCAATCCTTTATTCAATTTGGCGCTTTTCCGGAGATTGATTTTGCTTCTCAGGCGGCGATATGTCGGCGGCCGGTGCAAGCCCTTTGGCCGTTGCACCAATCATAGCCCCCACCACCACCACACGTCGCCGTGTCGGAGATTCTTTAGAAACCACCTCCGAACGACCTTCCATTTCCTCCGATTACTGCAACAACAACACAGTCAACATCGCCGTCTCGCCGGATTTAGACGACGGTGAAACAGGTTTACAAGGCGGCGCGTGTTCTTCACCTTCCTCAATTGGTTCCTCCTCTAGCGGATCTCATTACCACCACGATCATCACTACCATCATCATCCAACGATTCGGTACCTTCTCCTCCGTAAACTACGGTTACCGTTTCTCTTCGACGGTGGTGGATCAACGGCTGTGGTGGGTCAAGGATGGTGGTTCTGTTCAGGGAGAAACGTGGGTCGTCGGATCTTGGGTCTTCTCATGATCCTCGTCGTCGCTTCTCTCTTCCTTAGAGTTTCTCTCATGAGTGGCCGCGTCGTTGACCAAGCACACCGGAGAGATTTGAACGAGCTTGTCGTCGTACGGACGTTACACGAAGATTGGTCAATGGCTCAACGTGCAATGACGGAGAACGTCGTCATTGAGAAACTTCCCGTGAGTTTTCTTCTTCTTCTTCTTCATTACATTTTGCAAAATTCATTTTTTCCCGACAGAAAAAAACACATTTTTAGCTATATAGATTATTCTGATCGATGCCCAATTGAGGAACAGAGAAATTGGGTTCGTCAACTGATTAATCAATGCTTGTGATCAGTTTTTGTTTTTATCAATGTGTGATGATTTTTCTCTCTGTTTTTGATTTTGATGGGAATAAAGTTTTGAGCTTTATGATCAAAACCCAGAAATCATTTAGGAGCCTAAAGTTTCCTCTGTTTTGTTAACTTTGTTGAAGAGTTCTTTTTGGGTCAAAGATCGGATTTTTAACGGAAATTCGCGGTTTCTTTTTATGTCTTTTTCTCGGGAAAATTGTAATAGAAAAAAAAAAGTGGGGTAGGGGACGTAGAGGATACAACGTGTAATTCTCAGAATATCTCTAATGATTGCGTCACTGATAGATTAACCTAACGAATCATAATTCGTTTGCATTTTTCTGAGATTAGTTATATGAATTTGACGAGAATTAGTCAAATGAATTTGAGCAGCCTTTGTTTGGTATGGATTACCACTTTCTACAGTTACCATTGACCTTCGATTATGTTGCTGGAATCCTTCAACTGATGCATTATTGAATAATCATTCGAAAAGGTCTGAGATTTTGTCTCTTTTGTGTCAAATCTCGTGGATGGTGACCCTTTGATTCGTGTTGAATACTAAAAGGAATGATGTTTAATGTTTTAAGTCCCTTTGGGTTTTGCAACGTTTTCACTGTGTTTTAAGTTCCAAAGAATGCATTTGTTGTTGGGATGATTACAATTTATGAACTTTGACTAAGATTTAACTTTCTTTGTTTGTGAACTTCTTCTGCAAACGTATGAAGCCTAAAATCATTGATATGTTTGACTTGATTTTCCGATGATTTGGCGATTTACAGATTCCGGAAATATGGCAGAAACCTGAAAGTGGAAATTATCGCCAGTGTGCGTCACGTCCTAAGAACCGTTCAAGTAATGCCAGTATCTTGCATTTCCTGATTCTTTAAACAAGAGTTGCAGTTTCTAGTTTTCTGAAATTTGTGTGTGATTTAGGGCTGCGTAGGAAAACCAACGGTTATCTTTTAGTACACGCGAATGGCGGATTGAATCAGATGAGAACTGGGGTGAGTTCATGTTTAAGCATTTTACAAAGATTTGATCTCTCTGGTGTTTCTTACCTCTCTTTATTGGTTTTTCGAATAAATTGCAGATATGTGACATGGTTGCTGCAGCAAAGATTATGAATGCGACTCTTGTTCTTCCTCTCCTCGACCATGAATCTTTCTGGACTGACCCAAGGTTTTATCTTATTTACTCTACACAACAAGATATTCTCCAAGAAAAGAAGTGGAATTTGAAGAGATATTCTTTGTAATTTGCAGTACTTTCAAAGATATTTTTGACTGGAGACACTTCATGAACGTATTGAAAGATGATGTTGACATTGTCGAGTACTTACCTCCCCGATATGCAGCCATGAGACCTCTCCTCAAGGCTCCTGTTTCTTGGTCCAAGGTCTGTGCTTTGTTTCTACCATTCCCTACAACGGATTTTAGCAGCTTTTGTGGTTAAAAGTTTTGTGCTTTACGCAGGCTAGTTACTACAGAAGCGAGATGTTACCGCTGTTGAAAAAACATAAGGTGGTAAAGTTCACACACACCGATTCGCGCCTGGCCAACAATGGCTTGCCACCATCAATCCAGCGGCTGAGATGTCGTGCTAATTACCAGGCATTAGGGTACTCCAAGGAGATTGAGGATTTTGGGAAAGTTCTGGTTAACCGGTTACGAAACAACAGTGAACCCTTCATTGCTCTGCATTTGAGGTAGAGTAACATTTCTTTCTGCATCCCTTATTTTCATTTTTGAGGCACAAGATGGTTGAAAAAATGAGAATTTGAAATGCAGATACGAGAAAGATATGCTTGCATTTACAGGCTGCAGCCACAATCTCACAGCTGGAGAAGCTGAAGAGCTGAGAATAATGAGGTACAATGTTAAACATTGGAAGGAGAAAGAGATTGACAGCAGAGAGAGGCGGATCCAAGGCGGTTGCCCGATGTCTCCCCGAGAAGCAGCAATATTTCTGAAGGCAATGGGATATCCGTCCTCAACAACTGTATACATAGTTGCTGGTGAAATCTATGGAGGAAACAGTATGGATGCTTTTCGAGAAGAGTACCCAAACGTCTTTGCTCATTCATACTTAGCAACTGAAGAAGAGTTAGAGCCCTTTAAGCCATACCAGAACCGCCTGGCTGCTCTGGATTACATTGTGGCACTTGAAAGCGATGTTTTTGTATATACATATGATGGGAATATGGCTAAGGCGGTACAAGGGCACCGGAGGTTTGAAGGGTTTAAGAAGACTATCAATCCAGACAGGTTTGAATCAAACATTATTGTTTCCTTTGCTACTTTAAAAGATTTGTAGTTCTTACTGATATTTGTGAATGGCAGGTTAAATTTTGTGAGATTGATAGATCATTTAGACGAGGGTGTAATGTCTTGGGATGAGTTTTCATCAGAAGTAAAGAGATTACATAACAACAGGATTGGAGCGCCATATGCGAGACTGCCCGGTGAATTCCCTCGGCTAGAGGAGAATTTCTACGCGAACCCACAACCAGATTGCATATGTAACAAGTCTCAGCCTGAGCAACTGTGGAAATCAGGAGAGTCAGATAGATGGAAGAAGAGTGCTTCAAGATAGAAGAAAATACACAGTGAACACAATACAACGACATTGATTCAAACCTTTTTTTAGCCTTCTTGTACAATATAGGAAAAAGAAGAAGACGATTACTTGGAAGATCATTACAAATGTGTAGAATCCAATTCAACCATACATACATGAGCATCAAAGATATATAGCATTTTTTGTCCTTTGTGTCTCTTCAGAGCAGCTTCTATTAGAAATCCAAATAGAGATAATGATTGTTCATTTTAAATCACATTATTCTTTGTATTTGTTGTTATTAGAGTGACCTCAAGCATTCATTGTACATGATACATGGTTCCTTGCTATCTTGATAACAAAATCCATTGTCCCACAGAGAGATAAGAGGATAAAGCCAATGGGAACTTTTTAACTTATGTTTTGTTTTCAATTTCACTGAGCCATGTGATCGGGTCCTGACCCGAATAGATTCTAACCGGGTCAACCCTCGGAAAAAAACCCGGTTATGGTTTTTTTCTTTCTTCAATGATGGTTAAAAAAAAGTTAAGAATGTGAAAAACAGATCGTTGGCTTCGTCTCTTCAACAAGATCTCACCAATTCGATTTTCATCAACTGTAAGTATCTCTCTCTCCCCTTCTTCCTCTGATTCTCTCTCCGACTGCTCATTTCCGGCGAGGTGACACTTTCCCGGAATTTTTTTTTTGAAATTTGGACTTTTTATTCAGCTATCAATTTTTTTTGATGAAAAAAATCGATCCTTTTGTCTGGAAATTGTTCCTGGATTCTGGTAAATCTGGTTACGAGATTTGAGTTTTATTGATCTAAGGGAGATCAATCAATCAGCTTGCTTGGATTTGACTAGAAATCTTGGATCTTTCGATGAACTAAACTTGCGATTGTGGTAATCGAATTGAAAAACTATTTAGAGAGAAGTTGGATTACTCTAGTTTCTGAATCTAGTCTCATTTGTCTTTAGAAAGTGAATCCAGGACATAGGCTGATCAATGAATTCTGTTTCATCTGATTCTGCAGATATTGACGCCAGGGAATTCTAACAAGACTTGAGCTAAAACGTCAAGTTTCCTTTACTTGGTAAGCATTTGCTCTAAATAGTATAATCTTTCTTAAAGCAATGTTCACATATCTCTTAGACTAAGAGTTAGATATGATCCTCTTGTTTATTAGCGACCAAAGCTGATCTACTTACTGTCTTCCTCACATAGAATGATAACTCTAGTGTTTGAGGTTCACATTTTAACTCATCTTATGAGACAAGAGAACCATGTCTCTAGTGTTCTTAGCTTTCTCGCTGTTTTGGAGTTGCTTATGTGATTCTATTTCCGGAGGAGATTAACTTGGTTTGATGGTAATGGGTGGTCTGAGGTTTTTCTTTTTGCAATTTCAAGACAACACTGAAACACAGGAAAACAGTTTTATCTTTCAAGACACCAAATAATGAAAACTAGGACCTGCCTAGATCACTGCAGAGCTTTATAAGTAGTATTGCAATCGGTTCTTGTTCATTAATTGTTAGATTCAAGATTTTGCCTTGCTACCTTCTTTGCTTTCTTCTGAGAATGTTTAGGTACAAAGCTAAGCTAAGAGTTCTCTATCATTCAGAACACCAAATATTAAAAAGCACTGTAGTTGCTCATACACTTTCACCACTTGGATCACCACAAATGAATCCATGTTTACTTAAAACTGTATATGTTACCACTCTTTCCGAATAATTCTTGATTGTTTTCAATCCTTTCCAGTTTCCACAGAGAAATCATGGGGTTTTGGACACTAATGGAAGGATTGCTGCTATTTGCAAACGCACTGGCTATTCTCAACGAAGACCGATTTCTAGCTCCCAAAGGATGGACGCTTGCAGAACTCCACCAAACCGGAAAAAGAAACTCTCTCAAAGGCCAAATCATCGGTCTCATCCACGCCTGCCATTACATGAGGCTTCCTCTTATGCTCTTTAACTTAATTGTCATTGTCTTTAAGCTTTTCTCCGGTTAAAATGATCAAACCCCTTTTTGAATAAATTCAATCCAAACATTTCAGCAACTTCATAAGCAATTCATTCTATAGTATTTAACTTCAAAAGCTTACATTGTATACATTATTGTTATGCTTCTTACAACTACGAACACAGTGAAACAAACTAAAAACAAGTTCTTGAAACCAAAAGCTGGAAACTTTGGATCATTCATTCAACAGGAATCATGACCTCATTGGTCCTAAACGGTGGTAACGTCCATGGCGGATTATACCTAGCAAGAATGAAATCTCCGGTGATCTTAAACCCATCTTTCTCAAGATCACTAGTCAACTTCTTCACCTTCTCACTCACCACACTCTCCGAAGCCGTACCACTAAACTTAACCACACCATACTTCCTCCCTCCTTCCTCCCTAATCACAACCCTCTCATCCGTCGGACGCGGGGCCTCCTCCGCCTTCTTATACATCGACGGCAACAAAAACTGCATCGTCACCATCTTCTTCCCTCCTTCTCCACCTTCCTTAGTCACAACCGGAGAAGTCATCTCAATCTTCTCACTTTCCTTAGTAATCACCGGAGCAGTCATAGCAATCTTCTCACCTTCTTTAGTGATCACCGGAGCAGTCATAGCAATCTTCTCCGGCTTCTCATTCTCCGGTTTGCCAAACACGCCTATGTACTTAGCCAAAACCTGAAAGCCTCCGTCTTTATCACCTTTGAACTCCGACGCATCGTATGTAACCTCCGCCGCAACCGCTGGTGGGTATTCACGGATCTCATAACCATCGCCGGATTTAGTCACCGTGTATTTAGGAGTCTCTACAACGATTTTACCAAAAACCATTCCCATTATGTAAGTTTTACCAAAAACTATTCTCATAGGAGAAGAAGTATTTATCAGTTTGGTTCTTTCGGTCACTAAACGCAAACGTGTGGTTAGCATTTGATAACGTATGTGTATATTAATATTTCAATTTATTTATAGAAGACGATATGATAAACTCAAATCGAATTTTTGGCTTATTTGGTTGACAAAACAGAGACGCGTCATGGTTAATAATTTGCTTTATGACTAAATTTACAGAAGTAGTTTGACACGTTACTGGTTTTTGTGGTTCAGAGTCAGAGGTTTTTTTCGTTACGTGGGAGGTTCAGGTTCCACGAGAAAGATGATAGACTATTCTCGGTGGTTACAACGGCACGTAGTTTTAGATACCTAAACTAAAACGGCACGTAGTTAGCGTTTGGAAGGATTAGTGTGTCTTTTCCTCGTTACGGATTAAGATATCTCTGTTACCAAACAGAAGACTAGGGTTTTGTCCTTTTTTTTTTTTCCTCGGCGGCTTGTATAAATAGTTTTCTCGAGCTATTGAATCTTAAAATCTGTTCGGCGATTTGTCTGATTAAGCTAGTTTTTGATAGATTTTCTTATTCGATCGTGATTTTTTTTTTTTGTTTGTGTTTTGATTAGAGCATCGGTGATGAATCCACGAAAAAATTGTCATCCTTGCACTTTGATTGCTAGTGAAGAAACAAATGGGGTTTTCGATTTCTGAGATGCTCTTTTACTTTTTTGTTTCATCTGTGTGATTCAATGCTCGATTTTCCTTCGTGTTAGGATTGGATCGGTGATTGATTAGTTTAAATACTGCGTTATCTTTCTGCAAATCTCCTATAAAGGATTTGAAGATAAACCATGAAAAACCTGAGATCCAATGTTTTTTAATCACTTGTTTTAGATTTGGTTTTGGTTGATGGTTAGAATCAGATCAATGATGTCAATTGAAATACTGCGTTATCTATCTTAAAACCTCCGAAATAGGAGTTGCAGACACTAAACAGAAAACGCTGAGATCTGGTATTAAGCCTAATTCAATTGATAAGGTTTTATGATAATGGATTGTTGTTTTGTTCTTAATATTGGTTTTTGGGTTTTTGATTCGCTTAAACATCCATGTTAAATAAATTTATTCCACATACAATTGAAGTAGAAATGGTTTTAAGACTAGATGTCAGAATTTAGAAATTGCTTGTATTTCTGATAATCTACGAATAGTGCTAATTTGTTATATCGGCAACACATTCCGACTTCGAAAGATAGAACTGAACTGCAAACGAGATGGACTGTTGCAATTGGTAACTTGATGTGATTTATATGACTCTAATTGAACTTCCAACTTCAAAGCAGTTTGAAGGATACAGTGAGATTTCTTCGGAGACAAAACCTTATAATTAAGGCATACGAAACTGAAATTAACTCAAACAATCAGATGTCAATTAAATAACAAAACTTGACTAAAACGAAAACTTGTACCATCGATTGTTTACAATTCAGACTCACCAGTTTTTTAAGATCACTTGAAAGAAGACTTACCGAAAAAGCCGAGAAATTATTCTGGTAAAAAAAATAAATAAACCACCAACAAACCAGCCCAAACCAGGGATTAATGATTCTCATCCCTTGTCGTTCCTGGTGCGTCTGTGCCATGGCTTCATCGCAAAGGACTGGATTGTCCGGATTGTTCACGTGTATAGGGAGGCCAATCGCCTAGCGGATGGATTGGCTAACTATGCTTTTACACTACCTTTAGGTTTTCATTCTTTTGTTACAGTTCCTGCGGAACTTGTTTCGATTGTTCAGGAGGATAAGCTTGGGTCAACACGGCCAAGACGAGTCCCGGTTTGATTTTGTATTTTTCATTTTTTAAATAAATCTTGGAGACATCGTCTCTCGGTCACTCACCAAAAAAAAAAAAAAACAAACCAGCCCAAACCGGACGGTCCAAAAAGCGCAAAAATCTTAAAATCGAACGGTTAAGCACTTAAGTGAACATACCTGGATTTCCAATTTTGACCCTTAGAAAAAATTTCGCTTAACCCGCCACAAGAAATCTCCCGGCAAAATCGAATTAAACCGTTCCAAAATCTCCCGCTACTCCTTTACCTTCTTCTTCTAATCATCTTCTCTCTATCCTTGGCTTCTTCGCATTCCGATCTTTAGGGTTTCGGAGAAATGGCGAAATCGAACAGATCCAAGACTTCAGAGCGTATAATAGGCAATGGTGAAGTTACTCCGATTCAAGTCGCCTTCCTCGTCGATCGATACCTTTGCGATAATCGCTTTTTAAAAACCCGATCTCTTTTCAGATCTGAAGCTTCTTCTCTCATCTCCAATTCACCTGTTCGCGAAGTAAGCACCTGGAGAAATTCTCATTTCTCAATTTGATTCATCTATTAGTGAGTCTTATAGTTTTTTTGATTTTGTAGGTTCCGAATAGTTTGTTACCTTTGAATGAGATTTTGAACGAATACATTAGTCTCAAGAAGGAGAAGATGGCGATGGATCAGGAGAAATTGAAACTGGATCAAGAGAAAACTCGAGTTCAGAATCTATTAAATGGGATGCAAGATGTGATGAATGCTTATAACTCCACCGTCCTCGCATCTCCTCCTCCTCCTCCGGCGATTGCGGCCGCAGCTTCGAAGGAGGTCCAAGTGGTTGCTTCAAGTTCTAAACAGAACAATTTCGGTGTCTCTTCTTCAGGTAATTGAAGATTACTACTGCTTTTGGTTGATTCTGGAACTAAAATTATTACTATTTTAGTTTGTGTTGATCTTGATTGTCACATTCTCTGAGTTTAAGATTGAAGCTATCTGAAGTAGATTATAGTTAAATACAGTCTCTTTTTTTGTGCTGAAGCTATTTGAAATAGGTTATAGGCAAATAGAGTCGCATTTTGTGCTGATTGGTGTTGTTTAGCTATCATTCATGTTGGTTTTGCATTTGTGTACTCAATTGCAATAGATTATAGGCAGATAGAATTTCCTTTTGTGCCAAAGATAACAGACTTGGTCACCAAATTTGCCAATTGGTTGTTTTGTTTTCCAGAGATTTTTCATTGGAAGGATGATATATAACTTGATGTAAAATTGATGTTTCTCTGGAACTAATGACATGTTCTTATCTCCAGGCTGCGCCGCTTACAACACAAATAATGTTATGGCAGTATCATTACCAGGAAACAAAAGAGTTGGGAATTTCACAGCACCTTGTATCAGTCAGTCTATAACCAAAAAGCGAAAGAGTCCTGAAGTTTCTGTTGGAGCTCCTTCTGTTTCTAGGAAAGGTAGTTGTACTGCTGTTTATTCTTAATATAGTTCATTGATGTGATACCTTTAAGTCTCCATTATCCTTAAACTTGCTTTTGTGTCTTCTTTTTCTTAATCCAGGTATGAAAAAGATCCCACAAGCTGATAAGGTGACTAATTACTTGACATTTCAAACACCATCTGAAATGCAAACGCCGGTGAACAACGGTGTAGCTAATGAGTCGTCTGATCTTACATCAAGTGTGGCAAAGTGTTTGTTTGACAAATCAGGCACCTCTCCTCCGATCAATTCAGCTTGTCCGAGGACACCACAACAGAAAGTATCTCCTCAGAGTGATAAAGAAGTTACTCCTACAAACTGCACAATTGTTACTAAGGAGAGAATCACAGTCAGTCCTCTCAAACAAATTGCTTCTTATACAGTGGAAAGGAGCCATACGGTTTCTTCTTTTTCGCCGGTTAAATCTAATCTGAAAACGTCGAGTAAAAGAGATCATGTGAAAGGAAGGCTCAACTTCGATGACACTGAAGCCACAATGCATTTTGATGCACCTGCCACTGCTGATATGATTTCAACTTCCTCATCTGGCTCTGAAGCAGAAGCTGATTTATTTGACATAGATTTCTCCAATATAGATCTTCTGAGTGAAGACTTTTCATTTTCGGAGCTACTAGTCGATTTCGATCTTGGTTGTGAAGGAATGCCAGACCCTTGCCTTCCACAACCATCTAATTTCCACATAGAGACTGCTTCAGGGTATATTCTTCTCTTTGGCTTAATAACCATCTGAAAATCCCAATTATATACTGCCATTTACTTATTAGATCCAATTCTGAATCACAGGTCATCTCCTGAATCAAGAAACACGAATCTAGAGCCTGACCAGCTTGTATCACAGTATACATCAACAGTAACAGAAATGATTCAAGGGAAAGACATGAACACACAAGGTTGGTTTAGTCCAAGTCTTCACTTGATATTTTAGATGTTAAATGCTATTAGCTGTTTTCACTGATAAACTCTTACTGTTTCAATTTGCAGGATCTGACTCCATGACTACTGTTAAGTCCATAACAAAATGCCTACGAATCTTAAGTCCTGGTAATTGCTCTTTCTCACTGTGATCTGATCATGCATATTTTATTCCTAACATGACAAGTTTTCTTCTATCTGCAGCTAAGAATTGCAGACAGAGTCACACTTGACTGATTTGATTCTCCGAGTTGACCACCACGCTTTTATGCATTTGGAGAGTCTTCAACATTAACTTAGATCGTTTTTTTGAATATATTATGAGAACGTATCCCTTTGGTTAGCTCCTGACTAGTTCTAAATGTAAGTTATATACATAATTAAATATTTCCTCTTTAAGTTAGTATAGTTTGGTAGCTCAATTCTCTACATGACTATTGATAAAAGTAGAATTAACTTGTTATTTTACATTTCATGTTTCTATTTGATTTACCACCAAAAATTATCTGAATCAAACCAAGTACTTGTCCAGCTTCTCCACTTATTATTCTGTCCACCTAATTTGGGCCACCAGCCAAATGTTTCTGTTGAACAAAACATAACATTCAAATACTTCCAGTTTCTGGTCTTGAGTAAACAACTTTTCCAGTTTTGAACATGAAACTGTTGAGACAGAGCAACTACTTGTGTTGTCCTTTTCCATGTTTATTAACAAACAAAACATAAAGAGTCAAAAAAAAAGAAAAAAAAGAAATTGGGCAGAATATATGAGCAACACTCGTACGAGGTGATCTTAACTTAAACCTTCATGTGTCCTAGTTATAAAATGTATGTAAGAATTTTTCACATTTTGGAATTTACATTGAATAATTTTGTTGAATTAATATTTTAATCTCTTAGAATTGAAAAATGATTTGCGGTCTTTGTAATGACCTTTGTTAGAACACTGAATACGAAAAACAAATCGTCGGAGCTTCATAATTTTACTAGCTAGCTCCCAAATATACAACATGCTTCGTCTCATGAATTGAGTTAGTACATATCTCCTCCTTTGAAGAGATAATGAACTTTTTTTATATATTTAAAATATCTGTCATTTGGATAGAAGAAAATTCCAAATATAAGATTCAAATGAAACAAAAAATAGGTATGTCTTGTCATTAGAACCAGACCCACCAACTTGTTAAACTGTTGTATTTTTTTATTTTCCATCAAAATTCGTTTTACCCTTTTTGTTTCTTTTATTCCTTTGGTGTCCATGGTGGTTCAACATTTTGACGTGGAAAATGAGATTCCTATTTCTTTTTAGTTTTAATTTGTATGCCTTTAAGAATAAATATATATTCCTTGCTTGTTTGAAATATCTTTCTTCCTCATAAAAATAAATTTTAATCTACGTTTTAGATCTGTTTCTCTTGGATAACTAGAAACATTATATAATACGGCTTTTTTTTTTGTGTTGATAGAATATTACACCGTACCGTTAGATCTATTAAAAAATTTAGTGGTATGACATTCGTAAGGTTGTGATAAATCCACATGTGGAGGAAGTGTTTATTGAGGATGAGTTTGAGGACCAAAAATAAAATCAAGAGAATCTGAGAGTGATATAAAATATTGGAAATATGCATATGATGTTATGGTGCAGACACAAACACAAAATAGCCATATTTTGTTTTTCTCAAAGTTGTGTTTGGCGTAATATATCGACATTAAGTTGCCGACTAGCGATGAGGAAAATTACAAGATAATGACACTATACGATCAGTTTTTTATTTTTTAAAACACGTTAATTATCGGTAAGAGATTCTAGTTGCAAGAAAATATGGTAGTGTGAGTGAATAAGATGACCACTGGTCCACTGGAGTAATATTTCAATGATTTCGTTAGTAATACTTGTTTTATGGTATTTCAACCAAAATAAATTATGGGAAATCAAGTGCAAAACTTTCAAGGTTTAAAGTGGGAGCTGGTGTCACTTTGAAGGTTTTTTGTGGGATTTTCCCATTATATATGTTTTTCTACGAATTATAAAATCAATTTCCAAAGACTCCCACAGTTTGATTACTGTTGTGTTATTAACATCAAACTTTTACCAAATAATGGACCAATTAGACTAGTAAATAAGAAAGACAACAAAGTCCTACAAAAAGATGACTCAAACCAGAGAGTACGTACCATTTTAAACCGTAGATTTTGCCTTTGTACCATCAATAAATCAAAGATCACAAAACAAATCCGGCCGTGATTAAAATTGGTCGGATGCGGGAATGAGTCAAAGTTTATCCAAAACATGAAAATCTACATTGTAATGACATAACTACCCCTATGCGATTTCTATTTATGATTATTTCTTAACAACAACCAAGGATAGATTCGGGTTATCATTAACTAGAAATCCCTTTATAGAATTATGAAATTAGTTTTTAGAGATAATCGAACAAACATCTCTTAAATTTGGTACAAGCTGAGATATAAAACTTGTTATCTTTTTTTCTTTTTCTCTCACAATACCTTTTTTTTATATAACTATTATAATTTATTCTTCATCTTGTAGAACAATATCTTCTTCCTTAATAATAGTTTTTCACTTTCACTCTGTTTTTAGCTTATTATTAATTCCTGCTCCACCACTACTCACTCACTCCTCCTACAATTTCGTTACTCATTTTTCTCAGTTAATAATAAATCTTTTTGTTTGTTTGTTAAAATCACCAAATCCACCAAAAACCTACTTCCTTAAATCCTTCAATTCTATTCTCATTTCCATATTTATTCACTTTGGCATTATAAAAAAAAAAGGTTTTCATTAGGCACACAATAATGACGGACATCGATTTAGAACAAGGAGGAGCTTTTGGATATCATCACCGGAGGTCATTGGACGGAAGTGACGTAAGCGTTTATTATTCAGACGGTGAAGATGTGACGTCATGCTACTCTTACTTCTATTCAACGACTGGAGGATCGTATGAATACGAAGGAGATCAGTCGAGGAAAGTGTCGTCGGTGATGAGTCCGTCGTCGGAGATAGATGATGATGATGATGATGATGCGTCGGCGCCGCCGGAGAAAGATTGTCGTATATGTCATATGGGAGTGGAAACGAGCGGTGGAGGTGGGATTGAATTAGGGTGTTCTTGTAAAGAAGATTTGGCTGTTGCTCATAGACAATGTGCTGAGACTTGGTTCAAGATCAAAGGCGACAAGTAATTTAACTACTTCTTCTAAATTTTGAGCTCTTAATTACTTCTTTTTCTAACAAATGTTTTCTTTAATATTCGAGTTATGGGTTTTGATTTACTTGATCACAAGTTTTGTTAGGATTCTTAGGAGATCTTTTTGTTTTTTGTTTGTTCAGTAATAATACGTTTTATTGATTATTTTTATTGACTTATTCTTTAATAATTATTGAATTTGTCAAACTTTTTATTTGTAAAATTGGAATATGAGAAGCTTAAGTTCTTTAGCTATAGAGCTAATAATTTTATATTTTCTAGAGTGTTTTCTTTATCAGTGTATTTAAAAAATGATTGTAGGTAAACCACTCAAAATTCACTGTTATAATACCTTCATCTGTTTTTTTTTTTGCTTTTTAAAGTAACTATGTTAATATTTTAGAAACCGTTAATTATTTAATAATTTTTTTATAAAATGATTGAACATAAGTTCTACAATCAAAAAGCAAAAGAGCTATGACATCATGTGGAGTATAACTATTACTTTAAGCGCTTAAATAATCTGCTAAAGAATTATTAGCCATTTAAGCACGTACCTTTCTGTGAGTTATTCTATCATAAGTATGCACTGGAGAGTTTTGTCCACTTTTAATAGAAATTAACATATCTTATTGAAACAGAATCTGCGAGATTTGCCAATCGGTAGCCCGAAACGTCGGTGGTGCGAACGAAATGGTTGGGTCAACGATGGAAGAGAGGGAGTTGAGAAACGGTGAGGAAACTGCGGCGGGAGGAGGCGGAGGAGCAACGGTGGTGGAGAACAGGTGGCAGCCACAGAGAGTGGTGAATTTAGTGTTAGCGTGTATGGTTTTTGGGTTCTTTATATCATGGATCTTTCATTTCCATGTTTCCTCTTCTTCTTGAACCCATAAAATACTTATGGTCTTGCAATCAAACTACACACTTTACTTTAAAGGATGCTTAAAGCTTTAGAGACAACATCGTCTCATACAAGCTCAAAACGGTTCCTAGTAACAAAATTGAAATAAATAAAACCAACTTGATACAACAAGGATGATTACTTGGGGAATAAGGAACTGGACAATGTACTACGAGTCTACGAATAGCATTTGCCCTAACTTGTCTCTATCATTGTTCTTCTTTTCTGGAACCAATAACCAAAAACTAAATGTTTGACCCCACTTACACAAGAATCTTTTACTTACTCTAAATACTAAAAATATGAATCATCTATAAACTATAAAAGTTTTGTCGGAGGATTATTTTGCAACTAAATAATAATATGGGCTTTATGATTTTGGCCCAAAGAAAGACACTAGGTCATCGTATGATATGACATTATGACGTATTAAAAAGGTGCAGGGTTTAGTAGCAGCCGCTGACAATTTTCTTTTCCTCAGAAGAGAATGAGTGAGCGTAAAAGAGTTTTAGATAAATGTGTAAGAAGAGTCAGTCTATGCCATAGTTGTCTCTTTAGAGTCTTTGATATATAATGTGTACTTTCTTGTTGCTGTTCTGTTTCAGACGATGTTGACTTCTTTTCCTTTCGTGTTGTGTATTTGGGTTTCGGTTGTTAAGTCTAAACAAAGTAGTAAGCCTATGTAAATATGTAAAGTGGAGGTTAAGCAAAGTGGCTGGCCAAAATTCTTCAATTTCTCCGCCGGTACCATTAATTAGTGTTGGAAGTTGATTAATTGCTTAATCACATGCAAGAGAAACCTGAGGAGAAAGGTGAGAAGATGATGAAGAAGAAGCTTCAATGAAGCGAAGAGGAGATGATGGAGAACTAGAACAAGTGTCGTGAAGTGTGAATTGTGACTTTGGTCACAATTAGATGATTAAGAGGCCATTGGGCCAACAAATAAGTAAAGCCCAAATAGAATTGGGTTTGTTTTTTTTAGTAGAAAGTTGTTAGGTTTAAGGATAAGGCATTAGTATAAATCTGTTGGAATGTTGTAAGAGAAGTATATTAGAGATTAAGGAGAAAGATGTCGAAATTGGCTAAACTAAATCATCTCCAAGAGATCTAAAGAGACTAACAATGTACACATACAAAGATAATCTCTCTAAGTGTTCTATAAGCTTTGTGATTAACTCCTGTTTTTTTACACGAAAAAAAAAAAAAGCTTTGTGATTAACAAAACAAAGCATAGGAGAGAACTAAAGCTAAACTTTAAATCTTTTAAAATAAAACCTATATTCTAAAATATAAATCCAAAATTTATATTATAAATTCTTAAAAATCTTTTTAGTGTATATTGATTGAGACACTCTACTGAACAGAAACGAGATTTTGCCTCCTGATTGTTTTGGAGGTGTATAATCCTCAATCTCCTTATGTGATACATAGACACTTGTTAGTTATTATGGGTACAAAATTTCAGTTTTTCTGATCATATCAATAAAGTCAACGGCAATGAGTGATAGGCAAAAAAATTTGGTAAACGAAACAAATCATAGTGGTTTCTACCACTGTAAAGAAGGCTAACAACATTCTTGTTTGTCTTCCCTTTTCCCGAGCCTCCTCGAAACTCACTTCCATACTCGACAGTGTGAAAAAACCAGACAACCAGAAGGAGAAAAAGATAGTCAGAATATGTAAGTACTAAACAAAACTAGCGAAACAAGTAAGACAGTATCCATCTGATTCATCTTCAACATCGGAATCTCATGTAAAGTTTTTAGTTTTCTATAGTAACTCATAAAAACCATCCCCTTTCAAATCTTATTCACGTCAACCAGCAGCACTTTGAGAGAGACACGGAGAGACTGAATGATAGCAACTGGGCTGCCCGGTGTTGTGTTAAGCAGTCTCTCAAGAACATGATCAGCTTGTCGAAGGATTGGCTGAGCCCGGTCAACAAACTTGCGGTCTCTTGGGTCCATTCCTAAGATCAAATCAGACATACAACCTACCTTACCATTTATATCACTGGTGGTGCTATTGATGCTTGTGGTTAGATACTGCAGCATCCGAAGATTCAATACTATTCTTCAAAAGAAAGTCTTCCATTTTGTAATTAAAGTCACATATATTAATTATAGTAGAATCCAATCAAATTGAAGAAGAAATAACAGTGAAATCAATCAAAGAGAAAATTTTGTACAAACGTCTTTTTTTGTGAATATAAATTTACATTCATACAAAAAGAAAATTTTGTGTTGCAGTTAATGTAGAAGGTGAAACTACAATTCAGACACTTAGAAGCTCTAGTCTGAGAAACACCAAGGGTACGTTTTGACATCAGAAATGACCAAGTTGAGTTTGGGCAGTAGACCTTATCCAAAACATGGATCTTGTCCTCCTCCTCCCGTTGGATCATATGAGCAATTTGATCATCATCAACAATTTTGTGACAGTCATTTGCGAGAAATACTGAGTTGCAACCAAATGATAGACACTTTACTGAAATAAATAATATATTAGATCAATCAAGCATGCATTTTTCAGTGAAATAAATAATATTGTATAGTTAAAATAATATTGAAATTACCCACTCTCAAGGTTCTAAAATTAATTTTCAACATGTGGATTTAACAAACAATATACATATATTTGTCCAATCTTGTATGTCACCACCACAAAACACATGTATCCCCCAATCTTGTAAAAGTATAAAAGTCATGAACAATGTTTGTCCTGAGGCCATCATGAGGAAGTTTGTTCATTAATTGATACCATTATTTAGGTCACAACAAATAAAATAAAATGCTCCCAAATTTCTTTATCATCATCAAGAGAACCTCCATCGTTACCAAAACATCTAATGTCAACTAAATTATGAGAAATATTCATGACTACTGCTGTAAAGTCCATAACAAAAAATGCTTACACGGAAATCTTAAGCCAAGAATTGTGATATTTTTTTCTATCACAAAACTACACACTATTGCTGTCAATCTTTTCATATTAGATCTTTTCACGCGCCATTCATTGAGTTATCGGTGTGAACTCCATTGCTGTCAATCTTCCCGTTCACCTGAGCCCTCGGCCTCTGTAACCCGCACCAACAAAAAAACATTTAAGACCAAACTATGGGATTTGTTCAGATTGAGAAGGAGAACAAACACAGATTCAGATGCATACCCAATCAGCAGGATCAACACCGTTCCCATTCAACAGCTTGTGGTTCTCTTCTTTGGTTCTGTCTTTTGAGATTACTGGGAGCAACACAGCAGTCCGATCTGGTAATTCTGTGGTATTGACGTTTGAGGAAGATATGAGAAACTGTGTCTCCGCAAAATAAGACAAAAAGTGTTGAAGTTTCAGTGAAGAAGGGTTCTCTGAGATCAAACCTGGTAATTTCTTGTCTAGACAGAACACCACCAAATTCACAGTATACCTAAACAGGGGAAGAATCAACAAAACAAGTCAATATATCTCTGTATTCAGTGAAATTTTTTGTTGCGTCAATTTTTGTGTGACAGTAAAAACATACCATGCAACAACGACATCGACACTGTAATGTTTACGAGAGGCAATGATCAAGAGGCTCTGCACGATTGCAGTGAGCCACCCAAACAGCTTTATGAACCTGAGATATGGTATAAACAAAAGAGTGATGTAGAGATGTGATTTACAGAGAAGATTTTAACACGTTGCCAAAAGAAGTTTTACCTTTTAGTGCCGTATTTCTGGTAAGTACGGACAAAGACTAGAGTGAATATCATATGCGATGAGAAAATCAGGTCTCCGCATCCGTACATTACCCCATGAGCTGATGAGATCAGAGTCATCACATGAGAACATAAGCAAACAAAGAAATGCCTGTGAACGCAATCTGATATCAGGGAAAGAGAAATATGTAGACTCACGGTTAATCTCGAGCACCTCAAGAGCGCTTTTGGGCCATGGCAACCTGGAAACTTTAGAGCCCTGTAGAAAAAAAGTGGGCAAAATTAAGCTTAACTGATTAAACAGATGACACATTGTGTATGTATCTCAGTTGATTTACCTCGCGACAGTGATAGTTAGGGCCAGGAAGCTGAGTTGAATAGAAAGTAATAACACGGAGAAACTGGCAGGCCTGAAAACAGAAAAATCGACAAACTTCAATATTAACAAGACAAAGTAATCTCAGGAAGCTTTTATTTTGCAATGACTATTAAGGCAGGAACTTACAACTAAGAATGCTAGAACTCTGCACCATATCAACACAGTGTATATCTTTTTGGTTTTCAAAATGAATGGATGGAAAGTCCACTGCAAGAGAGAGGCTCAAGGAGTGTTAATATCGAAATATAATAATGTAATGGCTGATTTGATACAATGACTGTCAAAGAAAGATTCAGCTATTACTAAGAACATATCACCAGAAAGAGAGCCAACCCATATAAATCTTAGAATACTGAGGAAGCTATCAAGATCGAAAGGCTCACCAGGAAAAACGAAAGAAACACACTAGTGAACACGGTTTCACTTATGTAGCTTCTCTCTTGACCAAGCTCCTATACAATGGAAAACAAAAGTAATAAGACATCTATTCTGATCCAATGAGTAGTTAACTCAGAAGTCAGAACTGCGCATATAGCTGGTATATCTAAAAGACAAACCGGAAGAAGAAAGAACCCAAGATCCTGAAGTGTCGGTCCTGGGCGATGAATATAATGAACTCCTTTAGCAGCTAAACCATGAATGTACTGCACATAAGAGGGGAAATGCTACATTGTTGAGCTCAAAACGAAAGCCAAGAGTCCAAGACACATGTTTCTCTGCTGAGAAAGCAAAGGCACAAGCTTTCTCTCAAAAGTTACTATGTATAACAAAACAATGATCATAATTACAAGTATCCTACGTATTCCATTTCAGGCTTCAACCAAAAAGAGACACGAGTCATCCATCATTACACACTCAGCATAAGAAATATCGATCCAATTGATCTGAATCTAACGAGAATCATCAATCATTTCAAACTAACAACAACAAAAAGCTCACATATCAGAGTTCTCAGTAATGAATCAAAGTTTAGAGTTTTAAGATGGTGAAACCTGACAGATAAGACCAGCGAGAAGATATTTCCAGTTCTCAGCAAGAAGACCAATCTCCGTCGATATCTCAGAGCAAAATCTCTTCCATAGCTATTGAACAAAAGAGCCCAGACACTAACAAATCAGCCAAAAATCTGAAAAACCCAGGATTCGAATTAGGTGAAAACTCAACGAACCTTGGAAGATTCGCGACGAATGTAAAGTGTCATCTTATTCTTGTTTGTTGATGATGTTCTTGTATTGTGACAATCAGTTCCATAAGTAACTTCAGACCTCAACAAATTGGGTCAACATCATCAAACACTCAACCAAAATCGTGCCCTTTATAAAATTATAAACTCTCGAGCTTCTCACCGGAAAAGGTTTGATTTTTAGCCGAACCCAAATTCGACGGTCAACGATCGAGATGGTCGTCAATACAAGATCTGAGAATAAGAAAAAAACGAGAACGAGAGAGACGAAACGAAAGAAAGTTAACAGAGAGAGATCGAAGAAGAAAGTCTAAAAAACTTTTGAAGTAGAAAAAAGCGAAATTTTCTTTAGCAGAATCTGAGAAATGAAGAAGCCATAGATTAAAAAGGCGAGAGTTCAACACGGAGAAACGGTTGAATTGAAAATTATTATAAATAAGAAACAAAATATAATTCAAACCCCGAGAAAATAATTTAGAGAAATATATTTATTTTTATTCGAGGAAAAAAGAAGTTTCTTTATACGAATAATTTTTAGCTATTAAACTAAAATTTCTAACATTAATTATCAGAATTTATTTATTACAGGTTGATAGCTGTTATATTGTGAGCTATATGATTTTTATACCAATTTTAGAGAGTGACTGGTAGAAATTGTAACAGTAGAAATTCTACTGTAGAATATTTGGGTGTATTTAGCTGTTAATTATTCAATTTTTGCTATGAATTTAACTATTGATGAAGGCTTAATGGATCTATAAAAATTATTAGTTGTTAAATATAGATTTATATTAAAAATTATATGAAGCAACTTAACAAACTTTAACAATAAATGAAATAATTCATGGTGGTCTAATTGTAGAGAAATTCATCCTGGAAATATAAAAACCAATCTTCAAGTTCAATACTATTTCAAATATGGTTAGACATTGTATATGGTTTAAATGGTAAAGAACAAAACTCAAGCTATTTAAGTTAGTTTTTTTTGCCTTTTTTGAAAATAATTATTTGAAGTCAAGTAATCAAAATTGTTGAAGGCAAAATGTGAACCGAAAATTAAAAAAAAAAAAAAAGAATATGCAGAAATGGTGGATAGAAAGAAAAGTCATAAAAGTCTCCTTAGGGAAAATATCAAAATATATGAAAAGTCAATCTTTCAATCCATTAAATTTTGGTGTTCCAATCACATGTTTTTAAGGATTGGTAGTAACATTTTGGCCATTTTTGGTCCGACAATCCTCACAACTTTGGCTTTAATCTTGTTGTCATTATTTTTTCTTACTCTAAGAAACTCGCAATAAATGTCGATTGATTTTTCTTACATATGTTTTCTTAACCTTTTTAAAGATTCATTTATCTTAAAATAGCCTTTTGATTAAGCAGACATGTAGTATCCTTAGAATTCTTGAAGAGAATTTTAGAACAAGTGTACTCATTTTTAAATTATTATCAGAAAAAAGTAGAGTGCACATTAGAATCATTTTCACTCATATTTAACCCTTTTAGTTTACAAAAGTTCATAGTAAGAGACCTATACAATTTTGTTTCTATTAAACAAGAAGTTTTTTTTTTAATGTAATTTTGCTTTTTAAGATTAGAATTCTATATAATCAATTGCATGTTACAAAAGTTTTTTTATGATTGTTTTAGGAATTATAAAAGAATTCTAGAATAATCTAAGCACTCCAGCCTGTGTTTTGTTCTAAAAGAGTCGCTTTCAAAAAGAAAAAAATATCGTATGCAAATTTGGAGAAAAGTATTTACCTTATAATTATGATTGAAATTCTCAAAGTGAAAATAGGAAACAAGTTGTATCGCTCAAAATTAGAATATTCAAAATTCTGAAAAAGAGCTTTTTTTGTTCAGTAAGTAAAACTAAAAAGTAGTCAGTGGTCACGAGATGAAACCTACCAACCGTTATTGACGCTTTAATTTAAAATTTCGAAGGTAATGTCGGGGTAATTAGTGTTAAGTAAGTGGCCAATTTGCAAACATAACAAAGATTAATCAAGGTTTAATTGAAAAGAACACCACACGTGGAGGAATATGATTTGGAGGAGCATGTGGGTACGTAGGGTAATGCAGCGAAGCATGTCTGTCAAATACGATTTTTTCCTCACATGCCTCTCTCTATTCATTTATCATCAAATGTATTTAAATACTAAAATCTAAAATGGTTTTGATTCAACCATATAAACGTCTTGAATTGAAAAGAAATTTAGTTCGAATTTTAATCACAGGATAATATATGCAAAACCATAAACCCTATATTATTCATAAAAGCATTTCACTATTTTGTACACTGTGAAAATTCTAAATGATTAACTATGCCATACAATTATGTCATAAAATTCTTAATTACAAATATATTAAAGCCCAGCCCACACCAGATCCAACACTGTCTAGCCCAACTCTCTCTACCTCTAGACCCGACCGATTGGAGAAACCGGTGGGTTTGTTGCGTATTTCGCCGGTGTTTCTCTCTTCAACAAACCATCTCCGATCACAACTTCTTCTTCTTCTTCCTCCTGACACCAACTCTGATGACTAGTTACTGCTAACGAAATGAAAAATGCTTCCAAGAGAGAGATCGATGAGCCAAACTCAACAGAGTGGAGTTCATCGCCGTGACTCACCATTTTGAATGCTGGCTCGTCTCTTTCCTGTGAGAATCAATCAAATCGTTGAGAATGACTCAAATCATCAATGCCCAGAAGTCTATTTGAAGTGAATAAGTTAGTTTACCTGATCAAACAATTGAAAGCTTGAGAAAGTTTGAGACTTTGTAGACAGGACACGGAGTTTGCAACCGATGTCCCAACCACCGCAGTCGCATGTTTCACCGGATTTCCATCGCTCAATCAACGGCAAAGGGGCATTGTTACTGTCTTTAGGCAATGTGTGAACTCCACTTGGGAGTATAATTGTAGTTGTGTTTCTTGTCTGAACAATTGCTGCAAGCTCTTCATTGGTCGAATCAACACCGAACAAAACAGATTCTGATTTGTGGATTGATGAATCTGTGGCGGAAGTAGAAGTAACAGTCTTCATTTGACCGATGATCGTATGTACAAATGGATGTTCGTTCTTGTGGCGGCTTAACCAGTTTCCGCTCTGTTTCTTTACTTCGTTGACGGTGTACAATGTGTAAGACAGTGTAGAAGAATCTGAACTCTTCATGGTGGCAGCGAGAACGTTATTGCTGTTGTCTCCAACAACAAACTGAAACAGATTGATACCTTTTCTCAATGTGAATTGCAAAAGAGCGTGAACTCTTGAGCTGCATTGCTTCTTTTCTATGGTTGGTGGTCTTGTGTTGGAAGGTTTTGAAGCCACCACTTGTAATGGTATATTTCTTTTTTCGGTCTTGGGTATTAATAAAGGACCTGATCTTGTTCTGTTGTGACCATTCGGCTTCGTTCTTGTTGAGTGAGTGGCGTAAACTGAGTCGGTGAATGTCAAAGGACCTGATTTAGCTGAAGCATGAGATACGCTTGACAATGTAGTAGCAGATGATGAACTTTCTTTGGAACTGAAACTTCTACTCATCTGACTAAAACTGAAGCTAAACCGCCGGTTAGGGGAAGGATCTCTTTCCTTTTTGGATGACACAGTGGGAATATTTTGATCCAACAAGCATGGTTTCTCTTGGTTCCTTTTAACCACAGTTACCGGACTTGAACATTCGCCTTCGACATCACGCCTTCTGTCTTGACATTCAACTGTTCTAAATGTCTCTGACCCTGGAGAGATACAAGAGCTAAGCTCAGAGGCATTACTTGGAGATGCTTGATGTTCTCTCTGCTTCATACTCAGAAGTTGATGATCTCGTTTTCCCTTTTGATCCATTCTCATCACAGTACCAGCATCCATTGCATCTGAAAATGCTTGTGATCTAAGTGAGAAACTCTGATTTCTCAAGTGTTGAGACTTCAAATCCACCTCCAATCTTTTGACTACACCGGTCGATAAATCTAGCTCCAATGAACTTTCAGTAGTTTCGGCATAACTACAACACGCTTCTTTGGTTCCATCTGCATTAGTATCCTTCCATTTTTCAAACTGCTTCCAATCCAAAACCCCAAAACTCAGCGCCTTTCCGCGGAAATCTTCTTTACTTCTTCGGAGATACTTTGGCGGATCCAACATATCATGCTTCACAGACTCATCCTTACCTTGACACAAGGGATATCTATCTTCATAAACTTTGGAGCCTCTTTGTTGTCTCACCATAGTGATATAATAATCACCTCCAACCTCAAAGTAAATTCTCTATATTTCATTCAAGACTATACAAAATCTTAGTTTCTTCATCCACCTTTACACTAACCACTCTGCAATAATAAGACATAAAGATTATCATCAGAGAAAATTTAGGCATAAAATTTTCACTAGAGAATTCAATGGAGTCACACAATTTAATACTTTCTTCATACTCAATTCTTGAAGATCTCTGAACTTAGAAATCGATTAACGCAGGGAAGAACCAAAACAATCACAGATCTAACTAAAAATTAGGAGAATCAGAAACCTTTGTCAAGAAATAAGAATATTTAGCAATGGATCACCAAAGAAGAAAGAGAAAGCAAAACGCAATTGGCACTTTCCCTTTTCTTTTTTCTCATTCCAAACCAAACCAGAGAGAGGAAAAAGTGGGAAATAGGGACCACTTACGGAGAAAACTCAGGCAGATCGGAGAAAGCTGTGAGAGGAAAAAGAAAAGCTTGAAGCGTGGTGGCGCGAAATCAAAAGGTAGAAGACGAAGGGGAGACGAAAGAATTTAGTGTGTTTGAAGGATTCTGACCGAAGCAAAGTACTTAAAACTGCCACTCAAGTCCAAACACTCGAGTTTCAGTTACTAGCTAGCTACTACTGAATTTAATTCTTTATTTATTTCATTTAACTCTCTTCCGTTAAATATCCCGTTTTACTTTAATTTATTTAGTTAAATATTTAAAACATTTTCTCAAAGAAGAAAAAAAATAAAATTAGCGTAAGCATCCTCTAGTTTTCTGAATTTGGTAATTGTATCTCCTTCCTTTTACATTTAGTTTGAGGATCTTGTCGTGGTGAAATCTATTGGATGTGAGTTTTTAAATCGGGGTGGTCCAAAGGTGGTGCCGCATGAGGTGATGAGTAAGAAAGCTGACAATGATTTCATAGGACAATTTGGTCCGGCTAAGATAGAGTTGTTTTGTGGGTTATTTTGCTATCTATATAATTTTTTTTTTGTGTGTTTGAATCATAATTGAAGTACTGTTTCGGCTGAAGAACATTGAGATAGGTATAGGCACTTTAATTGCAACTGATTTGATTTTTTCTCTTTATAGGTGCCTTGACATTAGATCTAGATTCAAAACCAATTGTTCAAATATTTATACGCTTTACATCAATCATGTGAAATTTGAAATGCATAAAAGAATTTGAAATAGTTTTCACTCATCACAAAAGTTAAAAGTTGCATTATAGTTGAGTTGGAATATCCGTATAAACAAAGGTTAGATGATGGAGAGTGGACTACACCATAAAGATCCTTCTCCTCACCTTAAACGTTGCTATGCTTCGTGCATCCGAGTGTTCAAACTCATAATCCTTAAGTGTTTTTTTGTGTGTTTGCGGTTAAACTTGCGAAATAGAGAACGTGGCCTAATCGGTAATATATATGCTACAAGGGCCCATAACCATAGTTGTTTGTTTCTTGGCATGGTACATTAGCATGGGCAACATTATACTCTTCGATCATGTGATAAGCCTTCTCTCGTAGAAGAACGCAAACTTGACGTAATTTAGATCTTTTGTAATTTGGATAAGTTTTAAAAATGTTCTGCTGAATCGAGGGGATCGGATTAGTATTTTAGCTCTTGTAACATGGGCTAGGTCACCTTTATCACTGAAAATTTTATGTCACTTTGTGTTGACATAATTAAAAATCTCATATATCGACTAATCATATGATCGATTGTTCCCTAGTCTAAAAACAAATTAACCACTAGATAGCCTAGAGTATATTGATAATTATTTGAATACAAGCTTGGGGAAATAACTAATTTACTTGTTAAGTGAATAAAAAACAAATTATTATTGCTTGCAATGACTTGTGATAAACTTTATTCTTATAAAGAAAAACTTAGCAAACAAAATATTTAACGTAGACAAAAAAAAAACATATTAAAACATATACGATACTTTACCGTTAGTTAGCTATATCAATGTATTTATATATAGCTTTAAAAACGAATTTTGATTACAAATATACGGCCAAAAATTCTTTATTGATGGACATGGTGTAGCTTTTTGAAAGAAAAATCCGACAAACAAATCTTGAGTTTGCTTCATAACATGAACATAGCATATAATTAGTAGGACCAGTCTCTTCCTCTCAAGACGAAACACTTTTTATAGGCAAGACTAGCGAGTCCCCTATTTCCACTACGACAACGACCTCCCAAAATTCTCTTTTTCCACCAAATAAAAGGAGATGTTGTCAAGCAAAAACGTCGTCGTAGTAGAGGCTTGGAACACCACCACCACAACGCAAACGCAAACGCCACATAGACCCTCACTGTTACATCCAACATTCTATTGGGGTTACAACTGCCAAGTACTCTTCTCAGGATGGCCTGGTTCTGACCGTGGGATGTATGCGTTCGCACTTATCTTCGTCTTCTTTTTGGCGTTCTTAGCCGAGTGGCTAGCTCGGTGCTCTGACGCATCGTCCACCAAACCGGGTGCAGATAAACTTGCTAAAGTTGCGTTTCGCACGGCTATGTATGCAGTCAAGTCCGGCTTTAGCTACCTTGTGATCTTGGCCGTTGTTTCTTTCAATGGTGGGGTTTTCCTAGCCGCGATTTTCGGACATGCTCTTGGGTTCGCCGTTTTCCGTGGGAGGGCTTTTCGGAACATGGGTCGAGTCGATGGTTAGGAATGGGGATATTCAGTAACTTCTGATTAACCAAACCCTATGAGAATGAGAATGGAATGTGTTGTGTTATTGATCTGATTTGTGTGTGCATTAAAATATAATTAAGAGAGTTGTTTTGTGATACGTTGCATTTGGTGAGTGGATTGAAGTTTTGTTATTATGGTTTTCATTTTTATTTCTTTGTGATAATAACTTTGACCGACGATTTCAAATATTTTTTGAAAAAAAAACAAAAAATAGTATCCGATATGTAAAGTATATATTCTTTTCCATTTTCCAATTTCTATGATTATTTTTTTGCAATTCTCCTAAATTTAATAGCCATTTATGGTAATTTCCTAAAATTAAAATCATAGTTCCAATTTACATATATTTCCAATTTTCTTTCTTTAATTATTAAATCGAAAAGAAAAAAATCTCTGAGTTGACTGAAAGAAAAAAGTCAGCACAAAAAATTGTAATTTCAATAATTTTATTGTACAAAAACATTAATAATAAAAATAAAAAATCTGGAACGGATAAAATAATTTGCTCGACTTCCTCAGCTCCAATGGCGGCGACGATGATCGGATTAAACCTCTCCTGCTTCAAATCAACATCGTTCTTCTCACCGGACCTCAATTCTCTCCACTCAAAGCTCTCTCTCCTATCTCTCAAACCTTCTCCACAGCCACGAAAATCAACAGTTATCCGTATGGGCGGTGGTCCGAGAACATTCCCCGGCGGTGTCTCAAAATGGCAATGGAAAAGGATGCAAGCGAAGAAACAGAAGCAGCTTCTCAAAGCGAGGTTATGCAGAGAACGTCAGATCTACGAGATGAGAAAACGAGCCGAGCTAAAAGCGGCGGTGGCTGAGCTTGAACGACCATGGGAACCGATTCAGAAACCACCGAATCTATTCTCTGTTTGTGCTGATGAACAAGTTAAGGTACTCGCGGATCGGTTTCAGAAACCTGGTGGATTTGATTTGTGGACTGATAGAGATGGTCCTCAATTGTTTGAGAGTGTTGATGATTTGCCTTCTGCTAGGTTTTTTCCTAAAGGTGTTGTTCATAGTGTCAAACCTTATGGTAGATTATCATCAAGCTCTGTTGTTGATGGTGATTCTGATGGTGAAGAGAGTGAGGTTAAAGATGAAGTAATTGGGAAGTTACGTGGTCGTAGGGTGAGGAAGAGAGTTGGTGTCAAGGGGATAGAGAGAGGTGAAGAAGGAGGTAAGAGGAAGATTGAGAATCGTGTTAATGGTGGGAGATTGAGAAACGGAGGGTCTTCTCAGGTGTATGAAATGACTCTGCAGAATGATGGGAGATATGAAATTGGATCTTAGGTATGAGTTCTTCACTTTGTTGTGTTCATCATAATCAAATGATGTCTCTGAACATAAATGTGTATGTAACCTGTAATAGTTTGATTGTGCTTATGCAAAGTCTTCAGTTTTAGGGAAATATATCTCTGTTCAAGTAAGTTTTGGGTGATGGATCAATGATTGGTATTATAAGCATTGCCAAATGTCTATAGATAGTTATGACTGTGAACTATTTGTATCTTGAATCTGTCTATAGATAGTTGTGGTTTTCACTCAAGGAGAATGTTCGTGGTGATAGAATATGATGTAAATTTTCTAAGTCATGTGAGTTACTGAGATATTTTACAATGTGTAGTAATCATTTTAGTGGCTACACATGAGGTCAAAAGATGATGGAACATGATATTGCAGGACAATTCAAAGTTTCTATAAGTTACATGCCATTCTTCTGTTTCTAGGGTGTACCATATCACAGAGGGCAAGTCTTGATAATACTCATGTAACTTGTAATTTTGGAAGGTATTGTTTACATTCCCTTTCTTTGTCTTGGAAATACATAAAGATAACAAAACAACCCTTGTTGCTTGGCAGACACTAAAGCAAACAGGATTTGTGTTGTAAAGAGATAACTCAAGTCAAAATATCTCTTTCAATTGGAGTCTTCAGGCTCTGCGAAAATTCGATCGTATTCCCTTATTTGCTGCAGAGAAGTAGCATATAAAGAAGAGTGTATGAGAAAAGAATTGTCTTTATGATTGTCAAAAGAGTTATAAAAAGAAAGAAGCATTGATTTCAGATGTTTCATCTCACAGCAAAACACTAAATTACTAACCTTATTCGTGAGAGAAGGTTTGAGAGGTTGCTCAAAATGCTTAGTTGTGTTTGTTTCATCTTTGTAAGCCGAAAAAGCCGCTTTTTTTTACCAACGACTTAAGATCAACTCCACTAACATTCACACAACGCTCCGCTATAGCGTTCAAGTCAACGCTTGGATCGATTGGAAAATCCCTCACCAGAGATTTCAGGATCGATAAACGTTGGATCTTTGGAAGCGATACATAGAATTTTTTCCCAAACCTGCCCGCCCTTTGAAAAGCAGGGTCCATCATGTCAGGCCTAAACCAACAAAAGAAAATAAACAGAGTTGAATAAAATGTCACAGTAACTAAACACGTACGTCTCCACCCATAACTCAAGAGCAAAATACTTAACATTTTAGCAAAAAAAAAAAAAACTCAAGAGCAAAAACTTAACCTGTTTGTAGCAGCAATAACATTATAACAATAACACCATTTCGTTTTTTTTCCGCCATCCAATTCATTGAGTAACTGTCAATTAGCAAATCATTACTTAGCATTAAGACAAGTTTTCAGTACAGTGTTTGCAAATAATGAGATTCAAAACTAATCACCTGAAGCATAGTTTTTCAACAACCCAAGCACCTTGCTCTCCACGTTTTGTTGTTAAAGCATCCACCTACTGAGAGCTTATAGAACATCACTGCTCGGGAACTTGTTATATTTTTGTTGTTAAAGCATCTAACAATTGCGTCAAATTCTTGCCAATATGTTTGTATTGTGTCTGCGTTTAGAAGTTGAAAAGAGTTTGTGATCATTTTATTGTCAGAGTGATCCTGCCAATACTGAAGTTTTTGTTTTCTGATTACAAAATGATAAGACGAATGAGATTATTCATTTTTGTGATAGCATACCAAAAGAACTGTTTATTTGTTAATGTTCATGTATATGAATTGTTATGCAGTATAGAATGAAAAATGACAAAAGCAAGCTTGTGACTAATTTTTTATATTTATTCTGTTATTCTTAATCAGCAATATTGGTGATCACCTAATATACTAAATGGAGGAAATCTATGTGATAATGAAATGGCTTAAGTCTATTGGATGTCAAAAAGTTTGCACTTGATAATGGCATGATCTCTACAATTCACTTTCTTGCCACTTCTTTGTGTGGTACGTTATCGCTAAATCAATTATTAGATGATTAACCACATGGTGGTGGGCGAGTGGTTCTCGTTTGGTTGGAAGGATCGCCCTGTTGGTCTAGGCCAGGGATCGATCCTCCCCAGACGCAGTTTCGCTCCCTCACTCCTGTGGCCACCTGGGAATTTACCTGCGGACTTGCTCAGGCGCTCCAGACCACCAGTTTATCAGGGGGCCCTTAAGTGGAGGCTTAAAAATCCCTGTGACACGGGCTTAGGCCCAGTGGGCTAGTCAGATCACTGTGTGGTCTGGATACTGGGTTATCAAAAAAATTATTAGATGATTGTACTCCATGTCAAGATAAATGTATGTCACTATTCCTCCAGGTACTCTGGCGATTGTTCAACTTTTAAGACCATTGGGTTTGCTCTGATTGGTTAAGCCATTAGACCGACGTTAATTCAATTTTGTCATCTTTAGATATTGATGGTAACATCCTCTGACTCATCAACCATTGCATGGTGCTTCATTTGATTTACATCCATATGTGTTGGCACATGTGTATCCTATATATGACCCACTTCTACTGTTTTTAGCAGTGCATAACAATGGGAGACTGTATTATAACTTTCTTTGTGGAGCAAAGCACGTGAAATAGAAGAATGCTTAGTAGTGGAGGTTAGTATTTTCAATCAAATATTAAATCAAGTACTTTGTCTAATTTATCTTGTTGCCATGACAAACGTGTGAAAGTAGTCATTCTATAGCTTTCGAAATTTCAAAGTGTCATTTAAGAAAAGAAAAAAAAAAGAGAGAAAATTTTAGGACCTTTGGCAAAAAATCAACCAGCATGTGGTACATGTGCTTTATATTATTCTGTGAGTTCTTTCTTGAAAGGAGAACTCTAAGCCAATTTTAGTTGTTTTTTTTTCTTTTCTTTAAAAGTAATCTCACTGAAGTGGAGGTCCTACTTTCAGGCAAATCAAGTTTATTTTGGTTACGGTGGTGAAGAAAAACACATGAAAAAAAGACCATTCATTGGATAATGAGGTTTTGATGTGTCAATATTCAAAATTGATTTTATTTAAGATGTCCACCATTTACATAGTCATACTTGCTAAACTGCACCAAGTCTTACTAGAAGATTCCATCTCTCTTTTCACTATTTGTTTATGTTGGTATTGCTTGTAGATGATTCAGTTAATAGTGGTTAGCACTATGAGACAAGGTTTATCTACTTACCTCAGCCATAGGCCATTGCCATAAAGTCCCTTTTGATAAAAGATAGGGGTTGACTCTTAGTAATAACTATTGATTGTTTGAATGCTATTGGAGAAAGATTGTAATAACAACTTAAGTATCTTAGATCCTAGTGGAGTAGGTGGAGTTAGGATTAAGGGTTAAACAAACAAGGTAATATATTGTCTTAGAAGATCGTTGTGACAAGATGCAGAATATTGAGAGTTTTGATTCCCAAATAATAAAAGTAAATTGAGTGTGTAGTTATTAGTTGATTTCATATTCTTCATTTTGTTCTGTCAGAAAAGGATAAGATTTAGGTGGTTACCTAGGAGGATAAATCTTGTAATAGAATGTAGCAAGAGAATTTTTCTTTGTTGTTTCTTTCTGAAAAGGTGAAAAGAATACAAAAACCATCCTGTAAAGTTTGTTGAAGGACAAGTTCAAGATAAAATTTTGATTTGGAGATTCACTTTGGGTTTGGATTTGATGAAAATATGAAGTTTAACATAAGTTTTCATAGACCAAGTTGTTGGACAAGCAATCGCATTGGGAGCTTTGTTCTGTCTTGACATCTCTCTGTTACTTCTCTTTAATACTTGCGAGTTCTTGCACTTTATGTGATCTTCTTTATTACCTATATTTTTCATATTTGTGAATAAGGACGTTGTGTTACCCATCATCCTCAATGTGAAAAATATAAAGAAAATTAGAAAATGAAAACTGCTTGAGGCTGAAAATAAGGCAATGTGAAAAAACACTGTAGAAGATGATGAGTCAAGACAGTGAGCTTTAGGCCTATATATATAGAGGACCAAGTTTTCTTCTTCTCACACATACACACACACTCCTTAAAAACCATCTCTCTCGTGTAGTTTATTTTGTCAATAAAAGTTGAACAAATGGAGCATAAGAAGATTGGTGCAGAGCTGCAAGATTCGTGCGATGATCAACAGAAATGGGTTCTTGATTCTTCTCTCGATAGCAGAGGACGTGTTCCTCTTCGGGCTCGAACTGGCGCTTGGAAGGCTGCACTCTTTATCATTGGTACAGAACTTTGATTGTATATATATACTGAAACTTTATACCACAGAATTGAAAGTATGCTATAATAGCCCAAAATATAAATCTTTGTGAAGTCTTTTGTTTCGTCTTCTCTGCACAGCAATCGAGTTCAGCGAGAGATTGAGTTACTTCGGATTAGCTACAAACTTGGTGGTCTACCTAACAACAATTCTCCACCAAGATCTCAAGATGGCTATAAGAAATGTGAACTACTGGTCAGGTGTCACTACTTTGATGCCTCTCCTTGGAGGCTTTATAGCCGATGCTTATCTTGGCCGTTATGCTACTGTCTTGGTTGCAACCACCATTTATCTTATGGTAATACATGTTCTTACTTCTGATGTACCCTAATCCAATTTATTTAAGGATTCCATAAATATGATGAAACTTTTTCTTGATGGTTCTCTCTTGTTTCTTTCTAAAACAGGGTTTGGTCCTTTTAACAATGTCCTGGTTTATACCAGGCTTGAAACCTTGTCATGAAGATGTGTGCATTGAACCTAGGAAAGCACACGAAATAGCCTTTTTCATTGCCATTTACTTGATCTCCATAGGGACTGGAGGTCATAAACCTTCCCTTGAAAGCTTTGGTGCTGACCAATTCGACGATGATCATGTTGAAGAAAGAAAGATGAAGATGTCTTTTTTTAACTGGTGGAACGTTAGTCTATGTGCTGGTATTCTAACGGCCGTGACTGCTGTTGTCTATATCGAAGACCGGGTTGGTTGGGGTGTTGCTGGCATCATACTCACTGTAGTCATGGCTATATCACTTATCATCTTCCTCATTGGAAAACCATTCTATCGTTACCGGACTCCTTCGGGTAGTCCTTTGACCCCAATCTTGCAAGTCTTTGTCGCCGCCATTGCCAAAAGAAATCTACCTTATCCTTCTGATCCTTCTCTGCTTCATGAAGTTTCCAAGGCTGAGTTTACTAGTAGCCGGCTTCTCTGTCACACACAGCATCTTAAGTGAGTATACCAAACTCAAAAATCTTTCATTTGTTAATTTCAAGCATCCTAAACTGTTTCCTTGCAGATTTCTTGACAAGGCCGCAATTATTGAAGACAGCAATCCTCTGGCCCTCGAGAAACAGAGTCCATGGAGACTCGTAACATTGACAAAAGTCGAGGAAACGAAGCTGATCATCAACGTGATTCCCATATGGCTCTCCACGTTGGCCTTTGGCATCTGTGCAACACAAGCTTCGACCTTCTTCATCAAACAAGCAATGACTATGGACAGACACATCGCTGGCTTCACACTTCCTCCAGCTTCCATGTTTACACTCACCGCCCTCACATTGATAATCTCACTCACCCTCTATGAGAAAGTCCTCGTTCCCTTGCTAAGACACATCACACGGAATCAAAGAGGCATCAACATTCTTCAAAGAATCGGGACCGGTATGGTTTTCTCCCTCATCACCATGATCATTGCAGCTCTAGTTGAGAAACAACGATTAGACCGTACCAACAACAACAACAAACACATGAGTGTGATATGGCTAGCTCCTCAATTCATGGTCATTGGCTTTGCCGACGCTTTCACACTAGTTGGACTCCAAGAGTACTTTTACCACCAAGTCCCTGACTCCATGAGAAGCTTAGGTATAGCGTTTTACTTAAGCGTGATAGGCGCGGCTAGCTTCCTTAACAATCTACTGATCACAGCTATTGATACTCTCGCGGAGGATTTCTCGGGGAAGAGTTGGTTCGGAAAGGACTTGAACAGCAGCCGCTTGGACCGGTTCTACTGGTTTCTTGCTGGTGTTATCGCTGCCAATATATGTGTCTTTGTGATTGTGGCAAAGAGATGTCCTTACAAAAGTGTGCAACCAAGCCAAGGCTCTGCTGATTCGTCCATGTCCCTCGCGTAAAAGAAGACATGCAATGCAAAGTATATGTCGTTAAGTTTAACATTAAAACAATAACAAAAAGAAGTGTCGTTAGTAATCATGTTGGTTTTCTTTGGTTAACAGATAATTTTAAAATTTGAAGATTTAAAATTTGATATGAAAAAGAGCCAACAAATTTGATTAAAATTTTTGTATTTGCACCACACTTATTAGTATAACCAATTCATTCAACTTGTATTCTTTTCGTTTCACATCATTTGTTCTGCATTTGTTATATTTGATATACGTGATATATATTGTATGATTCGATATCACCATTTGAAGTCTAAAATTTTCTAAACAGAAAATTATTATAACAAATATAAAAGTTGAAAAGATTCAAATTATATAGATAAAATCGGATAATTCATCTTTATAAACAGTTTTTTTACCGCCAACATTAATTTTCTTTTCCCAGTTTTGACAATTTTACCACTATTTTTTTACCATTTCATTGATTGATGATACTACTAACCAATCAAAACCCAAAATATATTTTCAATTAGAAATTTGTCGGAAGCATTGTCATAAAAATAAAAATGAAAGAAGAAAAGTTTTGAACCAAAAAAAAAAAAAGTCATGGGAAAAAATACAACTAGAGAAACTGTTACGCATATTCCGCGAATCTCAGTATCTGAGCTGTTTTACGAAAATACCCTTCTCCTTCTCCAAGCAAGATTTAGGGTTTTCCCAAAGAGTTCTCCTTTTCCCTCTCTCTCTCCCATGTCGATGTCTCCGATCTCCATCGTGATTCAATTTCCTTCAATTGATGTGACCTTCGATTCCAAATTCGCCAACCCAGAAACGGGTTACTCATAGAAACAGTGATAGATAGATATGAATGTTGACGCTAGAGTCGGTGTGGCGGTGGATGGAGCTCAGAGTGCTCTTAACACTGCAACCACTGTTCATAATAGCGTCGTGCCTCAGATTAAGCCTCAGGCGAAGCTAGGCACCTTCCAGAATCTCCTAGCTGGAGGTATTGCCGGCGCCTTTAGCAAGACCTGTACCGCTCCTCTTGCTCGCCTCACCATCTTGTTTCAGGTCTGGTTCGAGATTTGAGTTTCCCTTTTCGTTGAGCTTGTAAAAATTGGGTCTTTTTGAGCTTGCTGCTTGGTTTTGGTTAGTGATAAGAGAGGGTTTTTGGGGGTTTTAGATTAGGAATTGATATGAGGGTTTAAGAACATTTAGTGAGCTCATGAAGTCACACAATTTGACCTTTATTTGATCTGTAATCAAGTTACAATAATGCGTGAGGTTGGCTTGACAGCTTCTTGTTCTCTATTGTTTTTGTTAAAAAGGTTGTTGTCTCTTTCAGTTGCAAGGCATGCAATCAGAAGGAGCAGTGTTAAGCCGTCCAAGCTTATGGCGTGAAGCTTCCCGTATTATCAACGAGGAAGGATATAGAGCCTTTTGGAAAGGAAATTTGGTTACTGTAGTACACAGGATTCCTTATACTGCAGTAAACTTCTATGCATATGAAAAGTACAATCAAGTGAGTTGCATTCTAGTCTTTTTTCCAATTTGTGGCTTGTGTAACCGTTTATCATGATCTGTTACTCAGTCTTGCAATGCTCTTTTATTTTGCAGTTTTTCAATTCAAATCCAGTCGTACAGAGTTTTATAGGAAATACGAGTGGCAACCCGATTGTGCACTTTGTTAGTGGTGGCTTGGCTGGAATTACAGCTGCTACAGCTACCTATCCCCTTGATCTTGTCAGGACTCGTCTTGCTGCACAGGTAATTTTTCTATCGTTCAAATTTGATTTTCTTCTTGAATATGGTGTTTGAAAGCTTTATTATTCCCTTGATCTAACCAGTGTTTCTTTGTCTTTTCTTGTCTTGCATTGCATTATATTTGATCCTTCCCAGAGAAATGCAATGTATTACCAGGGTATTGAGCATACTTTCCGTACCATATGCAGAGAAGAGGGACTTTTGGGTCTATATAAAGGACTTGGTGCTACATTGTTGGTATGCTTTGTTTGCTTTCCCATGTTCTCTTGTGCAAACTGTGTTGATTGTTAACTTCTTGGTACATTGTGATGCAGGGTGTTGGGCCAAGTCTTGCTATCAATTTCGCTGCGTATGAGTCTATGAAATCATTTTGGCATTCTCATAGGTAATTTATAATTGGGACTTTTCTGTTACTTTTGCACTCGCCTATTGAGTATATATGTCTCTTCAGATGCTAACTCATCATACAAATCTTACTATTTTCTTTTAACTTCTTCAGGCCACATGATTCGAATTTGGTTGTTACTCTTGTTTCTGGAGGTCTAGCTGGAGCTGTTTCTTCAACAGGTTTACTTTTCCACCTGACCTTCTCTGCATTGTGGTTACCAGCTTTGTTACATATCTGCTTCTTATTATATGCATCAGATGACAAACTTTTTGATGCCCGTAAATTTGTAGCTACATACCCATTGGATCTTGTGAGAAGAAGAATGCAAGTGGAAGGAGCTGGTGGAAGAGCGCGAGTATATAACACGGGACTCTTTGGAACATTCAAACACATATTCAAGTCAGAAGGCATCAGAGGGTTATACAGAGGAATATTGCCTGAATATTACAAAGTGGTTCCTGGCGTTGGCATCGTCTTCATGACATACGAGGCTTTGAGGAGACTCTTAACTTCTCTCCCCAATTGACAACTCCCACTTATACTTAGAGGACTTTTAGCTGCTTATAGAGTTAGTAGAAGAAAGGAACAACATGTTTATTTTCATCTTTTCAAACACTATGGTAGTAAATTTTACTTTTCTTACTACCGTTAAAAAAATAGAGAAAATTTCCAGTGTATAGGTTAGTCTTGGGTGTTAAAAACATTCATAGGCATCATATTTAACACTGTTCAACGTGAGCATATCTTCTGAGACTGAGAATAACATTTTTGTTGTTGTTTCTCTGTTCCTACACTCTTCTGATACTTGTGTAAGTTTTTGTTTGTTTCATCCTCCGTTTTTTTTTTTGTAACAATGATGAGATTTCTACAGTCTTGGAATGAGAACATTTTTGTTACTTCAAAACAAGATTACACTGAACAAAATCTTGAAAAAAATCATCAATCTTTCTAACAAAAATTTGTTTTACAAAGATCAAGAACTAACGACCCATAAAGAAATATCTCATCAAGAACTCTCAAAATCCTAAACTCTTTTCGAAAAGAAAGATCTTTTAACACTAAAACCTGAATTCCTACCCGAAAAAAATCTCAATTTTTCTCATCTTGACTTCACAATCTCTGAACTTGATGAAAAGTATTCATAAGTTACCCCAAGAAGCAATTCAGCTAGAGGTCCTGAGCAAGAAGATACTGAGTTCTTGAGCCGAGTTAGCATCAGGGTTAATAAGATGAAACGACTCCGAGTCAGAGCTACCAACAACATGCTCATAATTCGCCCTCATATACATAACCTCATCAGTATCCGATTCACCCGACCCACCCAACCCGGATCCAGATGGCAACACACCCGCACCAACCGTCATAGACTCCAATCTCTTCAACATCAACCTCGTATCTTCATTAGCACTTCTCCTTACAGCAAAGCCTAGCTTCCGTCCGTTACAAAACATGGTCCAAACGGGTACGGATCTTAGCAAACACGACTTCAATTCGGGTCGGGTCGGGCATTCAAGAGCGACACGAACAAGACCCGAACCCATCTCGTGAACTAACTGGCTCGTAGCTATTGAAAGCTCGAGGAGAAGGATTGGTTTAACAGAGAGACGGTCGTGTTGAACACAGAACCACACGTGTCCCTTTCTTCTACCGAATATCGTACCAATCACCATCGTCTTCGACGGTCTCTGCGGCACCGTGACGGCGGATAGGTTGTAGTCAGCTGCGGCGGAAGTAGCCTCGGAGGATGAGGCGGAGGAAGAAGCTGAATCTAGAACGTCGATATCGTCTCTTAGGGAAGTACTGAGACGTTTCTTGGAAGTTCCGGTGGATGTTGTTGCTCCGGGGGAAGATACGGTGGTTGAGTTCGTCGGAGGTGTGATACATGGAAGAAGAAATCGACGGAGAGAGTCAATTTTCGTCATCCTTCTTTATTCTCTTTCTCTCTCTCTCTCTGAAAGGTGAAATGGATTTTTCTGAGAGTTTGCAGAGAAAATCTGAAATCTCTCTGTTTCTTGTTTTTGCTTTTTTTATAAAGAAAGGCGGGAGAACAAGAGAATATCCGTTGTGGGCTTTGACTGGGTTTGACTGTATTTTACACGTGGAGTTTTGTTGATGAGCCACGTGGAAAGTGAATCTTGGATTCTTTGTGTTTTTCTGAAAAAGATTCTATTGCGATGGTGTTTGCTAGGGCTGGGCATAAAACCCGAAATCCGAAAACCGATCCGAAACCGATCCGAAAAATCCGGAACCGAATCCGAACCGAATAGTCATAAAATCCGAACGGATAATGAATTCTCCTATCCGAATTACCCGAACCGAACCCGATCCGAACCGAAAACCGAAAGGATATCCGAAAACCGAAAATAAAATTATATATCTAAAAATATTAGTTAGATTTAGTTGTAATTTTATAGCAAATAACAAAAATATCCTAAATAACCTAGATTTCGGAAAATTTTTAGTTATATTTGTTAAAATTATACATATTTTTACAAACTTAAACGAATTTTTAGTAAGATTAAACGAATTTTTCAGTTTTTTTCCCCAAAAACCGATCCGAATCCGACTTTTATCCGAACCGAAACCGAACCGATGACTTATAAAATCCGAACGGATAATAAATTCTCCTATCCAAATTATCCGAATCCGAATATATCCGAACCGAAACCGAACCGAAAAGTCATAAAATCCGAACGGATAATAAACTCTCATACCCGAATTATCCGAATCCGAATATATCCGATCCGAATCCGATCCGAAATCCGAATGCCCAGGCCTAGTGTTTGCCAAAAAAAAAAAAAAAAAAAAAAAAAAAATTCTATTGCGATGGTGAAATGTTCACCGGTGAATCGGAAACTCAATTTGGTACATTTAATTTTTGTTTTGTTGTTGTGATTTTAACCGTACGGTTTTCTGCATCACATTTACTGCTTAACGTTTTCAAGTGAAAGAGAAAAAGAGTTATGTTTTGCAGAGATTTCAAGAAATTGGTCAATAATATTTGTGTTTCACTTTGAAAAAAGACAATAGATATACCCCTTCTTTCATTAAATTGTCGTTTTAAAGTAATAGTAGTATTTTTTTTTTTTTTTTTAAAGAAAAATATCGTTTACATTTCCAATAATTTTTTGAAACTAAAGTTATACTTTACCCCTTATTTAAAAGTTAAAACTAATAAAATTTGAATTGCAAAATGTCACCATATTAGACAAAGTAATAACATCTCATATATTGTAATAAATATGCATATACTCATATGAGTCCAACGAGTAGGTTATAGATTATTAAAAGATATCTATAGTTCCGAAAGTGAAAACATTTATTTAAATCTTAAGAACTTCTCATCATTTGGATCCAAACCGCAGTTTAATCCACATAACCTGCAAAGCCATGTAGATTCATGGAACAATGTAACCTGCAAAAGAAAAAACATAGTAAGACATAAGTCATATCAAGTTCATGTTATATTAAGCTCATGAGATTTACAAGAATCGAATACATACGTCCACATCGCTTGCCAGCAGGGCGGTTGCGGATGTTACAGCGTTTAGGAACACCGATTGCTATACCAGGATTGATTCCAGCTTTCTTGGCTAAAGGAGAGAGCATTACAGCACAAAGACAGCGAGGATTGGTTCTAATGAGAGCACCCACTTTGGCACAACAAACCGGTGGAACTTTACCCCTCGGGTTCTTTGTAGCAGGCAAACACGGGCTTAGGCTAGCCGCGGCTTGATTAATTGGCATTCGACCACACTCACCGGCTGCCTCAACGGAAGCCAATGTGATGAGAAGACTCATCAAAGCAACTACAATAAACCTACAACACTTCATGCTTTCTTCTTATTTTTCTTCTTGTTTTGTTGAGTGTCTTAAATTAGTGCTTTGATGATTCTTATATAGTAGTAAGATGTTTTAGTGGGGTGGTTGTGTTTTGGTGACGTGTGCCGTTAAAATTGAATCTTTTATTTTTCTCATTCTATAATCATTTGGTTTTTGCTTACTTTGTTTAGATTTCACCATCTGTTTTGTGTCTTAGTCGTTTGATTTATTGCGTGTTTGTTTTTGTATCTCTCTTTACTTTTCTTTCATAAAACAAGCTTTCAACAACTTTTTGCAATCTCTTTGTTTGAGATCACTTGGTTTTCATTGCCTCAATTTTGACACTATAAGGTTTCAACATTCGAGCTGAAATTTCTTATTATATTGGATATAGTAACAACGGAAACGTAGTAAAACAGATTGAAATGAGTAGGCTACAACAATATATGGTTCCATCGAATACGACATACAAAGAAGAGTTTGGTTGTTTTCACTGACAACCGCTCAATCTTGCCCAATCCACAAACTGCATTCCACCGTAGATGTTATTAGCCAACCGTACACCCACGGTGAAGGCCATAGCCGCCGGAGGCAATTTCTTGGCGAAAGGTGATGCTTCGACCACTCTCTCTAGACCATTGATGATCTGATAACGAGTATTCGAAGAAACACTCAAGAATACACCTGCAATTAATTAAGATTAAGATTTAGTACAGTGAAAGTAAGTAAGGTAGTGAAAGCTAGTATATGTATGTATATACCCCAGAGAGCTGCACTCTTGATTAGCGGTGGTACCGGGATGTTCTCTTCTGATTTATTTATGTTTCTGAGAGAAGAGAGTGACAAAAGAAAAATGTAAGCCAAATCCAAGAACTAAATGACTCTTTTTGATTTTAGCTACCAGAAAGAGGTGTGTTACCGTTTCGCAGTCATGATAAGATTTGCGATGCCTTGACCTACGATGCCACATCCAAATCCAACTGCACCATACATTATACCCTGAAAAAATGTGAACAAATTGATCAGCAACAGTATAAGTTACGGAGCAATTGAGTCACAGAGACTGTGAAATTCAATTACCTTGTAGAAATATGTAGCAAGTCTCTGTTGAGCAGAAAATCTACATCCTGGCCTTTCAGCTTCGAACACGCTGCATAAGATCAACATCTCAAAGTTTATTAACCGAGTTACAAAATGAGAGATGTAAGTACTATATGAGAATTGAGTAATCTTCTTGAGGGAATTTTACCTGCTAGGAAGCGCATTATAAGCAAAAACCATGCGTCCTAAGAAGCCAGGTGATGCGGATGGTTGTCCAAAACGAACATAAGGCGCCAACATACCGACCAGAGCAATGTTAACCACAGTTCCAACTAAAAGATCAGCAACATACAACTCAAACTCCGCCCAGAAATCCTTCCCTCTCTTTTGAACTTCAGCAACAGTGGCACAACAAGAATCAATGACTATCTGAAATCGGTATATCAAATATTCACTATTCCTTCAATGCAAGCATGGTGTTGCATATCCAATGTGAATGTACAAGAAGAAACTATTTTCTAAATGAAAAATTTGGCAGGAGTGCCTTACCTCAGCCCCTATTTTGAAGAGAAAAGATGGATCAGCCAACATTCTGTTTCGAAGCATAGCCCATGATCTTATAGCAAACCCAAGCAGCCCTGCTGAGCTCTAAATTCAAAGAAATCGATTAAAACTCTTCTCTAACACTATTATTTCCAGAAGAAAGAAAACAAATAAAAGTAATGAAACATGTACCTGCAGATCCAAGTACCTAAGGAGAAGCACTTTGCGGATCCCATAAGTCTTAGCAGCTTCCAACATATCAGATGGAAGAGTAGCTCCTCTAGCTTCAGTCTCCTTCATGACCTCTTCAAATTTCAAAATCGGTCCAAACTCTTTTTCTTCGTAGTCTTCGCCTTCCCCATCACCTTCTCCTCCATTTCCACCTCCTCCACCGCCCCCATTACCACCACTACCATTAAAACCATCCCCAACATTACCATCATTATCCAGATTCTCAGGCTGATCAGTTCCTAAATTTCTAACATTCTCTCTCCCTAAGATACTATCATCACCTTCTCCTTTCCCTTTCGATTGTTCGGTAAAAGCAACATCAGATTGCGGCTCAACAGGAGATTGAGACATATTAACCATCAAAAGCCTCGACCTTTGCCTACCTGAAGCACCTCTAATCCGCAAAACAGGCACTTTCATTGCCTTGGCCAAATCTCTAAATACAAAGTCTCGATTACAAATCCTTAAAGAAGAGATCTCGTTTCTCACTTTCACAACAGTCGAGAACTGAAAATTCATTGCACATCCTGCCATTGTCCTCTTCTGTAAACAGGGCAAAGTCGACAAATAAAAACACTCTTCAAATCAAATCCAATAATGATGAACAAGCTATAAGAAGCTTCTTCCACAAAAAGCTTCTGCAAATACAACAAAAACCCAATAATGTATCAAAAGGAATAAACTTGCGAAAACTACACAAAACCCGAGAATAATGAGACCAACAACACTTAACGCAAATTTCAAAGATTGAAACTTTAGCCGATGATGATGAAAACCCTAACCTTGAATCTGCCCTGAAAGAGGAGGAATGGTCCCAACGAAGGAGAAGAAGAGACGGAGACAGTGGTGACTGCAAGAGTGATTAGGGCCGCTGGCGCTTATTTTCTTCGGTTTCACTGTATATATTTCTCTTCAGTCCCTCGCACGTGTTGTAACATTTGCATACGTGTGGGAAACTGAAACCCTTTAGGTTTTGTCCTTATTGCATAGTTTTGTTCCTCTGATTGTGAGATGCGAATAAAGTACAATACATAAGTTAAAGACTTAAAGTACGAGATAAAAATGATTCTTGGCAAAAAAAAAAAAGTACTCCAACAAAAACTAAGAATATCATTGATTAGAAAGATTTAAAGGGATTTAAAGATTTTACAATGCATCATAAAATACTCTACAAATTAGTTATAAATTTTTAAATTTCATATTACTATATTTGATGTCCTCTTTTTGAGTTAGGTTCAGAGTACAAACATGAAAGTTGGATAATTAAAAGTGTGTGAAGGGAAAATTCATGTAAAAACATCACCATAGATCTATTTAGACATAAATAATGTATTTAAGAATCATCATAACATATATTGGTATAAAATCAAGTAAAAAACCAAAGGATTAGGATCAAAATAGAACAAACAAATGTTACAAGTTACAACATCCATCACACACATCATAACCACAAAGTCCCTCCAGATTAATCCCAAAAGAATAAGAATGTATATGATTTTTGCTGTACAAAACAAATACATTTTCCTCTTTTAGAATTCTTAAAAAAAAAAGAACACAGGAAACAAGAGAACCCAACCCGAGTGAATGGATTTATGATTGTCTGTTCATCATAGTTAACGATGATCCTTGCATCTGACCACCTGAACTTCTTATATGTGATTGCAGGTGTTTTAATCTTCTGCTGAGGAAATCGATATATGTCCGGAGACGATACCTGACTGAGTTTGTGAGAGACAATGGCGGATTCAGAATCAGCGTTGGTGCTTCTACTAAAAGGAATACCAGCAAACGCACTGCTTTCGAATATTGGTTTCCGGCGTTTTCTATATCTCCCATAACCTCCTTAACCTGCAGGAAAAGGACTATATATGAGAATGAGCATAGAAAAAACTGATTGTTTTGTTTTTGCTTTTGGATTGTTCATCAAATTCTTTGGGAAAAGGCAAAGGAAACTTACTCCCCCAAGTTTTCCAAGATCAAGGGCTGCTTCAAATATCGTCTCCATTGCATCTGGCATTTTTATATTTCCTACAAACAAGTAGATGAAAACCTTTTAAGATCTGTAATACCTCAAAAACAAAGAAGTTTTTTTTTTCCCAAGAGAAAAAAAAACATACCAGGTTCAATACTCTTGGCAAGTTCTTCAGCAACCTCAATCTCCTGTATAAATTGCCTCTGAATCTGAGAGGATATCTCCTCTGATCCATAATGGCTGAGATCAGTGACTTTATCAGAATTGTGGGTATCGTGTTTCAGGCTGCTACTTCTTAGTTTGTTAATGTCTTGGCTTGGGCTTCCTTCCAAACCTGAAATTGCCTGAGTATGACATATGTGCAGTGCCTGTTTCCAAACTGCCAGAATCGCCAATTGGATCGAGAAAGCTTCTAGATGTTTGTCAGACTCAATCTATACAAAGAGTCATGATTATCAAACAAATTTTACTCAGAAACTCATGATTGCCAGTGATGGCAAGATGATAATACGTGATTATCTATAAACAAAGTAAAGTTTGGTTACCCTTTCATGAACTAGTTCTGCAATTGTTGCTGCACATTTTCTCAGAGACCTGATTCTTGTCAGGCTGTGAGTTGATGGCTGTTCAAAAGCATCCCCAAGATCAAGAGACCCATGAGAAGTGCTAGGGGCAGAATTCTGACTGTCTATGCTCCCAAACCGACCAATGCTGTTGCCAGTAGCACCAATTATTGGCATGGGAGCCGTCGAACTTATGCTTCTGTTGAATAACTCTACAGGAGGAGACTGAGACTTGAATGGAAAATTATAAGGCTTCGAAGAACTCGATGAAGATGATGGCATATCCACTGGTGGGCCAGATACGAGAACAAAATCTTGGTCCATGGAGTCTTGAGAATCATCTACTACTGCAGAACTAACATATGTGAGAAACAGAACAAGAAAGATTTGTCATTCTCTACGGTGGATTTAATAGTAGAGATTCAATTACCTCTTCCTGGAGCAATAAGTGATCTGGAATCAGTCAATCCTGTCGGTTCCCTGCTGTTTCTCCTATCCGAATTTATTTGAGTTTCAAATCTAAATCTATTGTTTTCCACTTTTTGGTTGACACTACTATATCCAGAAGTAAGTTCTGTATATTTTAAAGGACTAGATTCCGTTTCCTTTCTCTCAATTCTGGTATCGACTTTAAATCCAGAGGACGACTTCATTGAGGACGTCTTTTTCAAATATGAAGGGCTCCCCTCAGGTCCACTAGAATCATCATCTAGAAGGAATGGCAAACAGTCTTCTTGAGAACTTTCATCCATGTTTCTTGAGGGACTGCTCCCAGACGAAAGAAAACCATCCATTGTTCTTAAGCCCAATCTACTCCTGCAGTACACATATTTTCATCAGTTAAAATGTTTGCATAAAATAGAGAAAAGCATTATTCCCGACAACTGTCACATCTACCTTGAGAAATCATATGACTGCCTGTCCGAAAGGAAAGGGTGATTAAAGAACTCTTCAAATGTCAAACGTTCCACTGCGAAAGACAATATATTCAAGAATGGCTTGTAATGGCATTGGATACACACAGAGTAGGACCATGCTCTTTCGTGTAAAATACGTGGTGTAGGAGATGACTAGAGCATAGTATAAACCGATATTCAAATCATAACTCCAAGTTCTGGACAAATCCGCAACTCCCGTTGATATGAGTTACTCGGAAAGTTAGGACAGTCTTAGACTGAAATGGCAACGGTACAATTTCTGTTTTTAATTAAGCTAATCAAACAAACAACTATGAACACGGTACAAATTAGAAAATGTTTGAATCGCCAATCCAACGTGGCCACAATTCAATATAATTTAACATTTTTAGACCAACACACATGCCAATAGACCCTGGGGCATATGCGTCTCATGCAAAAGAATATCTACTACTTCAAGCAGAATTAGTGCTGACCTGGATTACGGCGCAGTAACTTCTGACACAGGTCTATGCAGTCCAAACTTAAATCTCTGCAGTCCCCTGTAAAATGTAATCCGGTTGATCTTATAATGTTTTGGAGCAACTGTAAACACAAGATGGAGAATGTATTAGTTTTAAGCACCAGAATACAAACACATACATAATATCGAAATCAATGAGACAGAAAACAAAACCTGAATTTGGCTGTTTCCTGTAAAAGGGGTTCTGCCTGTCACAAGTTGAAATAAAATAGCACCAACACTCCAGAGATCTGCCTGTGTATTAAGCTAGGATTGTAAGGAGACAATGTCAAGAGAAGGGTCTAGGTAGCTTTGTAAGAGAAAGGTCTGACCTTTGCATCGTACTTCTGAAGTTGCATGATCTCTGGGGCCATATACAATGGTGAACCGCATAAAGTCTCTGCGAGCCCCCTAGGTTGCAACGATCTGCATTGAGAAAAGAGTTATGTTCAAAATGGGGGAGGGGTATAACAAGTATAATCCCCCAAGAAAATAATGAAATTACCTAGAAACTCGACAATATACATTCAAAAGCAGCTTGAGCCCATTGAAACCTTCTCTAATTCATTCATATTACACTCTTTGATCTAGTAACAAGGGGTGCTGATGACAATACCTTGCAAATCCAAAATCAGCAATCTTCAGATCTGCATCGTTTTCATCTGTGGATAGAAGAAGATTCTGTTTCAAAAACGAAAGAACCTTAGGAATTGAATTTTCAACAAAGATGGAATCTCTAAGACTCTACCTCTGCTTGGACAAGGAAACCCTTATGAAACATATCCAACTAAAAAGAAGAAAACATGTTTTCTTGGAAACTAACAGAACAACATTCTACAGCATCCTTTCATCATTCTAAAAGTTCTATGATTTAACAATGACCCCAACTAACAAGCTAATCTGATTAACAACAAAAAAAAACACCTGATGCACAGAAGATCATTGAAAGGAATGAGAATGAGACACACCTGAGGCTTCAAATCTCGGTGAATAATATTATTGTCACGAAGAACTTGTAAGCCGGCCGCTGTTACATAAAAAGATCGTCTAAGATTACAAAACATGTTTCTCTCAACCAAAAAAAAACAACAAAACAGAGAGTAAGTAAGTGTCACCAGAATTTACCTAACTGCTGCATGAAATGCTTAGCAGTAGCTTCAGGGACAATCCCATGTCTCTGGACATACACAGACAAGTCACCTCCTTTGCAGTACTCCAACACCAAATGTACTTTCCCAGGAGACTGCATCCACATTTTTAAATACAGAAGAACAACATCAACTTTCCAAACTAAACCCAAATTTGTTCCACATTCAAGCTTAATTCCATGATCAACGGCAAAATCAAATGAGTAACATATATATAGACAAAGCTAAACCTCAATTCAAAATTCTCAGCTAAAAAATGAGAACCGACAAAAAAAGATGGAAACTTTAAATAAAAAAAGAAACCTTGATCATGTCGATCATACGGATGATGTTAGGATGATTGATCCTCCTCAAGATAAAAATCTCAGACATGAGACTCTCCTGCAGCTTCTTGTTAAGCCTATCCATGGCGATCTCCTTGATAGCAACCTCAGTACCGTCAACGCGGTGCCTCGCTTCCCAAACCACCGAGAACGAACCAGAACCGATTTGACGACCCACCAAGTAGTCACCAACGACCCGACCCGTGAACTGAGCCATTGTTTTCTCTGAGAAACCGGCGCCGAGAATCTAGAGGATCGAAAAGGTCGGAGCTTTTGGAAATTGAGCTGAGAAAGAGGAATCTTTTGGGAATTTCACGACCCGTCGGGTTGAAAATGGATTCGGATAATGAAGAGAGAGATAGAGATAGAGAGAGGTTAGTGAAATTAAAATGTTTATTCTTAAGAATCTTCGTATATTTTGGCTTATATGATAAGATCCGGA